ATTAGGTAAGCAGGATGCATCCCTCCAAGGAGAGAGCACACATTCCATTCCAATAATCTAACTCTAGAAATTCCATATGTAGTTGGGATGCTTGGAATTCTCAGCTTGGTTTGGATACTCTTAAGCATGGTGAGTTTCCACATGTGCCAGACACCCGGCTGACCAAAAAAAATCTAAACCAGCTGGTAGAATAAACGTAAGATCTCTAAGACACACACAGTGATAAACACACTCACTCACAGACAGAGAAAGAGACACACATTCTCACAGAGGGAGAGAGAGACGCACACACATTCACACAGATACACTCAGAAACATACACACATATAGAAGAGACACATGCAGACACACTCACAGAGACTCTCACAAATAGACACATACAGAGGAGAGAGACACACTCACACAGACACTCACAAACACATGGAGAGAGACATACTCACACAGACACTCACAAACACATAGAGAGAGACACACAGACACTCACAAACACATAGAGAGAGAGCCACACAAACACATACTCAACAACAGAGAGACACACAGACACTCACAAAAACATCAAAGGACACATACCGACACTCACAAATACATAGAGAGAAACACAAAGTCACAGACAAACACAGAGAGACACACACACTCAGACACAGCCCTCGGGCCAGAAATTTCACTTATAGCAGATTTGTTGCGGGTGACGGCTGTTTATCGCGGATTCTGCAGAAAAAGTGCGGCTGCATTTTTCTATTGGCCCAGCTGAAGATCCATTTTTTGACTATGTTCACCACTCACCAAACTCAGGTGCCCGCTCAACCTTGTGAAGCTCTTTGAGATGTCCTCCCGATGTGAAAAGGGGAGGACAATAAATTGTTGAGCTTTTAGCCTGCAATTATCAATTTGCTGTGCTGGGAAGACAGTGGTGGGCGGAGGTTCTGGAAGGATGAGTCAGCATCGCCAAATCCTGTTGAACTTACCTTTGGAGGTTTTATCACATATCATGATATAATGGGGCAGGTGGCATGACATAATGGTTTTAAGGACTGAGCCACTCGAAAATCATTCCTTTATTTTAAAATCAGTGAAACAAAAATAATAGTCACCGAATGGCTGACACAGCAAACATGCATTAATTAGACTTTAGAAATATAGAAAAGTTATTTACTCTGTAAAACAATAGTACTTTTTGCTTTTCACAATACCTTCATAGTGTCAGAGCCAGGTTTTGCAATCGGTGGGGGAGGAGGCAATGGGCCATTACCTTCCCGTTTATCTTACAAAATGGGAAGAGAGCAGGAGCACAAGGTAAAGGTTCCATTCATAACCTAAAGGCTGCCGGGAACAGGCGTATTATTATTATTAGTATGAAAACATCCATTTAATTTTACTCCCAGACTGCTCGAGCATTGTCCATTAATTTTTCATTTCTGGAGATTCCAGAACAATCTTGGAGGTGAATGGAAACCCTATGAGATAGGTTGAATTATCTTCATTCAAACCAATCTGGGGATCAACTCTCCTTTTTCATGTATTTGTGACAAGGGACGAATGGAGAAAGTGTGTATATAGAGAAAAGACAATAGATAGAGAGAATAGGATAAAGAATGGGGGCAGACAGAGAGAGAATGGGGACAGACAGAGAGAGAATCAACAACAACAACAAAGTTACATTTGTATTGCACCTTTCACGTCGGGAGGACGTCCCAGGGCTCTGGACAGACAAGGTTACGGACCCAAGCTGAGGGTATGGGAGGGGGAGGACAGAGGGGGAAGCAGGGAGATCAAAAGCACGGTCAAAGAGGAGGGTCTTGAGGTGGATCTTGAAGGTGGCGAGGGAGGGGGCGAGATGGAGGGACTGCGGGATGCATTTCCAGAGGGCGGGCGCAGAGTGACGGAAGGCCCGCCTGCCGATAGTGGGGCGAGCAAGGCGGGGGATGTGAAGCAGGCCAGAGCCCGCTGAGCGGAGGGAGCGAACAGGATGGTAGGGGGTTAGGAGGTCAGAGAGGTAGAGGGGAGCAAGACCATGGAGGGCTTTGAAGGTGAGGACCAGGATCTTGAACTGTATCCTCTGTGTGATGGGAAGCCAGTGGAGTTGGCAAGGATGGGAGTGATAAGGTCATGGAGCCTAGTGTGGGAGAGGACACGGGCTGCAGAGTTCTGGATGATCTGTAGCCTGTGGAGGGAGGAGTTGGGGAGGTCGACAAGCAGTGAGTTTGCATAGTCAAGCCTCAATGTAATGAATGCGTGTATGAGGGTTTTGGCGGCCTGCAATGTGAGACAGTGTCGGAGCCGGGCGATGTTGCGGAGGTGGGGAAGGCAGAGCAGGTCAATGCTCGAGCAGTCTGGGAGTAAAATTAAATGGATGTTTTCATAGTAATAATAATAATCCTTGGATTTGATACAGCGCCTTACAAGAACATACTGTGAAGTGTAGTGATATTTTGTGGGCAAAATAGAAAAACTCCAAAACCAAAAACAATAAATTGGTCATTTTCAATCTATGACTGTTTGTGGGACATTGCTGTGCGCAATTGGCTGCCACGTTCTCCCACAAATATACAGTCAATTCACTTTACAGTGTGTTCTGTGAAGCGCTTTGGGATATCCTTCCGAGGTGAGGAGGCGCTGACGGGAGCCAATCAGGAGAGTCTCGATCTTGTTGACGTTCAACTGAAAAAAGTTAGCTCTCATCCAGGACTTGGTGTCTGACAGATATTCTGTCAGCACAGCAGTGGTCCTGGAGTCAAGGGTGGAGGCAGAGAGGTAGAGTTGGGTGTCATCCGCATATATGTGGAAGTTGACCCCATGTCTGTTGATGATATGACCAAGGGGGAGCATATAGATGTTGAAGAGGAGGGGACCAAGGACAGAGCCCTGAGGAACGCTGCACGAGACGGTCCGAGGGCTAGAGAAGCCGTTGGAGGAGATGAAGTGCAGGCGGTGTGAGAGGTACGATCTGAACTATTCAAGGACAGCTCCATGGAGGTTGAGGTGAGAGAAGAGACGGTGGATGAGCATAGAGTGGTCGACGGTGTTGAAAGCAGCAGAGAGGTCAAGGAGGATGAGGAGGCAGAAGGAGCCCTGGTCGCAGATGGACAGAATGTCATTTGTCACTTTGAACAGGGTGGCTTCAGTGCTGGGGGCCTCATGGAAGCCCGAGTGGAGGGGTTCGAGAAGGGAGTGGCAGGAGAGGAAGGTGCGAAGCAACTGTCTGTCTGACTGTCTGTCCCTATTTCTCTATTCTCTCTGTCTGACCATAATCTCTCCCTGTCTGTCCGTTTCTTCCCTTTCTCTCTCTGTAGCTATCTCTGTCTGCCCCTATAATAATAATAATCCCTGAATTTGTATCTGGTACAGCACCTTATTACGTCATTGAGACATCTGAATGCACTTCACAGAATATATTGTAAAGTGTATTTTGTGGGTTAATAAACTCTGTCTCCTCCTAACCTCTCTCGCTGTCCCTATTATCTATGTCTCTCCCTATTCTCTCTCTGTACCTATCTGTCCCCTGCCATTCTCTCTCTCTCTGCCCCTATGCTCTTTCGTCTACTCCTCTTTCTGTCTGCCACTATTCTCTCTCTCTGTACAGAGACAAACTGATATAGAGGGAGACAGACACACAGACTGGTATGGGGGGGGGGGGGGGGGGTGAACAGACAGACAGACAGACTGGGATGGGGGGGTACAGACAGACTGGGATGGGGGGGGGGACAGACAGACTGGGATGGGGGGGTACAGACAGACAGACTGTGATGGGGGGGTACAGACAGACTGGGATGGGGGGGTACAGACAGACAGACTGTGATGGGGGGTACAGACAGACTGGGATGGGGGGTACAGACAGACAGACTGGGATGGGGGGACAGACAGACTGGGATGGGGGGGGACAGGCAGACTGGGATGGGGGACAGGCAGACTGGGATGGGGGGACAGGCAGACAGACTGGGGTGGGGGGACAGACAGACTGGGGTGGGGGGACAGACAGACTGGGATGGGGGGGACAGACAGACTGGGATGGGGGGGACAGGCAGACAGACTGGGGTGGGACAGGCAGACAGACTGGGGTGGGGGGACAGACAGACAGACTGGGATGGGGGGGAACAGACAGACTGGGGTGGGGGGACAGACAGACAGACTGGGGTGGGGGGGGGACAGACAGACAGACTGGGATGGGGGGGACAGACAGACAGACTGGGATGGGGGGGGACAGACAGACAGACTGGGGTGGGGGGGGAACAGACAGACTGGGATGGGGGGGACAGGCAGACAGACTGGGATGGGGGACAGACAGACAGACTGGGATGGGGGGACAGACAGACAGACTGGGGTGGGGGACAGACAGACTGGGATGGGGGGGACAGGCAGACAGACTGGGATGGGGGGACAGACAGACAGACTGGGATGGGGGACAGACAGACAGACTGGGGTGGGGGGGGGGACAGACAGACTGGGATGGGGGGGACAGACAGACTGGGGTGGGGGGACAGACAGACTGGGGTGGGGGGGACAGACAGACTGGGGTGGGGGGACAGACAGACTGGGGTGGGGGGGACAGACAGACTGGGGTGGGGGGTACAGACAGACTGGGATGGGGGGGACAGACAGACAGACTGGGGTGGGGGGACAGACAGACAGACTGGGGTGGGGGGGACAGACAGACTGGGATGGGGGGGACAGACAGACAGACTGGGGTGGGGGGGACAGACAGACAGACTGGGGTGGGGGGGGGGACAGACAGACTGGGATGGGGGGGACAGACAGACAGACTGGGGTGGGGGGGACAGACAGACAGACTGGGGTGGGGGGGGGGACAGACAGACTGGGATGGGGGGGACAGACAGACAGACTGGGGTGGGGGGGGGTACAGACAGACTGGGGTGGGGGGGGACAGACAGACTGGGGTGGGGGGGACAGACAGACAGGATGGGATGGGGGGGTTAATAATTAGCAGCTTCCGGTTGTCCCCGGAAGTGACGCGGTGGGGAGGGCTGAGGTGGTTCCGGTCCTGTGTGTGACTGTGAGTTTGGGGATAGTGGAGCCGCCGCTCAGAGCCGCTATGACAAAGGAGGAGATTCAGGGGTAAGGCTCGGGCTCGGGGGGGTCGGGAGGCTGAGGCTGACTGCCGTGATGGAGGAGAGGGCGCGGGGCCGGGGTTACATCATCCTCTCCCCGCCCCGGGCCCACCCCGCCCGCCCCGCCCCGGCCCGGGCCCAGGCCTCGGCCTCCCGCTGTCCCGGCGGCAGTGCGGCTGCTCCAAACCATTTCCAAACAGTTGGCTTTTAGATTGAGAGCCGCTGTCAGCGATCTGTGCTGTGACCACCAGCGGACACTTTGCTCTCGTGTATTAGATACAGATATATATATACACACACACACACTGTATATATACTACATAATCAGGTGTTTAAAAGCTATGAGAATAAATAAAACACTTCACACCACAGGTTAAAGGTCTGCGCTCCCGCAGTGGCGGTGCTCCACAGCAGTAACCACCCCAGTTGGAGGGACTTGGATTCCTGGTCTGTCCCAGAGCTACTATTGGCTTTATCGCCCCTGGGGAGGGAGGTAGAAATCATCTGCAGTTCCTGCTCCTGACTCCTAAGCAATTGACTGCTGCAGGAAAGGACTTGTGGAGTCCTGTAGCTCAGTGGTTAGAGCACTCGCTTTGCAAGTGAGAGACCTGAGTTCAATTCCAGTCAGGGCGAAACCTTGGGCAAGTTTCCTTACTCCACACAGAGCCTAATAATAATCCCTCCAAAAAACAATAATAAATTGGTCATTTTCAATCTACGACTGTTTGTGGGACATTGCTGTGCACAATTGGCTGCCGCGTTCGCCCACAAATATACAGTCAATTCACTTTACAGTATATTCTGTGAAGCGCTTTGGGATGTCCTCCCAATGTGAAAAGCGCTATATCAAATGCAAGGATTATTACCCACGTAAATGTCAGGAAAAGGCTGGATCCACCATCCTGGGAGACTTGCTGGTCAAGCCATTGAAATATCTTAAGGAGCCGAGCCTGTTGACGAGACTTCCCTGGCGTATTTGATCTACAACGCCGGAGTGGTCTGTTTACAATTTAAATGGTGTTCTATCTGTTCATTTTGGGAATCCTCCACTTTTTTTTGTAAAAAAACATTGATTGCATCCGAGCATGTTTGATATCAGAATGCAAAAAAAATTCTTGGTTGCAAAACTTGTACAAAAATACTCATTATATCCTAGCCATGAAAATTTTGTTTGTTTTCAGTTAAGAGAAGGAAATCTAGTATCTAGCAGAAGTGGTCAGTTTCACCTCAGGAGAGGAAAATATCTGTGATGATAATTTGTAAAAGTCATACCCCACTGATTTTTTTTGTCAGACAAGTGTCTGACACAGGTGGAAACCCATCACAGTGGAGTCCTGCAGCTGAGTGGTTAGAGCACTCACTTTGCAAGTGAGAGACTTGGGTTTGATTCCCAGCGGGGCGAAATCTTGGGCAAGTTTCCTTACTCCACACGCCTGTTAATAATCACTCAAGAAAAAAAACAATAAATTGGTCACTTCAAACCACGATTGTTTGTGGGACACTGCTGTGCGCAATTGGCTGCTGCTTTTCGCCCACAAATGTATAGTCAAATTCACTTTACAGTCAATTCACTTTGCAGTATATTCTGTGAAGCGCTTTGAAAAGTCTAGAAGATGTGAGAAGCACTATATCAAATGCAAGGATTATTATTATTAAATTATCCAAACTGAGACTTCTGTGCATCCCATCTACACGAGGAAGTTGAAGAGATATTTGTGGGAATGGAATGCGCATTCCCTCCCTGGGGGCAGAGACCCCATTCCTGCTTACCTAATTCCAGAAATCATTATGGGGCAGGTTGGCATCAGCCAAGGCTTGGGGACCCCAGAGTGTGCGTTGTGGTTCTGCTGGGATCTAACCAGCGCCAACCGCATAGCTTGCCATTGAGAGCACTGCCTTGCAAGCTTTCCCTGCTGCTTGTCCAAGTTATTCCAGTGGAGTGATGTCAGTGGCTAAGTAATAATAATTCTTTGATTTGTTTGTAGTACCTCATCACATCATAGAGACATCTCAAAGCGATTCACAGGATATGTGGGTAAAATGTTTGCTGGTGAAGACAGAAAACGCACAAATAATTTTTTCATCCGCCACTTACCTTCTCCAGATTGATTGTAGAGATTCAGTCTCTCAGATCGTCCTATTCAACCCGCTGTGTAAAGCGCTTGGAGACATCCACCTAATGTGAAAGGCGCTACGCAAATGTAAATTGTATTGCATTGTAACATTACAATTGGCTTCAATTCTATCAATTAGGGAGGAGAAAAATCAGCTTTTTCTATCTAATCACTATTAAGTTATGCTATCTCCAATATATGTTTATCTTGATGATTGACGAGGGCAGGACTACAACAACAACTTGCATTTAGATAGCGCCCTTCACGTGGGCTAGTGTCCCGGAGTGCTTGACAGTGGCGGAATCTGACCCCCAAGCCAGGGGGAGAAGAAGGTGACCATAAGCACGATCACAAAGGAAGGTCTTTAGGTGGGATTTGAAAGTGGGGAGGGAGTGGTCAAATCAGGAATTGAGAGAGAGATTTCCAGAGTTTCGGAGTGTAGTGACTGAAGGCACGGCCACCGATGGTGGAGGGTATGAGGGACGAACAGGCGGCTGGAGCCAGCTGAGCGGAGCCAGCGGGTGGGAGAGTGGAGGCTAAGCAAATTGGATCAGTAGAGAGGTGAGGATGTGAAAACGAGTGAGAGGATCTTGAAATTGATCTGCTCAGTAATTGGGAGCCAGTGGAGCCTGGCAAGGACTGGTGTGATGGGGGTACAGAGTTTTGTGCACGTGAGAATCCGGGTGGTGGAGTTCTGAATTAGTTGTAATTCGTGGAGTCCTGTAGCTCAGTGGTTAGAGCACTCGCTTTGCAAGTGAGAGACCTGAGTTCAATTCCAGTCAGGGCGAAACCTTGGCCAAGTTTCCTTACTCCACACGCCTAATAATAATCCCTCCAAAAAAACAAAACAATAATAAATTGGTCATTTTCAATCTACGACTGTTTGTGGGACATTGCTGTGCGCAATTGGCTGCCGCGTTCGCCCACAAATATACAGTCAATTCACTTTACAGTGTGTTCTGTGAAGCGCTTTGGGACGTCCTCCCGACGTGAAAAGCGCTATATCAAATGCAAGGATTATTATTATTATTATTATTTATGGTGGAGCTGTGAGACCAATGAAGAATCCATTGGAATAGTTTAGCTTCTGTTGTGAGGTACAGATGGAGGTGGACAATGTGATGGAGGTGAAAAAAAGCGGTCCTGGTCAAGGAACAGATTTGGGATTCTAAGGAAAGCCAGGGATTGAACCTGACGCCTGAGTTGCACACAGGTTCAGTGAGTCTGAGGGAGCAGAGGGACTGGATTTGGATGTGATGCACTTTTTGTCAGATAGTCAAAAAGTCAAATAGCCTCCTGACATTCTTTGTCTGGGTTCATGTATGAAGAGAGAACAGCGGCCACCTCCTTCAGGTGAGGAGAGAGAAAAATTTATATTTTCACCAATTTTGTGATGCGTGTTGTAAGGGCTGGGGGGGGTAACTTGAGTTTTTTTAAAATCACTATATGTAATGGGCTTTGTTTTTGATAGAAAAATAAATGCGGACTAAATACCAGCTTGAGCTGAAAGTCTGTTAATATCATGGTCCATTGTTGTTGAGTCTGGGCTCTGAATGTAACGAGCACAAAAAGCAACGCATTCAGTGCTGGAGAGCCACCCTTGGCATTTTGCCAACCCATCTTTTTTTAAGTGTACTGTATTTTCCAGGCATGTCTGGAAATATCATGTGAAGGAAATCACTGCAGTACGTTTTCCTGTTTATTACAGGAAATGTTTGAAACTGGAATTTCTGGTGCAGTCTCACTCACCATTCAGAAAAGTTGCAGGTGTACTCCTTTCATAATTTTGAGCAGCTGGACTATAGGACAACAATTGTGCTCATATAAAGTCAGCCAGGAAAGTGGAAAAACAGATTGATCCAAATTCTTTTTATCAGAAGTGATCAGAAACATGTTAACAATTTTTGAAAATTAATCAAATATACATTTATTGCAAGTATTTTAGTGTAAATTTATAGTGGCAAAAATCCTTTGTTTTCAAAATATGATATTGGGATTTCACTTAAGGCCCACATGGACACCATCACTGTTCTATTATTTGGCTGTCGGCTTAGGACATTTAAGATATTAATGTAAGCTTCAATAATTAAGATTAAGATGTTATAATGAAACTGGGAAACAAAATAAAACCCCTAAAATTTGTTAGCATATAATAGCATGTAACAAGTCTGTCTGTCTGTCTGTTGTCATGGAGAATGCTATTTGTTGCAAAAAAAATGTGCATTTTGTTATAATTAAATAATTACTAATGCATTCGCTTCTGTCTCAAAATATAATAGTAATGATAATTTTAACGTATCACTTGTGTAGTTTCCAATTATAGCTGTACATAGACACAAATTTGTCCAGATTGCCATACATTCTAGGTAAAGTTACAGGAACTCTGTTTAACTGATAACTATAGCATTAATTAGCTAGTGACCCGATGAGTATCATACAGTCTGCGTTTAAATTTACCAGTGTTAGTTAATGCTCACTCAGCAAGTGATTTTCTAATATAACTTCTGGGCATCTCACAAACACAATGAGAGAACAAAGTTCCATATCGCTACTAACTTTAAGTCAATAAAATGCTACCCCATATTTTTTGGCGCCATTTCATAATAAAGTATATGTGAACTGGGTAGTTAAAAAATCAGAAAATTATTATCTGAAATTTCTTTGGAAAATTGAGTCTAGGACTGCTTCTGGTAGCAGTATTTATTTTGTAGTGGAGTAACAGGATATGCTCCACTGCAAAATAGTGTGGAGCCTATATAATAGTACAAAACATTGTCCATTTACTGCTGCTGGTTACATCGAGCTAGTTGTCACCTGCAATTTGTAAAGTATAGGAAGTATTGGATTCAGCACAGGCATATTTAAATAACAAAACTTTCAGTTTAGGGTTGTGAGGTGACACTGCACATTTGAAATCCAAATTTTTGGGATAATGAAATGGCCGGATGCAGGTTGCATGTCTGCAATTCTCCACAATATGTTCCTGATCTCACCTGGGAGAGGGAGAGAGATTGTTGTGCCAAGCCAAGGGCAGCTGCTTCCCTACATAAAGGATTAACGGAATTGTTATAAGGATCCGCTTTTCTCATCTTCCAATGGCGAATTTGTAAAGCGAGACATTCTCTTCTGCAAACTATGTTCAAGCTTGGCCTCCCAATTCAGACCACTGTTATACAGTTGTTGCTAGCTATTGCGTGCAAGGGAGATTACGTAGAATCTGTTAATTTAGTGGAATAACAAGATGACTAACTAGAACAAAGCACTTTGAAACAAACACCTGGAATTATGTCTGTTTTCCTTGCAGCTGGCAAGCCAGTCCAAATGACGAGGGTTTCACATGAATGTTTATTTCCTGAAGGCGTAGTTTAGTCATTCAATAGAAAATTCTTCTCTGATCTACTTTAACTGTTGTGTGATCAGGAACGATGTAACATAACAAACCAACAGAGCTTGATATTGTAAGACAACATGTAAATGGCAAGATATAAACAAATGCACTCATCGAGGGATTAAATCACTTTTACATGCAGTGGAGTTCTACGTCTTGACGTTTCTAATCACCCTTTAACATCCTGAAGGAAATGTATGAAAAGCACAATAGATGGAAATAACAAGGCAGCTGCTGTTAATAAATTTTGCATTGGCACTTGACAAACATTACAGTGACCCTCCTGTTTTATCCTATATAGTGCCCAAGAGGACCAGGCACAGTCCAAGAAGGCTGCCAAGAAACTACAGAAAGAAGCGGAGAAAGCTGCCAAGAAGGCAGAAAAACAGGCTAAACTGGTGGGTTTGGAAACATTAGGCATTAACGCAGCTGGATTCTCATAATGAACATTGTAACATTTCTTCTTGCCAGCACATCAGAAATTTTCAGAATTACTGTCATTTTCCAGTGAATTATTAAAAAAACGAATACTATTACGTAGAAACAAATGCTTATGAAAAGCAGGAATGAGAAAAGCCTAATCACCCCATCTGGACCTCAAGCGAAATGTGATGGCCCAGGTTGATTCTGTTACTGCCATTAGTGGTTATTTGCCTATGCAGATTTGCTTTTGTTTGTAAGATAACCACTGAACAATCTTAGCTGATGAGATAGTGTCTGCTGTGCACATATAGTTCTTAATTGGTGAACAGCCATCAGGAAGAATATACTGGATGGCAGATTACATATATAAATTACACTTATATAGTGCCTTTCACGTCGGGGTGGGGGGGCGGACGTCCCAATGCTCTCACAGGTTCACACTCGAACTGGAGGTTGGAATCAAGAGGGGTGGCGGCAAAGGGGTGGGGATGGAAAGGTGATCAAAGGCAGGGTCAAAGAGGAAGATCTTGAGACGGGTTTTGTAGAAGGCAAGGGAGGGAGGCGCAGGGATTCTGGGATGGAGTTCCAGAGGGTGGGGGCAGAAAGGCTGAAGGCCAACTGTCGATGATGGGTTGGGCAGGGTGTGGGACATGGAGGAGGTCAAGGCCCGCCGAATGGAGGGAGCAGACAGGTTAGTAAGCGAGTCGAGTGATGCAGGTCCCTTTTGGGATGGTTCTCCTTCCAGTTATATAGTAGTCCTATGCATTAACCCAGCAATAGCTAAAGAGTTTGAGTGATGGCAACAAGATGCATTCTTCGAGTTGGGTGGATTTCATTCAGCTGTTTGACTCACTAGGTGACCCCACACACAGGCGTATATCATCAATCAGCAACAGAAATTCACTAAATGGTACCAAATTAGCCCCTTACTTAAAAGTGCACTGTATTAATAATTGCTGGTATGGTCAATATTATTTATATGATAAATTAAACAAAATTTCCTTAGGTAAGTAGTTTTACATTTTATTTCTCGAATCCTATTTTTTGTATTGTTTTGAGAGGATGGTATTGTTGAACATTATGTACCAGCCTTCGAATCACTTGAAAATGGTTGTAACAAGCAGAACAATGATATATTCATTACCTTTATAAAGCTCCCGTTCTTCTTCATGATAGTATGCATGCCACTGCATGTTCAACACTCAATGGCCTGAACACTGTTCATTGTTAACATCACTCCATGATGGATCACATGTGAAATTCAAGTGGATCGACTGTTCTTCAAAACTATTTGAACACACCTATTGCACTTGTGTTGGATAACAGAAAATATTTGCAAATTTTGTGTACGGAGTAGCATTCAATTAAACATACTTAGTTTTTAAGTTGGTACATTTAGTAATTTAAATGATGTTTTCTTTTACTTTTTCAGATTACATGAGAAGAGCTTTTATTTATTTGATAAACAAACAAAAATCCTTATTGGTTCTTATACTTTCCAACATCAGTCATGAGATAGCAATCAGGAAAGAATATTGTCTATTTCTCTCCCACACACTTTTTCTCCCTTTCCCCTTGACCCAAGATCATCACCACTGCTGTTTAGAGTGAAATCAACATGCTCATCATAGGCCACACCTCTAAAGTTGAACGCTTCCTTGTCTCAGTGATGCAGTCTTGTCTTATTTATCCAGTAAGCTTTTGGTTTGGCCATTTAAGATGTCTTTTTAAACAAGAAATTGTATCTGTAAAATATTCATATTGAATTTATTGGCATTTATGTGCCAAACTATCACCCACTAGGCCCGGCGTTATTTCAGAACTTTTCAAGTCCTATTTAGTTTACAGTTTTTCTACATAGTTTATAAATGCTGTAATATGAACATTTATTGTGGCTTATTTTGTTTTATTTTATTTAGGCAGCAGAAAGTCAAGTAGCTGATGGAGAGGTGAGCACTCTGACTGCATACAGATCTGTGTAATGTTAAACAATGTGCTAAAGTGGACCTATAGTAAAAGTCCATTTGTACAGTGGAGCCCTGTTATAGTGCTTTGCAGCGCAGTATTGCATTACTTATAATGTGGCACGTAGTCTAGGACTGCGCTAACCGGGTGCACAGTGCTCATTTAACCATCAAATTGTAACACTTTTGTAAGTTTTATTATATACAAATGAAGTGTCCTCAAGAATTGGTTAATGTCTGATGAGATGCAGTATTTTTAATAATGGAACACAAGTAAAAATACATGTGACCTCATTAAAAAGCACCTCACTATGGCCTGAGTTTGCTTATAATGCATATGGGCTGTGGACCCATGGTTAGTGGAAGTGTAGTATTCTTCTGGCATGGGATTGTCCAGATTCCTGAACTTGGACGCAGGAAACCGGTGACTACCCTCGCAAGCATTTCTAGCATTGGAAAGGTGTGCGAGAGCAGTCACAGCTGACTGGCCAAATTCCTGTATGCATGTGCAGTATAATACGGGATCTAATATTATGGACCCAAAACACCACAGTAAAACAGATTATGAGTTAATTTTTTTCAATTCTGAGAATTGTCAATACTATTGATTGTTGGTGGTGAGGTGCAATACTTTTAATAATGGAATACTAGTAACAACACACGTGGCCCCATTACAAAGCACCTCACTATAGCCTGAATTTGCTTATAATCAGGGCCAATAATAATAATCCTTGCATTTGATAAAGCGCTTTTCACGTCGGGAGGACGTCCCAAAGCGCTTCACAGAACACACTGTAAAGTGAATTGATTGTATATTTGTGGGCGAACGCGGCAGCCAATTGCGCACAGCAATGTCCCACAAACAGTCGTAGATTGAAAATGACCAATTTATTATTGTTTTTGATTTTGGAGGGATTATTATTAGGCACTGTGTGGAGTAAGGAAACTTGCCCGAGGTTTCGCCCTCTGCCTGGAATTGAACTCAGGTCTCTCACTTGCAAAGCGAGTGCTCTAACCACTGAGTTACAGGACTCCAATAGAAAATTGCAGGGAATTTTGACACATTTTGCAGAAAGTTGTTGTTTGGTTCTATTCAGAGGTACTGCCAACCTACATTTTCTCACTTTATTGGTAAAAACTAAACATGAAGAAATAACACATATTAGATTGTTGCAAAATAAAATTAATGCTTTCGTTAACAAAAACTGTGTGCCTCATTCAGTGGATAGAGAAATACCAGCGAGACTGCAGGGTTCCAGGAGGTCACCACCTCCTACCTCTCGGGGCTGTCACCACTCACAGACACGAGAGACTCACAGGCACAGAGAGACACACTCACAGACAGAGAGAGAGAGACATAGACACAGAGAGAGACAGACACAGACAGAGAGGCACATTCACAGATACAGAGAGACACACACTCACAGACACAGAGAGAGACACACACACTCACAGGCACAGAGACACACACACTCACAGAGAGAGACATGTACTCAGACAGAGAGAGAGACAGAGAGAGACATTCACATACAGAGAGAGTGACACTCACAGAGAGAGACACATGCACTCACAGATAGAAAGAGAGACACTCACAGACAGAGAGTCGGAGACACGCAGAGAGGCACACATACACTCACAGACAGAGAGACACACAACCACAGACAGAGAGAGAGAGAGAGACATATTCACAGACACACAGAGAGCATCTGAACAGCGGGGCCTCGAGGTGAGCGAAGTCCATCTTCCGCTCTCACTGCATGCGCGTCCGGAGCTGCTCTATCTACAGCAGCACGCAGAGGCCTGGGGCCGAGCACTGTGTTGTTATAGGTGTGTATTGGAGGAGGGTGTTTGTAGCGGAGGGAAGTGTTTGTAACAGAGTGGAGCATTTGTAGTGGAATCCGTGGAAAAATTTTGGTGGCATTGTTCTCATGGCCCATTTTATAATGCAGATGGCCTGTGATGATCACTATCACTAGTGATTAATGGTTCAAACAAAATTATGGTGAGCTTTGATACTTTGCAAAGTTGTACTATAGTTAGCAAGCCATCTAATGAATATTTAAATAAAAATGTAATTGTGGCCAATTTGATAATTTTTTCTGAAAATTAGTTATAATTTTATGGCAATATACTATCAATTTTTAGCACCAGGTTGGAAATCGTATGATCTTTATTGGGTTTTGTACAAATTTTGGTGTAATAAATGTGCCTTCTGCTTTAGGACATTGCTAAAGACAGATATGGAACTCCTGCAATGATCCAATCACAGGAAAAAATTGGTGAGTATAATTCTAAAGAATAAATTACTCTTTGGAAATATAGTAAACCGTGAGATGGATGGTAGCAGACTACAGGAGGACATAGACAGACTGGTGAAATGGACAAACACATGGCAGATGAAGTTTAATTGCAGAGATGTGTGAGGTGTCGCACTTTGGGAATGAGGAGAGGCAATGCACACTAAGTGGCACAGTTTTAAGCAACAACAACTTGCACTTATATAGCGACCTCCACGCGGGGTAGCGTCTCAGAGCGCTTAGCAGTAGAGGAGCCTGACTCTGAGCCAAGGTGGGGGGCGGGGGGAGGGGGGAGAGGGGGCAAGACGGAGGGATTGAGGGAGAGTGTGCCAGTGTTTCAGGGCGTAGTGGCTGAAGGCGCAACCTCCAATGGTGGGGCGGAGGGTGTGAGGGACGAGCAGGAGACCGCTACCAGTCGAGTGGAGGTGCCGGGTGGTGGAGTGAGGAGATCAGAGAGGTAGGGAGGTGCCAGAGATTGAAGCGATTTGAAAACGAGTGTGAGGATCTTGAAGTCGATCAGTTCGGTGATGAGGAGCCAGTGGAGCCTGGCCAGAACTGGTGAGATGTGGATACTGAGTTTGGTCCAGGTAAGTATGCAGGCCGCAGAGTTCTGAATGAACTCTGCCACCCGCAGAAGGGGTTCAGGAACAGAGAGACCTGGGGGTTCACATACACAGACAGGACAGGTTGATACAGCTGTTAAAAAAAGCAGCAGCACATGGGATACTTGGCTTTATAGATAGAAGCATAGAATACAAAAGCAAATAAGTTATGCTAAACCTTTATAAGTCACTGGTTAGGCCTCAGCTGGAGTGTTGTGTCAAATTCTGGGCACCACACTTTAGGAAAGATATCAAGGCCTTGGAGAGAGTGCAGAGGAGATTACCAGAATGGTACCAGGGATGAGGGACTTTAGTTATGTGGAGAGACTAGAGGAACTGGAGTGTTCTCCTTAGAGCAGGGAAGGTTAAGGGGATATTTAATGGAGGTGTTCAAAATTATGAGGGATTTTGATAGATAGGGAGGAACAGTTTCCACTGGAAGGTGGGTTGGTAACCAGGGGACATAGATTCAAGGTGATTTACAGAAGATCCAGAGTTGTGATGAGGAGAATTTTTTTTACATAGAGAGTTGTTACGTTGTGGAATGCACTGCCTGCCTGAAAGGCTGGTGGAAACAGCTTCAATAAAATCGTTCAACGGGGAATAGATAGGTACTTGAAAAGTGAAACATTGCAAGGATATGGGGAAAGAGCGGGGAGGTAAGACTGATTTGGTAGTTCTTCCAAAGATCTGGCACATGCACGATGGGCTGAATGGCCGCCTCCTGTGCTGTAATATTCTATGATTCTATCCCTTCCTCTGCACTGCATGCTGATAACACAAATAATTATATTGTGTTTTGTAAATAAAAGTACCCGTTTTCTGTTTTGCTTTTAAAATTCTGCATAATCTGCAGGAAATCTTTCCCTTCTGTCACACCTGTCTGCTAACTCTAATTCTGTTGTATGCAAGTTCTGCCAAGGACTTTATAGAAATGACAAAGAAACACAGATTCCAACAACAATGATTTAAATTTATATAGCACCTTTTACTTCAGGGGGTGGCTCAAAATGCTTCATAAAAGATTCCAAGCAGTTCATGAGAATATAATATATATGTGTGTATAATATAATCCTTGCATTTGATATAGTGCCTTATCGCATCTTCGAGACATCTCAAATTGCTTCACAGAATATACTGTAAAGTAAATTGACTATATATTTTGTGAGTGAAATAGGTTAATAGAGAATAGGTTGATAGACATGAGCCCTGGAAACAAAATGAGGTTACAATGACATAGACAGTGGAGACTGGCCAGAACTGGTGAGATGTGGGTACAGAATTTGTCCGGGTCAGTATGTGAGCAGCAGAGTTCTGAATGAGCTGGATCTTTTGAATAGTGGAGCTGAGGAGATCAGCGAGGAGTGCGTTTAAGTAATCCAGGCGGGAGGTGATAAACACTTGCACGAGGGTTTCGGCTGCATTTGGGGTAAAGTACGGTCGGAGGTAGGCAATTGGCGGAGGTGGAAGAAGGCAATCCTGGTCAAGGACCAGATGTGAGGAAGGAAGGACAGCGGGAGATGGAACCAGACGGCTGGAGTCTGAGGGAGAGCCCAGGGAGGTTGGCTACATTCAGTTGCAGGAAGTTTGCACTCATCCAGGCCCTGATGTCTGCCAGGCAAACTGGTAGAACATTGGCGGACCTGGGGTCGATACTGGAGGAGGCAAAGTAGATTGTGTGTTATCTGCATACATGTGGAAGTTTACCCTGTGTCTGTATCATCAAGCGGGACCATATAGATGAGGAAAAGAAAGGGGCCAAGGATGGAGCCCTGGGATATCCCGCAGGTGACATGGTGGGGGAGGGAGGAGAAACTATTTGCCAAGATGAAGTGTTAGGGGTTGGTTAAGTAAGACATTTGATATCAGCATTTGATTCAAGTTCCAGATCTTCTTTTAAGCAAACAGTTTCCAATATAGGATCTATAAAAGTAAGGTAAAGTCAGTTCAGTCCGGTAAATAAATACGTAGAGTGGTGTAGTGGTTAGCCATAAAGCTCCCTGCACTCTTCTAAATTGCTGATTTTAGGAAAAGTGCTGCACTTGGCCTGTGATTCTGAGGTAAGAAAGTGGAGGAGGGGGGGAAATGAGTCAGGTAACATAACTCAATAAAATTACTGTTGGCCATTAGCATTCTGTTGCAGCAGCTGAGGCTCTGAAGTTTTAAAATATTCTTTTGAAAATGAGAACATGTGATTAATTTAGATTTTTTGATTGGCAAATGTATCATCATGTCATCTAACTGGAGTTACCTGATTTTTGGCAACTACTTTTTTTTATTGCAATGTGGCACATTTGGAATGAATCATTTAGTTTAACAAGCATCGGTCAATTCAATCATCTATTGCATCTCACATATATTTAACCATTCTTTGTAAATGTTTTTCACAGACACAATGAGAAAATTTCTAAGAATCTTAGGGCAGTGTATTTTGTTTACATTTTTCTTTCATGTTATCAACGCTAGTATAAAATGTTCAATTAAAAATTGTATTGGTTTAGGTGGATCCTGTGGTACTGTGGGTTAAACTCTCTTTAATCTCTACTTAGAACTTAGTGTGAATCCCACCTAGATCAGTCGACTGAAGCTACAATCTGATAGCTACAATCTAGAAATCATTTGGCATTTCTCAGTAAATGGAAACTAGAATATTCACACTTGTGGAATAGAATTTTCTTTTTAAGTTAAATTTAAATTGAAATTAAATTGAGGAATATCGTTTACAGGAGCTTCCATGCTCGGGCCCCGACACCTGACTGTTCAGTGCTTTGGGACGTCCTCCCAACATGAAAGGCGCTCTATAAATATAATTTTGTTGTTGTTTTAACAAATGCGACATACATTGATTGGATTCTGGTACTGAGTATGAATAGGTTTATTCCTCAGAATTGATCTCTTTTTCCTTGAGGAGGGAAACCATTTATATTTCAAATGATCCTAAAATGTATTGTAATTAACTACAGCTATATCAGTTTGGTTTCATAGTCAGAAAGATTTTAGATTTCTAGTTTTCATTTAATAATAAAGTTTTAGGGCTATTTTTTNCTCCACCCTCACATATTCTTTGCATGGAGGATGGGGTAGAAGTAAGCTATTGATTTTATTTAGACTTTCCAGTCTTTTTCTATATTGGAATCTTGCAGAAGCTCTATTTCGATCTTTACACATTTCTGATTTTTCTCAGCTTTCTTGTTTGAAATTTGCATTACAAGAAATTTGCACTTTTCAGGAAAGCGTCTGCTAACCGAAGATTGAAGCATTTAAAGAATTTCACTCTTGTTAAAGTTTGATCTTTAAATGTAAACATGATTTTCTTTTAACACATTGGGAACATAGGAAAATAGGACAGAATGCTCATCTGTCCATTGAGATATTGAACAGTGTCCATAACCTTACTGAATTAGATGGGTTTTGTGTCGTTAGTGACAATGTGTTTTCTGAACTAACCCTATAAGAAGGGTAACATTTCTTCTGTGTACACAGACCGTGTGTTGGTTCATGTGAAAGACCTGACTGAAGAGAAAGTTGGCCAGGTTGTTTGGCTCCGATCCAGAGTTCATACTAGCAGAGCCAAAGGTAAGAACTAGAGTCAAAAACTGATGTTTGCAAACTTTATTTTACTGCAAAAAGTTTGTTTTTGGAAAATTGGTAAATTGGGCTTTTAGGTTTCTGACATTAAAATCTGTTGGAAAGTATTTTGTGCTCGAGGCTGCTGTCTGAATAAATGTACTTTATAATTCAAGAAATAATTTCTTTTGGTGAGTGGCTAAGAGAACAGGGGACAAAATTGATGAAAGTCAGTTCAGTGCATACGGTTTAGCTGTGGACAGTCTTAATTACTCTTTAACCTGTGACCCAAAGTGTTTTCCCATGCTCGAGAGCTTCCGGGTAATTTAAGGAAAACCTGCATGAATAACAATAAACGTGACTCTGCTCTGGTAAGAAGGAAAACACTGTGTCGGGGGATCTGACGTGTATATCACTCACTGAACACTATTTTTATCTCAACCAGGGAAGCAGTGCTTTTTAGTCCTGCGTCAGCAGCAGTTTAATGTCCAAGGACTTGTGGCTGTGGGAGACCATGTAAGCAAGCAGATGGTCAAATTTGCTGCTAAGTAAGTTCCGAACTACATCCTGTTGTCTGAAATACAATTGTGAGAAAGTATAGTCCACATTACACATGCAATTGACTGCTGTGTTTTACCCAAAAATAATACAATCAATTCACTTTACAGTATATTCTGTGAAGCGCTTTGAGACGTCTCGAAGACATGATAAGGCGCTAGATCAATTGCAAGGATTATTATTATAATAGCCCAGGCTTTGTATAATTTTTATCACGCAGTTCTTAAATCATACATACATGTTTTGCCACATGAGCAGATATGAATTTAATCGGTATAATACTTTTATTTAGAAAATCCAAACAGAATCTCTTGGAGTAGCAATTTAAAGTAGCCTACAAAGCGTTTTAAGGATAAAAATCTTACGAAGCATTGTTTATTATTGTGATTATAATTTTTTACTGCTTTCCTAGAAGATTTTGTCAGGCTTTTAAAAAAAGCCTACGGCCAATGTATAGTTTCATTGTTTTTAATAGGATATCCTGTAGGATGTTTTTGTGAGGGTGATCACAGGTCAAAGCTTATTAAAGGGCATTGTGAGTTTGTAGTTAAATGTGTAATTACTTCAATGTAGTTCTCATGCAATCTTTTAGCAGATGGCTTTGTTGTTTTTTCTAAGCTGATAAGCAAGCTTTACATACTGATGACAGGAAGTTCATTTGCACCTGTCTCAGTTAAGAATGTTCCTTGCTAGCAAACCCAGCATTTTCATTGTCTGGGTTTCTCAGCCCAGCTTCAGTGGGAAAATGTGTTTGTATGCAAAGGTTTGTCACGCAAGAGATAATTTCTTGAGACAAAAAGAGGAACTTGTGAATTATTTTTAAACAAAAACTTCCCTTGCCCCAAACAACAATGTTTTGGTTTATCTTGTGAATTGACGCTTTTTCTATGATTCTTCCTCATAAATTATACTTATCAGTATCCTTTGAAAGTATTATGGGGAATTTTATTCATAATATTGAAGTTTATTTATAATATTGTTTTTTGGTCAGCTAGGTATCTCACATGTGCTGATGTGTATCCAAACTAAAGATAATTCCATGCATCCCACTTACACATGGAAATTCCCAAGATATTGATTGGAATGGAATGAATACTCTTCCTGGAAGGGACACATTCTGCTTACCTAATTTCAGAGAGTATTAGGCGCAGCTTGCGAGACAAAGCTTGAGGACCCCAGAGAGTGCAATGGAGTACACCTGGGATTTAACCAGTTAAAACCACATAGCTTGCCATTGAATGCACCATCTGTGGCAAGCTGTCGTGCTGCTTATCCAGCTAGGACCACTTTTCCCATTAGGACTTTGGCTTGCAGTATTAACAGGAGCTGATTGGGAAGAGTCTTTTCTTCCATTTACTGGTCTGCCCTTCCAAGTCCTGCCGATGAGCCAGGCTGGCTGGGCTGTCATCAGCAGTGCCCTGGAATACTGGCTCAGGAATGGAACTACCAAGACCGCCTCAGGGTATTGGTTTGATTCTGATATTCCATTGCCGAACATGTCACCTTGGAGTCAGTTCAGCTCCAATCACCTTGGAATAATTAAAGAAAGGAATATTTTGGACATGCCAGTGTCACTGATATCACTTCCTAAATAATGAGCAAAACCGCGACCTAATGATCCTGGAGGTGCTGACCAGCCGTGTTTTAGTGCACCTCCTTATAACACGGTCTGAGTTTGTAGACACATTACATCTTGTTCTGAATTCAATATTTTCTACCTGTCTTCATTTTAAAACTACATTGTTTAATTCTTTTATAGTATGGCTGAGCTTTTTTAATTGATAATATCAAATATCAGTCATCTGCATGTCTCAAAATATTACTTTGTGGTTGATTCTATACAGATAACCAAGAACGGTGTTTTTTTTTGTATCCGTATCACCATTCATGACTTCAGGTTTTGTACATCGAATTGATCCAAATCAGTCTGCATCGTTGGTTTTAATAGTAAATTTGCTGTGAATTACATAAACTAAAATTTTATGATATTTTTCATAGCATCAACAAAGAGAGTATAGTGGATGTGCAGGGCATTGTGCAGAAGGTTGATCAGAAAATTGAGAGTTGTTCCCAGCAAGATGTTGAGCTGCACATTGAAAGAGTAAGTGTTTTTACAAAAAAAGTAAACTTTGGATTTTTTTTTTAAAAAAGTGGGGAGAGCACGGGGGAGTGGGATTGAATTGGATAGCTCTTTTTAAAGAGCCGGCACAGACACGATGGGCCGAATGGCCTCCTTCTGTGCTGTATGATTCTATGATTCTAAGTACAATCTAGTAAATCTGTTGCACAACTATAGCCTGAAAGAGTATAAAAAAAAGTCTAGAAGATTTATATTTTGAAATACCAATTCAAATTTAAATCAAGTTGTCTCTTGAATTGTGAATTGTAGCCCTGTCCTGTAGCTCAGTGGTTAGAGCACTCGCCTCGCAAGCGAGAGATCTGGGTTCGATTCCCGGCAGGGCGAAACATTAGGCAAGTTTCCTTACTCCACACGTCTCTGTTTACTTAGCAGTAATTAGAACAGTTGTTAGTCAATTAGTGGATCGCGTTTCCGAGAGTAATAATTCTTTAAAAATGATAATTTGGTCTGCTTGTGGGACGCTGCTGTGCACAATTGGCTGCTGCGTTTCGCCCACAGAGTATACAGTCAATTCACTTTACAGTATATTTTGGGAAGCTGGAAGACATGATAAGGCGCTATATCGAATGTAAAGATTATTATTATCATAATTGACTTAATTTGCAACTTATAGTAAATTGGCACTAATTACTTGGAACCTAGTTTATCTTACTATTACTTTATATGAATCAGATTTTAGAGTGAGAGTTGAGTTACATATCAAGCTCACCACCCTGATTTGCTTTCAGTGCTTTTTCCTCTCATTCCTAGGCCTCGCTCACCATAAACCCTTTCTAATGTCAGCAATTTATAGTCTGGGATCAAAATCATGATCAGTTATGCAAATTTAGTTTGTTGTTCAAGTGAAATATCACTAACTATTCCTGCTCCATTTGTCATGTGTTTGCTTGCTGCTATTTTGTCATTCTGTCTTACTGTTTCTGTTGCTATTCTTACTTTCAGATCTATGTTATCAGCACAGCTGAGCCACGTCTGCCTTTGCAGCTAGATGATGCAGTTCGTCCTGAGACAGGAGAGGAGGTAAACATGACACTTTAAATCTTTTCATTAAGTACATCAATAAGCCTCAGTTTGACTAAGATTGTCGCACAATCACCAATTCAAATGCCATATCAGGGCTTGAACTCATGGGAGAGCACTGCATTATTAGAGACATTCAGTTAAGTTCCTATTGGCCTGTATTTAGCGCTCTGGAATGCTATCATGAGTGAGGAGCGCTATATAAATGTAAGTTATTGTTATTTAGAGAAGCTTCCCTCCCTGCTTCCCCCTTATTGAAAATGATTAATTTCTCCTAATACCCTAATCAACAATTGTTCAAATACACATGTACTGGCTTACTCAGAACACATCATTTTCACTCTGTACAAACAATGTTCTTTATACCTAGGGCCACTTGCATCATTCATTATATTGTTGTAGTTGTCTGCCTTAGTTGGCTGCATGGCAACAATAAGGAAGGAATTGATGGCTTTAATCTGCCTGCTCTTCCCTCCCTCGTTCCTGTTGTGACGGGTTGTCTTGTCACTGTGCCTCGTTCTGCCCGAGAGGTGGCCTTGGCTCTTTGTTGGAACCGTACTGTTCAGCTGCCCTGAGCACAGTGGAGGCTTTGACTTGAAGTCACTTGTGACCAACACATCCTGGAGTCTTTGTAGAATTGCCTCTGGAACACAGGCCATTTGATGCTTTCAGTTCAACTCTTGATTTTACAAGTGTGTGTCAGCTAGGTTCACTCTCGCCTCTGAGTCAGAAGATTGTGGGTTTGTATCCCATATTGGGACTTGAACTCACATAGTCTAAGCTGACACTCCAATGCAATGTTGGGGGCTGTTGCATTGTCAAAGCTGCCGTCCTTTGGATGACATGTTAAACCAAGGTCCCGTCTGCCTGTTTGTTCGTTAGGTAGACATCGAAGATCCCATGTCACTATTCGAAAAGAGAAGGGCGGTGTCCTGACCATCAATTTCCCTAAATAAAATTGGTCTTTTGTTTCATGGCTGTTTATGGGACATTACTGTGCACAATTGTGCTCACCTAATTTCCAGAAATCATTAGGACCAGGTTGGGGACCAAATGCCAACCCAACCAGCTGAAACCGTATTGCTTGCCATTGATATTGCTGTCCAGCAAGCTTTTCCGCTGCTTATCCAGCAAGGACTTGCCGGATTAACAGGAGCCGAGTGGGATGACTCCCTGCTCTGTCATTGGTCTGCCCTTCCAATTCCTGTCAATGAGCCAGCCTGGCTGTGCTGTCATCAGCAGTGTCCTGGAGTTCTGCAGACCAGCCTGGTTCAGGAGCCGGACTACCAAGACTGCCACTTGGCTCAAGGGTTGACTCGAGCCAGTAAGCTATAAAGAGACCCTGTTTACCTTTCCCCCCCCACAGGAGGATAGTCACTAATTGGTCTTTTGTCATCCGACAAGCATGGGTCTGAGCCCCCACTCAGTGAGGAGTACCAGGAACTCCCTGTGAGCTTCCTGGTGGGCAACACAGCTCAGCATGAAATACGTGAGAGCATTGCCGCCATCTTCCTGTCCGCAGCTCAGACACACCTCCCTTCCCATTGGGTTTCACCAATTAGAGAAGCGGAGCGTAAGCTGCACCTGGTTACCTCATTGCAGGCCAATCAAGATGGATTCCAGGTGCTGGATGTGCTCATGTGTGTTCACATGAGTGTGTTCACACTCCGTTCAGCTGGCTCTGGCCTGCTCCACATCCCCTGACCCACCCGCCCCACCATTGGCGAGAGAGCCTTCAGCCACTCTGCCCCCAACCTCTGAAATTCCACCCCCCAGTCATTCTGCCTCGCCCCATCCTTAGCCTCCTTCAATTCCCGCCTCAAGACCCTCCTCTTCGACCATGCCATCGGCCATCCCCCTTCCCCTCCCTCCCTTCCCCCCAACCCCAGCTCGGGTCTGAAATGCTGTACACTACCCAGGCCTTGGGACGTCCTCCTCAGCTACCTGGCAGAATCTGCCTTCAGTGTGGTGGAAAGACCCTGTTATTCTTTATAAACCAGAAAAAGATGATGAACCTTTAAGACTTTTTTGTCTTGCTAATATTTTTAAAAACTTACTGGTGCAATTTGTTATGGACTGTGATCATAAAATCCCCTGGGTGCAGATGTTTAACAGGGAGAGTTACACAATATAGCAGGTGCTTTTAGGCTTTTGTGATCAACAGAAAACGGAACTAAAAATGTTAGGTCATCACTCATATGATTGGATTTTGGGGTTGTGTTTAACATAACAATGCTTTGTGTGTTATAGTTGAACTAGACATGCAATATCCTTCCTCTCCTGTAACAATCTTCAACAACAGCAACAAGATTTCATTTATAGAGCGCCTTTCATGTCGGGAGGACGTCCCAAGGCGCTGTACAGTTGGGTCAGGACCCGAGCAGGGGGGAAATGGTCAGGGTGAGGGGAGGGAAGGGACTGTCCTGGGTCTATGATTCCTCAACTGTTGTCAGTTTTAGAGAATAAAACCTTAGCACCACAAATGGAAGTTTTCTAATGCATTTTCACCACTTTTTACAATTTTTAAAAATAACTTTGGATAGGAACAGGAGTAAGCCGTTCAAAGCCTGTTCCGCCATTCTATTAGATCACGGTTGGTCTTTACCTCAACACCAAATAAATAAGTTTGTGGACACACTTGTATTAATGGATAACCTGATTTCCCAGACCAGTGTGACCACAAAAATGCCAAAAATAATTGTAAATGTTTGTTTCACATAGGAAGGAAGAGCAACTGTTAACCAGGATACAAGGCTTGATAACCGAGTCATTGACTTGAGGGTAAGATAGATTTGTATTGTGTAGCTACTAATACACTTGTATTTCTTATCTACCGTTGCACTTTGAGAGATCCGTCATTTACCCATGTATCTGCCTAACTCGCTTGTTGTGCAGAAATAAGACCTGATATTTAAGTATTTATCTGGTTTAATAAGGAAAACACGTATGTACATTAGGGACTGAATTTTCTGATATAAATTTATCAGCACATCATGTTGGTTTGGGCTTACATTTGAGAAATCACAAACTGGAAATGTAATGATAAAGTAATTTATAATTGTGTTTAAAGCATGAAAGGAAATTCTTGTAAACCTCCAAAATCTGTTTGTAAGTCTGGATTCTTTTTTAAAAACATCTCACAGCAATATTCATTAATACCAGTGCGTGCACAAACTTATTTCTTTGATTTTTATTGTAGACAACGACAAGTCAGGCCATCTTTCGCCTGCAATCTGGTGTCTGCCAACTGTTTCGGGAAACATTAATCAATAAAGGATTTACAGAAATTCAGACTCCAAAAATCATCTCAGGTACTTGAAAGCGTTTTTCAATTTCTGACCTCGTCACAAATATTTTATCTATTACAGTCAATTCACTCTACAGTATATTCTGTATTTTTGTTAATTGAAGCAATTGAAGCAATAAATAAGCCCAGACTTTGAGAAGTGGTCCTCTTGCCATCTAACAGGAAACTGACCTGGGCGGGGGGAGGAGTTGGAAGAGTTAATGAAACAAATTATCGAGTGGGCTTCAGTGCCTTTGACCAAATGGATGAAAAAATATCTTTTCAACTGCAATTTCAATCTTTATTGAACTAGTGCAAATATACCTTATGATTAACCTCTAACTACAGTTACAATTGTGCTACAAATAGGATAATTTTTAATTGATAAGTATGCTCATTGGAGTAAAAAATAGGAGTGAACAAAACATTAAGTTGTAATAAACCAACTTAATCCATGATTGTGTTTACAGTCACCTTGTAGACTGTGCCAGTCATGTGCCAAAGTGTATTTTCCACACAAGAGTTTTCACATGCAGCATAGTGGTTAGAGCACTCGCCTTGTGAGCAAGAAGACCTGGGTTTAATTTCCAGCAGGCCGAAACATTGGGCAAGTATCTTTACTCCACACGCCTCTGTTTACCTTGCAGTAAATAACAACAATAAGATTACATTTGTATAGCACCTTTCACGTCGGGAGGAATCCGGTTATTAGTCGATTGGCGGATTGTTTTTCCAGGGGTAATAATTCCTTTTTAAAAAAATCTGGTCACTCAGTGCACAACTGTCTGTGGGACACTGCTGTGCACAATTGGCTGCTGCGTTTTGCCCTCAAAATATACAGTCAATTTACTTTACAGTATATTTTGTGAAGCGCTTTGAGACGTCTCGAAGATGTGATAAAGCGGTATATCAAATACAAGGATTATTATTATTTCAATTACAATGTTTGAAACTGAGCAAATTCTTCATTCTCAGCACCCTTCACACACACCGTGGAGTTCATGTCCGTACTGATACCAAACAATGGGGAAAGCCATGAAGAGGGCCAGTCTTCCTTTAAACAATATTTCAACATCATGATATCAACGTTTGGAGTTGACTTCCATGAGGTTCAAACTCTTGTGCTGTGTATGAGGCACAGATGGACAAGAGCAATACACAAACATACTAGGACTTTTTTTTCTTTCTCTATATTTTAAAGACCCTGTATTTTAGACTCTCAACGCGGTATGATCCTAGAACAATGAGTAACAACTCCAGACAGATTTGGGAACTGCTGGTAAAATACAAACCACATTGTTACCAATTAACAGGAAAACCCCCACCTGATTCAGTAAAAGGTCATTGTGTTCACTCTATGGACAGACACATCCTGGGCAGATTACAATCAATGAAAAGATACCAGGCTGCTGCATGGAGCAACTGATGTTTTCACAAAACCAGAGTTTAGTAGTCACAGACGAGAGGTAGTTCAGCAGGGCAGTCTTTGACATGAAGGTTTATTAGGCACTTAAGATTTTTTTGAAAATGGATATTGTGTTTTAGTATTCGATCTAAATGTAGTTCAGAACACTTGTGAAAATAACCAAACCCCTCCAAAAAAAACTACATATACTACAGGTTTCGAGTAACCCATTTGATCTTTGTATTCAGTTCTGCAATGCCTTTGAGTTGTTTGTTTGGTGCACTACTGCCCTCTCTTGGTGTTGACTAGGTATGTGTGGTACACTCTGCTGTTTGGCCCGGCCCGTTCTGTTTAAATCTGAATTTCATCAATATGTAAATACTGAATCTAGCACATACTACCTTACGTTACAATTCATGTAATCTAGCACATTGAAATCAGCAAATGAGTTAGCTTTCTGTTTTTTTTAACTCATCTCGGGATGTGGGTCAGTGGCATTTACTGCTGGGCAATTTCAAATGGTGATAAGAGACAGCCACATAGTGTGGAACTGGTCACATGTGATAAGGATGGCAGATTTTCTTACCTGATGGACATTAGTGAACTAGAATACATTAGAATATACAGCACAGAAACAGGCCATTCGGCCCAACTGGTCTATGCCAGTGTTTATGCTCCACATGAGCCTCCTCCTGCCCTTCCTCAACTAAGCCTTCAAGCATAACCTTCTATTCCTTTTTCCCTCATGTACCTCTCTAGCTTTCCCTTAAAATATATCTATGCTATTTTCCTCAACAACAACAACACAACAACAACAAAATTACATTTATAGAGAACCTTACACGTAGGGAGGACGTCCCAAAGCGCTGAACAGTCAGGTGTCAGGGTCCGAGCATGGGGGAGGGGTGGTGTAGGGGTGAGGGAAGGCAGAGAGGTGGGAGAGACCGGGTCTTGAGACCGGCCTTGAAGGAGGGAAGCGAGGCGAAGCAACCGTGGGATGGAGTTCCAGAGTGTGGGGACAGAGAGGCTGAAAGTCCGGCCTATGATGATAGGGCGGGTCGGGCGGGAGGCATGGAGCAGACTGGAGTCCACTGAACGGAGGGAGCGGGCAGGTTGGTAGGGAGTCAGCAGGTCAGAGAGGTAGGAGGGGGCAAGGCCATGGATGGTCTGAAAGGTGAGGACGAGGATCTTGAACTCGATCCTCTGGGGGATGGGGAGCCAGTGGAGTTGGGCGAGGGTGGGAGTGATGGGATCGCGGAACCTGGTGCATAAGAATACACGAGCTGCAGAGTTTTGGATGATCTGCAGTTGGTGAAGGGAAGAGTTGGGAAGGCTGATGAAGGTTCCTGACTGGCTTAGTGAGGTTGAGTGTGCAGCCGTGGAGGCTGATGTTGCCAGCGCCTGAGGTGCAGAGGCGATGGCGAGAGCCAATCAGGAGGGCCTCGGTCTTTCTGACGTTCAGTTGGAGAAAGTTGGCCCTCTTTCAGGACTTGATGTCGGACAGGCAGTCGGTCAGGACACCAGTAGTCCTGGAGTTCAGGGTGGAGGCAGAGAGAAAGTTTGGTGTCATCCACATACATGTGGAAATTTACCCCATGTCTGCGGATGATGTCACCAAGGGGGAGCGTGTAGAGGGTGAAGAGGAGGGGACCGAGGACAGAGCCCTGAGGAATCCGGCACGAGACGGTGGGGGGACTGGAGGAGAAGCCGTTTGCCGCGACGAAGTGGAGGCGGTGTGAAAGGTAGGACCTGAACCAGTCAAGGACAGAACCTTGAAGGTTGAGGTGGGAGGAGAGACTGAGAGCCTGTCCGACATCAAGTCCTGGACAAGGGCCAAGTGTGGTCTAACCAAGGTTCTATTGAATTTTACCATAACATCCCTGCTTTTCATTTCTATCCTTCCAGAAATGAACCCCAATCCCTGATTTGCCTTTTTTATGGCCTTATTAACTTGCATTGCTACTTTTAGTGAATTATGTATGTGTACCCCTAGGTCGCTTTGCTCATCTACCCCATTTAGGTTTTTATTTTCCAGGTTGTGTATGAACTAGTTGGGGCTTTACAAATAATGCAGCAATTTTGTGGCTATTTTTCTGGTCCACGTTTAATGTACCTACCAAGATTCTGGAATTCAGGTTATGAAACTGCTATAGCGGGAATCCAACTCATGACCTTGGGAATACTATTTCAAATTACAAACTATTTGAACAAATTGAGGATTAATTAGCAACCAACGTAAGGGAAATTACATTTTCATTAATTGTTAATTTGATACTTGAGATACTTACATCTGTGATTTTATTTCTACACTTACTTGCACATGATTAATCCAACTCACAAATAATACACATAGGTTTTTTAACCCAACCCGCAATTCATTGGTTTTAGAAATTAATTATTATGGAAATGGAAAATTTAGATGAATATTTTTTGTCTTCCAGCTGCCAGTGAAGGGGGAGCCAATGTGTTCACTGTGTCGTACTTTAAAACCAGTGCTTACTTAGCTCAGTCACCACAGCTTTACAAGCAGATGTGTATTTGTGCTGACTTTGACAAAGTATTTTGTATTGGACCTGGTAAGTTTAATTTTTCTAATTCTTCCTACAATCTTGTATCTTCCAATGACGTGTTTAAAAGTTTTTGGGGTGAAGTTCAAAACTAGTGAGACACATTATGGAAAGAAGAGATCTAGGATGCAGATGCATAGATCTTTAATGCTGGAATTGCAGATGGAAAAAACCCATAAATAAGAAGAAATCTTTAATTTTCTGGAAGGTTTCGAGAGAATGAAAGATTATTTGAGCTGCTTAGGAAATGCATAATAAAGGGGCATAAGATCAGATTTGTTACAAAGTTTGAAGACGTGGCATATGCTCTTCATGATGCTTCTCCAGTTTTAATAATATTCCTGTTTTGCATAGTTATTTAAATTCCTTTTATGCTGATGAATTGGATAGCATTGCAACAGAATTATTTTTGAGTGTTTTAGATTTTGGCAGTTATTGCCTTGACTCTGCTTTTCAGTGTTCCGAGCTGAGGACTCCAACACACATCGTCACCTGACTGAATTTGTTGGGTTGGATATTGAGATGGCTTTTAATTACCACTACCATGAGGTGGTAACTCAGATAACTGATACATTGGTCCAAATCTTCAAAGGCTTGAGAGACAGGTAAAGTAACTCATTTACTTTGTACTTACAGTGCATTTGCCCTTTGAAGTTTTGTGCAACTTAAAAGATAATGGACAACTAAAAAGCACATTCTCTTCTGAAGTGGAAACAAACATACAACTTGAGCTGTAGCGCAAAAGTATTTAAATCCTCAGTATTGCTTATTGTAATTGTTTCACTGAGCAGGTATCAGACTGAGATTCAAACAGTGGGCAAGCAATTCCCAAGCGAACCTTTTAAGTTCTTGGAACCAACTTTGATACTGGAATATCCAGAAGGTGTGGCCATGCTGAAGGAAGCTGGTGTGGAGATGGGAGATGAAGAAGATCTGAGGTAAAGATGAACTGTTTATAGTAAGAAACGTTAGATTAAAATTTAATCCTAACAGTCAATATACTGGCAGTAAAAAAAAACTTTAGAAATTAGTTGCTTCACACACTGAACCTAAAATGATTCTTTTATTGCTGCAATAAGATGACATTACTGCCAGTTATGTTGAGGTTTCTCAAAATAAATAAATGGGGAAAATAAACTGAACATGAACAGGTAATTATTGGAAGGTCAAGCATCTGCAATGCATAATTCAATAATAGGGTAGATTTTTTTGATGTAATTGAAAATAAGCAGAACTAAAGTCGGGTGATATTAGACACTCAATATGGTGAGCGTTCAATTTGACTCGTCAGAGTTTGCATATTATAATGTTAATTGATGATCTTGAGCAGATTATTACATTTACTTTTCAGCACTCCAAACGAAAAACTATTGGGTCGCCTGGTGAAGGAAAAGGTAATACATTGAGAAATACAGTGGAGCCCCAATATAATGTGGTAATTGGGGTCCATAAAATCCCAACTGTAAAACTATATGCTAGTGCTATAAAGGGGCCATTTACTGCTTTTCACATTTACTGCCGCATTTACCAGCTTCCTGCCAATCAGCCAGAATCCTGTGCTAAAAAATGGCTAAAGAAAAAGCATGTATTAGTGTAAAATAATTTTGCATACATGGCAAAGTCACCATGCAGATGACAACAACAAAATTACATTTGTATAGTGCCTTTCACGTCAGGAGGACGTACCAAGGCGCTGGACAGTCAACATTTTGGACCTGAGCTGGGGTCCAGATTGGGGAGGGTGGAGGGCGGGGGGGGAAGAAGGTTGATCAAAAGTACAGTTGAAGAGGAGGGTCTTGAGATGGGTCTTGATGGAGGCAAGTGAAGGGGTGAGGTGGAGATGCTGTGGGATGCCATTCCAGGGACTGGAGGTAGATTGGCAGAAGGCCTGCCCACCAATGGTGGGCCAGGCGGAACAGGGGACGTGAAGCAGGCCGGAGCCTGCTGAGCGGAGGGAGCGGGCAGGTTGGTAGGGGGTTAGGAGGTTGCACAGGTAGGGGGCAGTGAGGCCATGGAGGGCTTTGAAGGTGACGGGAAGTTAGTGGAGTCGGGCGAGAATGGGAGTGACAGGGTCACGGAGCTACAGAGCTCTGGATGATCTATAGCATTTGGAGGGAGCAGATGGGGAGACCGACAAACAAGGAGTTTGCATAGTGAAGCCTGGATGTTATGAATGCGTGTATGAGGGTTTCGGCGGCCTGCGGTATGAGACAGTAGCGGAGCTGGGCGATGTTGCGGAGGTGGGGGAAGGCAGAATGGGTCATGGCACAGATGTGGGGTAGAAAGGATATTTGAGGGTCAAACAAGACTCCCAAGGTTCCGGACTGGCTTAGTAAGGTGGAGTGTGTATCCATGGATGGTGCCTGAGATGTGGAGATGCTGACAGGAGCCAATCAGGAGGGCTTCGGTCTTGTTGATGTTCAACTGATGAAAATTAGCTCTCATCCAGGACATAATGTCTGACAGACATGCTGTCAAGTCAGCAGTGATCCTGGAGTCAAGGGTGGATGTAGAGAGGTACAGTTGGGTGTTATCTGTTGAAGTTGACCCCATGTCTGTGGATGATGTCACTAAGAGGGAGCATATAGATATTGAAGAGGAAGGGGAACCTTGGACAGCCCTGAGGAACGCCGCATGAGACAGTGTGGGGGCTAGAGGAGAAACTGTTTGTGGAGATGAAGTTAAGGCGGTGTGAGAGCCATTCAAGGAAAGAACCATGAAGGTTGAGGTGAGAGGAGAGGTTAGAATGGTCAGCGATGTCGAAGGCAGCAGAGAGGTCAAGGAGGACGAGGAGGCAGAGGGAGCCCTGGTCGCAGATGGACAGAATGTCATTTGTCACTTTGATCAGAGCTGTGGGCGGCACGGAAACCCAATTGGAGGGGTTTGTGAAGGGAATAGCGGGAGGTGAAGCTGAGAAGCAACAACTCATTCCAGCCAGGAGCTTGGAGAGGAAAGGGAGGTTGGAGATGGGACCGTAGTTTGAGAGCAGGAATGGGTCCAGGGTTTTCTTTTTAAATATAGGAGTGATGATGGACGTTTTTAAAGGGGTGGGAACGGTACCAGTGGACAGGGAGAGTTTTATGATGCAAGTAGGTGGATCTGCGAGGTAAGGAGGGAGGTAAGGATGGGGTTGAGAGAGGAGGTGGTCAGTTTCATGTGGGTTATAGTGGTGGTGAGAGAGGAGTGGGAGACAGGTTCGAAGGTGTGGAGGGAGGGATGGGTAGGGGCCAGGGTATGAGGGGGAGATGGGAAGGAGGTAGTGGACGGAAGGGCAGAGGCAACTGAGCGGTTTCCCTTGACTTTGGATTCAAAGAAATCCAGCATTGCCTCACAGTTGGCATTGGAGGAGAGAATGGGCAAGGCATGAGAGGGTGGGTGGAGGAGCTGGTTGGTGATGGAGAAGAGGGGCCTGGGGTTATCCTTGACCTCCAAGATTGTCTTGGAGTAGAACGACGATTTAGCAGAGGCAAGGGTGGAGCAGTAAGATTTGATAAGGTCTAGTCAGATCTGCCAATGGACCGTTAAGTTTGATTTAAGCCAGGTGCATTCAGCGGCATGCACCTGTGCTTTAAGGGATCGGAGATGGCTGGTGTACTATGGTGACTTTCGTGAGTAGGAGACGGTTCAGGAAGTGAGGGTAGCAAGGGAATCAAGAGTAGTGGAGTGGGAGAGTGACCAAGGAGGATAGGTCATTGTGGGAGGAAGCCCAGAGGGGAAGGAGTTCAGATGACTCAAAGGCAGCAGAGAGTGGGGTGGAGGGAATTTGTTTTCCTGGGGTGGTAGGAAATGGAGATGGGTTGGGTGGCGGTGGGGAGAGAGATTGAGTAGTTAAAGGAGATGAAGTGATGGTCTGAGATCGCTTTGTCGATGATGGTGAGGTTCGAGACAGTGAAGCCTCGAGTGATCACCAGGTCGAGAGGGTGACCGTGGATATGGGTGGCGGAGTGGATGCGGAGGGAGGAGAAGTCAACGGAGGTAGAGCAGGAGGGGTGAAGTGAAGGTTGAAGTCGAGTGGGAGTAGTGGAGGGTAGAGAACAGGAGTGGGAGCTTTTTGGGGAAGCAGCTCAGGTCGGTGGCGGCAGCCAAAATGCGCAGTCTGAGACTAAGACCGAAGGGTGGGGGTGGGCAGCGAGGCATGGTTAGCCTGCTGGCGTGGATCATCATGGGGAGAGATTGACAGTCTTATAGTCCCAAAATGTTTGAGTTTTTTTTAATATCTTTTCAGTACGATACAGACTTCTATGTCCTCGACAAGTATCCTCTGGCTGTGAGGCCTTTCTATACAATGCCGGACCCACACACTGCAGTAAGTAAAACTCCTGTGCTGATGTAATACACATAATCTAATAAAATATTAAACAAAAAAACATTTAATAATTTTCAATGTTCCTAGAAATACTCCAACTCGTATGACATGTTCATGAGAGGAGAGGAAATTTTATCTGGAGCCCAGAGAATCCACGATCCTCAGCTTCTGACTGACAGAGCACTCCATCTTGGCATAGGTATGGTAAACTATTTAATACTGTATAATTTCAGGCATTTATTGGTAGTAAATGTACAATGGCCTGACAGTACGGAAGCTTCTTGTGGTCAGGAGGATCTGGATCCATTCTCTGGCAGGTCCAGGACTCCTATCCTCACTAAACCTGATGCAAATGCGATGGTTTGCTGTGAAACCTGTGTCACCTCCTAAATGGCCTAGTGCAGGAGGAGGTACGAGGGTTTATCATTTTATAAATAAAGAATTATTTTTTGTAACTTTTTTTCCTTAATTGGTGTAAGTACTTTGAAAGATTTGAAGTATTTGAGCTTCATGCTAAGCAGCATAAATGAGAAATAAACATCCAATGCATTTGTATCTTGAAAAGCTTCACTCTTTGTTTTACTTTGCAGATGTGGAGAAAATAAAATCATACATTGATTCCTTCCGTTTTGGTGCTCCTCCCCATGCAGGTGGTGGAATAGGTAATGTATCATTTCTACCACTTTTTTTAATTAAACTTTCCAGTTACCAATGGATATAAATGTGTAATAATTTCATGTTTAATTTCCTCTTTTCAATTCCTAGGTTTGGAACGTGTTACCATGCTGTATCTGGGTTTGCACAATGTACGGCAGACATCTATGTTCCCACGTGACCCCAAAAGGTTGACTCCCTGAGTCAACCTTAAGGATGAATAGATCTGCTTTGATAAACTGATATGCATAAATGATCAGTCATATGTTAAAATGACTGATATGTTAAAAAAGTGCCACAAAAACAGTTTTTACCAATCCATTGTAATTTGTTCCAGAATGTAAATTTGATACAGTATTACTACTTAAATATTTCTTAAACTAATGTACTGAAATTACTGTAGAAAATACATTACTTAATCATCTGTAATGTAAAAAAAGATATTTAGTTTTAACAATAAAAAGGCTCAGAAGAAATGTATAACCTATTATGTTTACAGACAGTCTATCAGGTGCAATGTTGGAATTTACAAGGTGGCTTGTAGTAATAATCTCAAATTGGAGTGGCAAATGGAAGTAAAGCAGACTAGGAATTTATAATGGCAACAAAATTTGGATTTTAAGAAATTCTAAACTTAAGAATTGTCAATAAAATTAACAATTAACTAAAAATGTGAGGGGTTCATGTTTCTTTCTGAATGTGATGTATGTTACTTTGGTGAACTGTTTACCAAGTTCTATGAATACTGGTCATTGCCAGCCTATTTCTGTTTTTTAGGTCGGGTCACTAGAGCAAAAAAATCATGAGCTGAAGAATATTTCTGGAGATCTTAATACTCAATATGTTGCATTTTATTTCCTGTCCTGAATGGAATTGGTCCCATATGAAATTATCCATGTATAATACATTTCAAAGAGCCTAAACTAGTATTAATTTTATGATTATGTCATCATCAACCATTGGGTTGCTCAAAGGACACTCTTGTAGGTGATGCAACTTGTTGCATCCGTAATAGAAAATGGATCAGGCGCACCTATGATATTCCCACAGTAAGCTGATTTTATTCATGTCATTTTGGCAATTGCTAAGTGGAGTCCTGGCATTCCGACAGGAAGAGGAAAAACTATGTTTGCTGATCAACATCTCACAGGCAAGCAATGAATAGAGGTCTAAAGTGCACGTCAATGTGTCAGAGGCCATCAATGTGACCGAGGTGGAAGAAAGTAGTCCTGGTCAGGGAACAGATGTGGAGTAGAAAGGAAAGCTGGGGATTGAACCTGACCCATAAGTTTGCACAGTCTGGTGAGTCTGAGGGAGGTTGAGGAGTTCAGACCCACAGGAGTGAAGACGTTGACTGGAGCCAGAGTATGGCTTTTGTCTTGCCGACATTCAGCTGCAGGAAACTTGAGCTCATCCAGGCCTTAATGTTCGTCAAACAAGCTGACCAGACATAAGCCGACTGGGAGTTGCAGCTGGAGAAGAAGTAGATTTGGGTGTCATCCGCATACATATGGAAGTTGATCCCATGTCTATGGATGACATTAGTGAGAGGGAGCATGTAGATAAGCAAAAGCAGTCGGTCTTGGATGGAGCCTTGGGGTACCCTGGGTGGGGGAGGAAAAAACATTTGCTGAGATGTATTGTTGGCGGTTTGTTAAATAGAACTCGAACCATGTGAGTGCAGTCCCATTAAGGTGGATGAGGGAGTACAGGCGGTGGAGGATGGGGTGATCGACTGTGTCGAACATGGCGGAGTGGTCCAAGAGAACGAGGAGGCAGAGGGAGCCCTGGTCACAGAAAGAGGACGTCATTTGTTACTTTGACGAGTCTGTCTGTGCTGTGGACAGGGCGAAAATCGGACTAGAGGGGTTCAAGTCGGGAAGGGAGCAAAGTTGATTTCCAAAGATGTGTTCCAAAACTTTGGCCAGGAAGGACGGATTTGAGATAGGTCTGAAGTTTGTGAAGTTGAAGGTAGGTTTTTTTAAGGCGAGGAGTGATGACAGCGGTTTTGAGCGAGTGAGAGACAGAGCTTGAGGAGAGGGACTGGTTGATTGTGTCAGCCAGTAGTGGACAGAGGAGGGGTAGTTGAGTGACCAGAAGCTGGGTGGGGAGAGGGTCTAAGTAGCATTGATGGGCTTCATCTGGATGATGGTGGAGGAAAGGAAGAAGAGATTAGGGCAAAGGAGTGTAGGGTGTGGGCTGTGGTAAGAGGAGTGGGTGGTGAAGGAGGCATGTAGGGGGTGCGGTTGGCGACATGGGAGAGGAGGAGGCAGCCAGGCAGATATTGTCTCTTAGAGATAGAGGTCCAGGAGGTGGTGAAGGAGAACAGGATTTGGGGTTTATTTTTGGCCTTGATAATGACCTGTGAATGGAAGGCGGTTTTGCTTTAAGAGAGGGAGTGGCAGTATGTATGAAGACCCTCGAGCCACAGTTGGCAGTGAACCATGAGTCTGGCTTTGTGACATCTGTGCTTGACCAACCAGGTTTGGGATTTGAGGATGTGACTGTACCGGGGGAGTGGGCAGGCTTGGAAACGAACCTGGTTTTCAACGGAACAAGGGAATTGAAAGTTGAGGAGAAGTGATCATTTAGCAGCTTGATGGCTGCTATTTGGATCACTGCAGGTGGAAGGCCAGAGGAGAGAAGGGATGAAAGGGCATTCATGAGGGAATCGGGGGAAAGAGGGCGGAAAAACATGGTGGAGGGCTTGGAGGAGGGGAGGGTGGTCTGAGATGGCTTAAGTCATGTCTAGGTTCTTACAGCAACAAATAAGCAAGCGAGAGCTCTTAAGTATAAAGAAGGTGACTCAGAGGGGACCTCATTGAAGTGTGTAAAATTTTACAAAAGAGATTAAAAAAGTAAACCCAGATAGATCAATAGTTAAGGATGCACCGAGATACAGGTTTAGAATTGTAAAGGGTAAATTCAGGAGAGATGCCAGAAAGTTTTTCTTTACTCGGGTTAATCGACCACTGGAACAGGTTGCCAAGAAAGGTGGTAGAGGCCAGGACATTGGACTCATTTTTTTTTAAAAAGCAGCTTGATGCTGTGCCGAGAGGGTAGGTGTTGTGGAAGGATGAGGTGAGGTTGGCTTTTACAAACCTGCACCTAATACAATTACAAAGGGTATTCTTCAGACCAATCTTGTGATCCAGGTTTATGGATTTGACGAGCACCCTGTCAGCTCTGTGTCTGGGCTCCACTCTCTCACTCGCCTCTGTTTACGTCGCAGTAACGCAGGAACCCGGTCATTAAAACACTGAAAATAATTTGGCCGATTGTTTGTGGGACACTGCGGTGCGTAACTGGCTGCTGCGTTTCGCCCACAAAATATAGTCAGTTCACTTTACAGTGTATTCTGTGAAGCGCTTTGAGATGTCTCAAAGGCGCTACATCAAATTGCAAGGATTATTATTATTATTATTATTATAGGTTTGCCAGAAATTAAAATACGTTTGTAGCCCAAAGTCAACCAAATCCTAGCCCGAAAGTAGCCCAAATAATGCCTTGCCTCCTGTGGGTAGCAGAGTGACCAACCTGGGTTGGTGCTTTTCAAACTGCGTAAGAAAAGGTCTTCAAAGGCGGGAATGACACAGATTTGCAGAGGCCATTGCAAATGAAAACTTTTTTTAAAAAAAAGGTTTTTTTTTCACGCACAAAACAACAGCCCCACTCCGGCCGCTCGGCTCACCGGAAGTTCTGGGTTCGTCCGTGGGGGCGGAAGTCCCGCCTTCTCCTCGACAGCGCGTCCTTCCATTGGCTGGCCCGGGTCGGCGCGCCTTTCCATTGGTCCCGGAGTGGCGGGAACAGCTGGTCACGTGGGCAGCGCGAGCGGTGCGGGGGAACGAACGGTTCCGCTGTTGGTTGTCCGGTTTTGAATTGAATTCGGAATTTCAGCCGTTTAACGGAAGGAAACATGGACCTGACGGCGGCGGCGGCGGCGGGAGGGCAGCAGGTCAAGGACGAGCTGGCAGAGAAATGTCAGAAACTGCTGCAGGATTTCCTGGAGGAGTAAGTGCTGTGAGGGAGGGAGGGAGGGAGGGCGCTGGTCCCAGTCCTGGCACCAAACTTATCTTATTAACAATAATCTATTTTACTGTTAAAATAGATTATTATAATTGGGAGTTTAAATTCCCCGGAGAGGAGTTTTAAAAAGCCGAGATTCCTGACCCCCTCTTTCTCCCCAAACCTTCTCCCACCGACTACCCATTGACTGTCTTCCATGTCATGTGTTGATCTGCGGGCGCCGAGGATCACTGGCTGTAGCTGAGGGTTAGACCGCCCGCCTCGCAAGCGAGAGACCTGGGTTTGAGTTTCCTCACTCCACACTCCTCTGTTTACTTGGCAGTAAGTAGGAACCTGGTTGTTAGTCGATTGGCGGATCGCTTTTCCGGGGGTAATAGTTCCTTCAAAATAAATAATTTATCGCTCGATCCATGACTGTTTGTGGGCCGCTGCTATACGCAATTGGCTGCTGTGTTTCGCCCACAGAATTTACAGTCAATTCACTTTACAGAGTATTCTGTGAAGCGCTTTGAGACGTCTTGAACACGTGATAAGGCGCTGTATCAAATGCACGGATTATTATTATCCAAGTTGATGAAGATTTTAACCACTTTATCTTTGAGATTGAGAGATTGCCACCGCGGTGATTGTCCAGTGCCCTGGGACGCCTTTTCCGACATGAAGAGCACTATACACGTGTAATTTGTTGTTATTCCTGTAAGCCGAAGCCCTAACCGAAAGCTTGCCAGATAGTGCTCTCAATGCCAAGTTTTGTGGTTTTAGCTGGTTAGACTCCAGCAGTATCCCAGTGAATACTCTTGCGAACATGCACCTATTGCACCCGTGGAGTCCTGTAGCTCAGTGGTTAGAGCAAGCGAGACGCTTGGGTTCAATTCCAGGCAGCGCGAAACCTTGGGCAAGTTTCCTTACTCCACACGCCTAATAATAATCCCTCCAAAACAATAATAAATTGGTCATTTTCAATCCACGACTGTTTGTGGGACACTGCTGCCCCATTTTGCCCGCAAATAAATGATCACTTCACTTTACAGTATATTCTGTGAAGCACTTTGAGAAGCCTAGAAGACTTGAAAAGCGCTATATCAAATGCAAGGATTATTATTATATTAATTACTCCTTGGGATTAGGGAAGCAGGATGCAACACTCCAGGGAGAGACCGCGCATTCCAATAAATATCTTGGGAATTCCCATGTATAGGTGGGATGCATACAACTCAGTTTGGATTGGATACTCTTAAGCACAATGATGGGTTTCTGCGTGTATCAGCCATCTGGCTGACCAAAAAAAACAAATAAAGGACTGTTGTCTGCTCCTCTTTAGATTGCAGTATGTGGAAGCAGTTTTGTAGGAATAAACCTTTCTTCCTTATACAGATTCCAGAACAGTGATGGTGAGACTAAATACTTGCATGATGCTGAAGAGCTGATCCGCCCAGAGAGGAACACGCTTTCTGTGAGCTACATAGATCTGGAGCTGTATAACCAGCAGCTGGCTACCACTATTCAAGAGGAATTTTACAGGTAGAAAAAAANTACTTTTTGATCTTGGCATAAGATAAGCAAAAATAATGTAGAAAGATACAGAACTTCACATTGAAGACGCCGTTCGGCGTGGAAGACGATATATAAATCCCAAGTTGTTGTTATGTAACGTCATGCAATAGGTATTCAATAACTTTAATAGTATTTAAGATAAAACAATTTTGCTTTATTGGAGGGAAAATGTAAATTAAGCTTTTTTTAAAAAAAGCCTACCTCGCTGTAGAGAGAAAAGGAATAGCTACATTTTCTGTGTTATTATGGCTGAAGATTTTGCATTTTATTTCCAGGGTTTATCCTTTCCTTTGTCGAGCTGTTCGAAATTTTGCTAGAGATCATGGAAATATTCCACCAAACAAAGAGTTTTATGTCGCAATCCAGGACTTACCTGCCAGACACAAGTAAGAGATACTTTGATGTCTATATCAATATGGATAGATTTCAGTGAAATTTCTATGAGGTATATTGGATTGAAGTAATCTGTTAAAGTTGTATAGTAAAATTCAGTTAATTGAATAGTTTGGTTTATTGAATAGAATTTAGAGCTCCAGAGATGAATCTCATATTGTGTTTAGCCTGGTCATAAAAATAGTTTGTTTTATTGAATAATTTTCATTGTTAAATTGAGTATTCAATTAACAGAATTTCACTATATTTAGGTGAGAAAGAGACAGGTATTGCTGTCTAACATAAATACAATGGCCTTTTCAAATCATTATTGACTCGATTTGAAGAACTAATTAACTTGTCATTTCAGTGATTTGGCTGTTTGAGTCTGATCTGTATAAATCTCAAACAGTAGAACCTCACTAATCCGGTCACGTTTAAGAGTTTATATTCTATGCAAGCTTGGCATAACTCATACTTTGCATAAGTCGTATGAAGTGTATGGTCCCAACTAATACGACTTATGTGAGGATTAGTGTAGTAATAATCCTTCTATTTAGTAATAATTAATAATTACATTTGAAATAGAGCCCTTCAAGTCAACAGCAAATTGCATTTATTTTGTCAGGAGGATGTCTCAAAGCAGGGTACCCTTTGCAGAGTATACTGTAAAGTGGAGGACTTTATGGGTTAATTAATCTGGCTGTCAATTTGCACAAAGCAATGAACAGTCATGAAATGAATAAGTGAATTTTATTTGGGGAAATTGTTGGCCAGAAACTCCCTTCTGTCTTCATATAGTGCTCTGGGATCTTTAACGTCTACCTGAACAGGCAGACAAGACCTTGGGCAACACCACCTCCAAACATTGCAGCACATTGGAGGTGACTTAGAGGGGATAGTACTACCAACTGAGCCAAGCTGACACAATTAAATGTGGACTAAATTGGGGGTTTAATATTACAATGACTGGAGTTTTACTGTATTTAATCTGGTAACAATAATATACAAATTCTTCCATAAAAATAAATTTTGGATCAAAAGTTTAACCAGGTGACATTTGATTTACTCTAAACCAGAATAAGAGAACTGACTGGAGCAAAGATTGGAACCCTCCTGCGCATCAGTGGGCAAGTTGTTCGAACACATCCTGTTCATCCAGAGTTGGTCAGTGGAACATTTATGTGTCTGGACTGTCAGACAGTGGTCAAAGATGTGGAGCAACAGTTCAAGTACACACAGCCAAATATCTGCAGAAATCCTGTGTGTTCCAATAGGAGGAGGTTTATGCTGGATACTAACAAGTCACGATTTGTCGACTTTCAGAAGGTGAGCATTCAGCTACTATTAAACTTGGTCATTTTGTTTTTGATGTAGTGGTAAAACATTTTACATTTTAAAAATGATAAAATAAAACTTAGTTTGATTAATTTTTCTGGATTGTAGTGCTCCAGTAAAACTTGCATGTCTTATCTTTATAAATCGTATGATCACCTAATCATAGAATTATACAGCACAGAAAGAGGCCATTCGGCCCATCATGTCTGTGTTGGCTCTTTTAAAAGATTGATTATCCAAATCAATCCCACTCCCCCGCGCTCTCCCCATAGCCCTGCAAATTTGTCCTCCCCAAATAATTATCTACTTCCTCTTAAAAGTTGTTATCGAATCGGCTTTCACCACCCTTTCAGGCAAAGCATTCCAGATCCGAACAACTCGCTGTGTGAAAAAATTTCTTCTGAACCTCCCCTCTGTTTCTTTTAACAACATTTTAAATCGGTGTCCTCAGGTTACCGACCCACTCACCAGCGGAAATAGCTTCTCCTTGTTTACCCTATCGAATCCCCTCATAATTTTGAAACTTTATTAAGTCTCCTCTTAACTTTCTCTGCTCCAAGGAGAATAATTCCAGCTTCTCTAGCCTCTCCTCATAACTGAAGTCCCTCATTCCTGGTACCATCCTGGTAAATATCCTTTGCACCCTCCAATGCTTTGACATCCTTCCTAAAGTGCAGTGCCCAGAACTGAACACAGTACTCCAGCTGAGGCCTAACTAGTGTTCTATAAAGATTCATCATAGATTCCTGGCGTTTGTATTCTATTCTATTCCTATTTATAAAGCCTAGTATCCCATATGCTTTTTTTTAAACAGCTTTATCTATCTGTAGTACCACCTTCAAAGATTTACTTACATGAACCCCCAGGTCTCTCTGTTCCTTCACCCCTTTTACGATTATACCATCTAGCTTTTATTGCCTCTCACTCTTCCTTCCAAATAGCAACACATCACATTTCTCCATGTTAAACTTCATCTGCCATATGTCTGCCCATTTTATCAGTCTGTCTGTGTCTTGCAGTCTGCTACTATCCTCACCATTTACTACTTTTCCAAGCTTAGTGTCATCTGCAAATATGGAAATTGTACTCCCTATACCCATAACATAACTTGTAGGAGCACGAGTAGGCCATTCGGCCCTTCGAGCCTGCCCCGCCATTTAATTTTAAGGTTGTGACCCCTGGTTTTAGTTTCTCCAACCAGGGGAAAACAATCTCCCACTGTCTCCTCTATCATGCCCTTTGATGATCTTATAGGTTTCTATAAGATCCCCTCTAATTCTTCTATATTCTAGAGAATATAGGCCCAAATTGGTCAGCCTATCCTCGTAACTCATCCCCTTCATCCCTGGTACTAACCTAATAAATCTACGCTGCACCCCCTCCAAGGCAATTACATCCTTCCTTAAATGAGGAGACCAAAACTGCACACAGTATTCCAGGTGTGGTCTCACCAGGGCCCTATACAGTTGCAGCAAGACTTCCCTACTCTTATACTCTAATCCTTTCATAATGAATGCTAACATACCGTTCGCCTTCCTAATTGCTGCTGCACCTGCAGATTAACTTTCTGTGATTGGTGTACAAGGACACCCAAGTCCCTCTGGACGCTAACACATTCCAATCTCTCCCCTTCTAAAAAATAACCCGCTGTACTGTTTTTGCTACCCAGGTGGATGACTTCGTACTTCCCTACATTATACTTCATCTGCCACCTACCTGCCCAATCACCTAACCTATCTATGTCTCACTGCATTTTTTTAATGTCGTCCTCTGTGTTGACACTTCCTCCTAGTTTTGTGTCATCCGCGAATTTAGTTATATTAACTTCGATGTCCTCATCTAGATCGTTGATGTAGATGGTAGATAGTTGAGGCCCAAGGACTGATCCTTGTGGCACTCCACTAGTCACATCCCGCCAATCTGAAAAGGACCCGTTTATCCCTACTCTTTGTTTCCTACCCATTAACCATTCCCCAATCTACGTTAATATGCTCCCCCCAATTCCATGGCCTCTTATATTTTGGACTAACCTTTTATGCGGCACCTTATCAAATGCCTTCTGGAAGTCCAAATAGACCACATCCACTGATTCATCCATATCTAGTTTACTGGACATATCCTCAAAAAACTCTATGAGATTTGTCAAACATAACTTCCCTTTTGTAAAGCCATGTTGACTTGGCCTAATTATATTGTGCTCTCCTAAATACCGCACTACCACATCCTTAATCAATGATGCTAAAATTTTTCCTATCACTGATACCCAAGTCAAGGTCATTTATATAGATCAAAAAGAGAAGTGGTCCCAATACCGACCCCTGGGGGACACCAGCGCACGCTTCCCTCCAGTCAGAAAAACACCCGTTCAGCCCAAGTGGTATATTCACGCGAGGCCCATTCAGTTTCCTGTCAAAGCCACTTAGATTTCTTTGCACTTTTTGTATTTATTACCTCCTAACTCATAACGGTGCCCCTCATATCCTCCATTACTCCCCTTTTGGAGTCCTGTAGCTCAGTGGTTAGAGCACTCGCTTTGCAAGCGAGACACCTGGGTTCAATTCCAGGCAGGGCGAAACCTTGGGCAAGTTTCCTTACTCCACACACCTAATAATAATCCCTCCAAAACAAAACAATAATAAATTGGTCATTTTCAATCCACGACTGTTTGTGGGACATTGCTGTGCGCAATTGGCCTCTGTGTTTCGCCCACAAATATACAATCAATTCACTTTACAACATATTCTGTGAAGCACTTTGAGACGTCGAGAAGACGTGAAAAGCGCTATGTCAAATGCAAGGATTATTATTATTTTACTCAAGCACTTACCGGCTGGCTGCATTGAATCGTAGGAAACATAGTCTTGATCTGTTGACTGATGCGTGGAAGAACTTTTCCCGCGATTCCTTGCTGGTATATGCGGATGCTGCGACGCGTCAAGACACATTGAATTGTGGGAAATGTAGTCCTGACCTCTCATAGCCTGAGCATTTACTGGCTTCAGTGACAAACTACCACATGCGCACTCACCAGCTGCATTGAATTACACATGCTTATTGATTAAATCAGGTTTTACATTACTTATACAAGTTTGCTTGCAACTCGGGCTTCGCATAAGTTATTAAATGTTATGGTCCTGTCTACGAGCTTCACTGTACTAAACAAATTTAGATTCCAGTGCTCATTTTCATGTTGTACACCAACTATTTTTAATCATTAAATTCTGACACCTACTGATTTCTCTTTCCTGTGCTCTTTTGAGATTTCTCTCATCGAGACTACATCCTGTACTCTTTTAGTCATTGCTGTTCTCTCAACCATTCACTGGCTTGGCCATTCTTCCTTTGCCTACTTTGACCATTTCCTGCTTATGCACACAACATTCCTTTTCCTAGTATTGCCTTCCATTCACTCCTGCAAACATCATCCTTTGGCACACTCATCAATCCCTTCAGCAGTTGTAATGCATAGGCATTCATGTCATTTGGCTTCCTCAGTTCAATCCCTACCCTTTTAGGATGTGTGTCCAATCCTACTTCTTCCTCCTTTCTTTCTCAGACTCTGATTGTTACCTTGGTCAATGGTTGCAATTTGTCCACCTCCTTGCCCTGAATATGATATCTTTTTCTATGGAAGCAATTTAACACAGATTGGACTGCTTGCCCCTAATCTGCTTGAGTGGATTGTTAAATTCCAAATATTCATCCTAAATATTAGCATCATCCCACCAATTGAGAAAAATTATACCATACCAAAAAACAATGCCGTAGTTGAATGTGTGTGCAGTGATTTAAATCCGTGACTAGAAACTGGGCCCTCAAATATACTAAAATGGGGACTGAATGTAGAAAATGCTGATCGTCAGTGTAAGGTCTGTGCAGATAAAATAACTCTATGGAATCCCATGCAATTTTTCAGCATTGGTACACAATGGACTTTTTAGTGTTTCTTGTCTTGCTTCTTTGACAAAATAATAATTTTTTGAAACCGTAATAAAGTATATTATTTTACATTAGCGCCACCTTTATCTTTACCAAAGAGCTCTTGTTACTGCATTAAGTGCAAGCAAAGGAACTGCAGTATTTTATTTCTGTTGGATAAAGAATCATTAGTTTCTTTGTTCTTGATCAATTAAGTAGCTAACTCGCCACTGCTTTGCATACTCAGGTTCGTATTCAGGAGACTCAGGCCGAGTTACCCCGTGGCAGTATTCCCCGCAGTGTGGAAGTTGTCTTGCGTGCAGAAGCTGTGGAATCCGCACAGGCTGGTGATCGATGTGATTTTACAGGAATGCTGATTGTAGTTCCAGATGTATCTCAACTGTCTACACCAGGTATGAAGTAAAGTGAACATTAGTTAAGATCAAATACAACTTGCTGATTTTGATTTGTAACAGCGAGGTGAGATGTAATTGAATAGAAAAGTGACTAAAGTGTAAACTGAATATTGTAAAGAATTTGTAACCCAAGAAACCCATAACATGACATGTAGGAACAGGAGTAGGCCATTCGGCCCTTCGAGCCTGCCCCGCCATTCAATCATGGCTGATCTTCTAATCTAACTCCAGCTAATAACCTGACCCTGTCTTATCCCCATATCCCTTAATCCCTTTTGCAATAAGAAATCTATCTATCTCAGTCTTGAATATGTTCAAGGACTGAGCGCCAACAGCCCTTTGGGATAGTGAGTTCCATACATTCACCACCATTTGAGTGAAGAAGTTCTTCCTCAACTCAGTGCGAAAGGGCTGCCTCTGATTTTAAGGTTGTGACCCCTGGTTTTAGTTTCTCCAACCAGGGGAAACAATCTCCCACTGTCTACTCTATCATGCCCTTTGATGATCTTATAGGTTTCTATAAGATCCCCTCTAATTCTTCTATATTCTAGAGAATATAGGCCCAAATTGGTCAGCCTATCCTCGTAACTCAACCCATTCTTCCCTGGTACTAACCTAATAAATCTACGCTGCACCCCCTCCAAGGCAAGTACATCCTTCCTTAAATGAGGAGACCAAAACTGCACACAGTATTCCAGGTGTGGTCTCACCAGGGCTCTATACAGTTGCAGCAAGACTTCCCTACACTTATACTCTAATCCTTTCATAATGAATGCTAACATACCGTTCGCCTTCCCAATTGCTGCTGCACCTGCAGACTAACTTTCTGTGATTGGTGTACAAGGACACCCAAGTCCCTCTGGACGCTAACACCCAGCCAATACTATTCAGCTGTTGAAGGATTGTGTTCCAAGTTGGGAGAAAGTATATTTCAACTTGCTAATTTTGCAATATAAACATAATTGTTTGTATTCATTCTAAGCAGAAATAACTGTTCTAGTAATATGTTTGTATTTCTACATCAGGCTTTCAGTTTATTCACATTGTAAACGTACAAAAATCCTATATACTATCAGGTAAATAACCTGAAATCCCTCCAAAGACAATTTGTAAGTGATTTTGTAGATTTGATCCTTGCCACTTCATTAATATTTGTTAATTTTACAAATGGTAAGTTCCTAAGAAAGAATGACACTAATGCAATAGAAATTCGAGTAATTGGCAAGAGCCAAACAAAGTTCATTTTAGTGGTTTGCGGTTTTGGCTAGACATGATGTTTTATTGCTGCACCTTGCAATGTCCATTGTCGCTGACAGATTCATTGATGGATACTATTTTGGACTTTGTGTAACAACTGATCTGTAATGTAATTTGGTTGTTTTAAATCAATACTGTTATATTGCTTTAGGTATTCGTGCTGAGACTGGTTCCCGTGTTGGTGGTGTTGAAGGATATGAAGCTGAAGGAGTCCGAGGTTTACGTGCATTGGGTGTACGTGATTTGTCCTACAAACTGGCCTTTTTAGCATGTCACGTGGCACAGACAAATCCACGGGTAAGTGTTGTTGGTGTTTTTGTACAGGATATTAATATTCTAGACAAGGGAAGTTTGTACGTGAAAAGGTGCTTTTTTATAGTGCCTACCTCTCCGACCTCCTAACCCCATGTTAGCCTGTCCGTTCCCTCCGCTCGGCGGACTGGCCTGCTTCAGGTCTCTTGCACTTCCCACCCCACCATTGGGCATTCAGCATCTCTGCCCTCAAAATTTGGATCTTTATCCCACAATCCCTGTCTTGCCTCCTTCAAGTCCTGTCTAAAGATCTTCCTCTTCGACCTTGCCTTCAGCCACCCTGCCACGCCCCTAACCTCCATCCCTCCTGACCTCAACTCCCAGCTCGGTTCCAAAACCCTTGACTGTCCAGCGCCCTGGGATGTCTCTGACGTGAAGCGCACTATACAAGTGTAATTTGTTGTTGTTGTCATCTTAGGCTATGAGCATTAAATCTTGGCGTCAGTCCTATGGAGCTTGAACCTACAGTTTTCTGACCCTGAGTTGAGAGTGCTGCCAATTGAGCGAAAATTAGATGTGTAAAATGTGACATTTGTCCTGAATGAATATCTTAACTGGAATTTCTTATTAAAACTGTAACCACAGTCAGACAGAGGGAATGTTTGAGAAGATTAAATTAAGATTTTTCAGTGTCTTAAGTGTATGAGGCTAAAGTTGTCATTTTCTTTCAGTTTGGTGGTAAAGAGATAAGAGACGAAGAACAAACTGCAGAAAGTATTAAAAATCAGATGACCGTTCAGGAGTGGGAGAAGGTGTTTGAAATGAGCCAAGACAAGAACTTATATCACAATCTCTGTACAAGCCTCTTTCCCACCATTCATGGTAAGTGATATTTTGTAAGTTCTCTAAATGTTTCATGCATTATAATAATAATAATCCTTCCATTTCATATAATACCTTATTACGTCAGAAGTAAGGGTCTCAAAGTGCTTCCCAGAATTTACTTTAGGATGTAATGTCTGTATTTTATAATCGAACATGGTAGCTAATTTGCACACAACAATATCCCACAAATAGCCATGAAGCAATTGACCAGTTTTATCTGTGAGGTTGTTGGTTTAGGATACTGGGAGAAACTTCTGTTTCTTCAACTAGTAGGATGGGATCAGCCAAAATAGTCAATTAGGGCCTTGATTAACATCTCAACTGTATGACGGTACCTCTGACAATGCAGCTCACCCTTAGTCTATGAGCTCAGAGTTTCAATATGAAGCTTGAATCCATAACAATTGTCTGGAGAAAGAGTGCTAAAAGCAGCAGTAGTGAGCACACTTGTCAATTTATTAAATGGAATATTGCTGTGAGTGGCTACTTTTGTTAAAAAGAATGAAGCCCTGCCACATTTATGAACTGCCATCAATTTAAAAGAAGCAGAACCTTTTTTATTCCTAGTCTAAGCCTTGTAGAGGACTGGCAATTACTGGAAACACATTGAGAGGTATATTGCATCCACCTAATATCAAATTGAGGTGAACAATGATTTTAAATTCTCGTAGGTAGCTGGGTAATGCTATTTTGGCTCATTAATGTTTTAATGAGTTGTATAGAGCTGCAAGTTAAAGATTTTCTTTTTTTTATTAACGCTTGTACTTCTACAGGGCAAAAAACTTTGCAAAAAGCTAGTTTAGGATACAATACTTGTGAGCAAAGGGACATGATGAGTTAAATGTCTTGAATATGTTTTAGGTAATGATGAAGTGAAACGAGGAGTCTTGCTGATGCTTTTTGGAGGTGTTCCAAAAACTACAATGGAGGGAACATCGCTGCGTGGCGATATTAATGTTTGCATAGTTGGAGACCCAAGCACAGCTAAGAGCCAGTTCCTTAAGTAAGTTGTACTCAGCTAGTTTATCCAATTCTGATAATAAGTACTTGTGAAGTTCAATATCACAAATGTTCCCTCTGTTATCCAATCTGTTAGTAATAGTCACTCCTTTAATTAATGTATTGCACAGATGCTAATTCTATTTGATTAAGGGCTTCACCAAAAAGAAATGTAATGTCAATTATAGAAAGAAGACTCCACTGGTATTGAATTATTAAATGCAATTAATTAATTGACAAGGTGATAAACTATCCCTAACAAATTTGCATCGACCATGTTGATTATTTTAATGGGTGCAGTACCCTGGTTTATTGGCACTCTATTTTGTGCCAAGGAATAGAATAATATGGGTTTATGCGCATAATTCCTTTGTATACTATTTCGTGAACAATGAAAAGCGGTACAGGTACTTCTCCTTTGGTGATTGTATATCAAAGCAAGAACCGCCCTGTGTTACACCTGTATACCTTATGTCCTTGACAAAGTCTTGGGAGTTATTTGTCTGCCTTTTTTGGCCCAGGGTAGCTTAGAAAAAAAGTAGGTCGAAAGGAAGAGAAAATTCTGATAAATTGTGTTGGTATTCAAGTGGTAAATTTGTTTTTCATTTAATATTCTTATGAATAAAATATAGTTTATCTCTTTACAAAAATGGAAATTCACTGAAGGTTATGGTCTTTATTATAATTGGTTTATTTTTCTATATAAAACCAGGCACGTGGAGGAATTCAGTCCTCGTGCAGTTTACACAAGTGGTAAAGCCAGTAGTGCTGCTGGTCTGACAGCTGCAGTTGTAAGAGATGAAGAATCACATGAATTTGTCATTGAAGCTGGAGCATTGATGCTTGCTGATAATGTAAGTGTTGTTTGTACTACTTATTCTTAATTGTTGCATAGATTTGGTCTGAAATCCAATGAATGGTACTAGTTTAATGTTACTCTGAATTGCTGTACAAAAACAGCTGGCAAATATTTGCACTGCTCATGGGCTCCATTGTTCTTTTAATTCTGCAGTACTGGGTTTCTGTCACCAGAGCCCCTCATGAGCTTTAACCTTCAGCATAGTGTAATATTATTTTGTGTACTGTAAAATCTTGGTAGCACTTTCAGCATTAACTTGTGGAATTTCTTTTGTAGTTTACATTTACTATGATAGAAAATTAGTATAATATTTCTTTATATACCATGGTTGAGTCAGAACAACTTTCGACTTCCTAAGTGAAACCTATATCAACTAAATGCTTTCTGTTTTTAGGGTGTTTGCTGCATTGATGAATTTGATAAGATGGAGACAAGAGACCAAGTGGCTATCCATGAAGCTATGGAGCAACAGACCATCTCCATCACTAAAGCAGGAGTAAAGGTAGCTAGTTAAAATAATCAAACTACCTTTGAGTGTTTACTCTGAATAAAATCCTGAATGTGCTTCTCATAGAACATATTTATATGAAGCTATATTTAACTTGATGGCAGAGTCTTACACCGGTTCCAAAAAATAGGCTGATTTTTTTCACAGTCTCGTATATAACAAATGTTTTGCCCACAAAATATACAGTCAGTTCACTTTACAGTATATTCTGTGAAGCGCTTTGAGACGTCTAAAAGACATGATAAGGTGTTATATCAAATGCAAGGATGATTATTATTAACTCTCCTAACTTACAAGTGCTAGCTAATCTATAGGGATTCATACCTTTGGGTGATGATTCAATTCGGCAAGTTTTCAGCTCGATGAACTGATGGTGAAAAAATAATGCAGTAATAAAGCAATATTATTGTGATACTTAACACTGAGTACTATGAACACTCTGCACATGCTAGTAAAATCTTTAAGCCCAACTATTGACCAGAAGTGGGCGGGGGGACAAACCCACAACCAATCTTCAGTTGGACCGGAAATAGTGATGTAACATCAGTTAAGAAACGCATACAATTTTAGGTTATTAATTAGTATTAATATGTAAGGTAAGTCTTTATAGAAATTTTAAATTAGGATTTTTCTGGATTAAGATGTTTGACATAGACGGTAGACATTAAAAAGGAATTTAAAATGTTTGGTAAATTTCAAAGCAAAGGAGGACTTGATTCATAATAGAAATCTACACGTCAGGAGGTTCTGCGTGGGCAAATTTGTCTTTTTAATAAGGAAGTGAGAGTTTTGGGAGTGTGCCTTGTGATTCTCATCGAAACCTAACATTGTATAAATAATATTGGACTTTGCATTAGCAGCAAGTTAAGTATCAAAATTAATTACTAAAAAAACCCTCTGTTTTGGCATAGGCAACATTGAATGCCAGGACTTCAATTTTGGCTGCAGCAAATCCAGTCGGTGGACGATATGACAGGTCTAAGTCTCTAAAACAGAACATAAATCTCACAGCTCCAATCATGTCTCGATTTGATTTGTTCTTCATTCTGGTTGATGAATCTAATGAGGTAGGAATATTGGTCATATTCACAATGCTATTTGAAAAGCTTTTCCATTTTCCGCAAACTTGATTTTAACTATTTTTTTTAAAAAAAATCTGAACCAGGTTACAGATTACGCCATTGCCAGACGTATAGTGGACCTTCATTCTCGAATTCAAGAATCCATTGAACGAATCTATTCCTTGGATGACATCAGGCGGTACTTGTTGTTTGCAAGACAGTTCAAACCAAAGGTCAGTTACACCATGAAATGCAATGTTTGAGTAAATAATTTCTGTGTAATAAATGTATTAAATATTGAATAAATAATTTGTGTGGCATTACACAACAACAGCAACAACAAAATTACATTTGTATAGCGCCTTTCATGTTGGGAGGCACTGTGATGTCAATAAAGTACACTTGGAATGAGAAGTTGGCAAAAAGAGAGTCAGTTCTGTTTAACAAAGTCAGTCTGGCTCAGTTGGTAAAAATCTGACCTCTGGGTCAGAAGGTTGTGGATCCAACGTATTGGATCAGTTAGTCAGTCTGGCTTAGTTGGTAACTCTTATAATAATAATATAATCCTTGCATTTGATATAGCACTTTTCATGTCTTCTCAATGTCTCAAAGCGCTTCACAGAATAGACTCTTGCCTCTCGAGTTGTGGGTTCAAATCCTGTTAGGGACTTAGAGTTCATGGTCCATTGCTGACATTATGAGGGGGCGTTGCATTGTTGAATGAGCCATCCTTCAGGTGAGATTTAACAGTCCTGTGGAGATCTAGCGTATTGGTTAGAGCACTCGACTCACAAGCGAGAGGACCAGGGTTTGATTCCCGGGCAGGGTGAAACGTTAGGCTAGTTTCCTTACTTCTCATGCTTCTGTTTACCTAGCAGTATGTAGGAACCTAGTTGTTAGTCGATTGGCAGATGGCTTTTCCGCAGGTAATAATCCCTTCAAAAAAAAGTGTTTATTCAATCCACAACTGTTTGAGACACTGCTGTGCGCAATTGGCTGCTGGGTTTCGCCCACAAAAATACAGTCAATTCACTTTACACTATATTCTGTGAAGCACTTTGAGACGTCTCAATGACGTGATAAGGCACTATATCAAATGCAAGGATTATTATTATTAACAGGTCTACCTGTTCAGGTGGATACTAAAGAACTGACAATTATTTGAACAGAGAACAAGATCCTCCCCAAGTCCTGGCTCACATTTGTCCAGGTACATTTGTCATTCAACTTCTGGTTGTGAGAAATTCACTTACAAATAATCACTAACTCAACACTAATTATTGTGAGATGCTTTGAGATTTTTCAGTGTGATAAGACTATCAAATAATGTATTATAAGATTATAGGTCAATATTTTACATTTTAAATTTACAATTTTATTCATGACTGTACAAAATGGAAAGATTGATCATATATTCTTGGGCGCAGGGCATTATCTGCCATGATTTTGAGTTTGCTATAACTACTGTATTTAAAAACAAACTGCCGGGCTTATGCTTCCTCAATCAAAGTATGATTTCAGTCACATTGCTTTTCCAGATCTCGAAGGAATCCGAAGACTTTATAGTTGAACAATACAGACGTCTCCGTCAGAGAGATGGCTCTGGAGTGACCAAGTCAGCGTGGCGGATTACAGTACGCCAGCTGGAGAGTATGATTCGCCTCTCTGAATCCATGGCTAGGATGCATTGTTGTGACGAGGTATGTAGAATAAATTTAAGTGTGCACTGAATGATTCGGTTTAATATTGAAGGAAAAAAATGATGGCTTAGAAAATTGCAACTCCTTTTAGTATCACAACGTATTGGATCAGTTAGTCAGTCTGGCTTAGTTGGTAACTCTTATAATAATAATATAATCCTTGCATTTGATATAGCACTTTTCATGTCTTCTCAATGTCTCAAAGCGCTTCACAGAATAGACTCTTGCCTCTCGAGTTAGAAGGTTATGGGTTCCACATTGAGACTTGGACCTCACAGGTTCAATCCACTTTAGAGTACATTCTGTTACGTGCTTTGATGTCTCAACGAGGTGATCGGGCACTATATCAAATGCAAGGATTGTTATTATTTGTGCGAGGTGCCATACTGATGAACAATATCAAATGAAATATAAAATTTAGGCTTGTCTGTCTGTTCAGGTGAACATTACAGATCTTGTTGATTTTTCAAAAAGGGGAGAGTTTCTCCTAGTGCTGGCCCACAATCCTCCAGAAAAAAGAATGGTCATTCAGTTCATGGCTATGGGACGTTGCTATCTATGTATATTGTGGCATCGTAAACTGTATTTGCTTACATTGTCACTATACTTTACAGTGAACCCTGTGAAGCACTTTGAGACATGTTGGGAAGGTGATTAGGCGCTGTATCAAATGTATTATATTTACAGACAAGCAATCACTGGGTGTGGTAATTTTCTGCAGGCTAGATCAGGTAACAGTAAATGATGTTTTTGGCTCCTGTAGGTGCAGCCTAAGCATGTCAAAGAAGCTTTCCGCTTGCTGAACAAATCCATCATTAGAGTGGAGACTCCAGATGTAAATTTTGACCAGGATGAAGAACAAGAAGCAATGGAAGAGGAAACCCCTGAAGGGACTAATGGTAAAGTAACACTAAATGAAAAGCATTTGTTGTAATTATCCAGTGACCAGTGCCTTGATTAATTATTTCATTCCTCTTCTGTTTCTTAAGGATCTATTTCAGGAACTGAAAGGGCAATGAACACACCTGAATGTTTTTAGCTGCAAGTTAAACTTCAGTACTGAATACAGGCTGGATTAATATTCCACATAACTGAGATGAATTAAGTATTGGGAATGATTTGTTTTAGTTAGTTGCGTTTATGATCTTTCAAGTCTTGTATGATCCCCAGTGACCAGTGTCCTTCCTATTGTAAATCCTGGTAGATTACTAAAGTGTATGCCCACTTTAGAGGATTTCAATTGTTCCAATAAAAATTACTTGTTTTGACAGGACATTCTGTTATTCCAAATGGAATCAATGATGCCAGTAGCCACCCTGATAGTGGTGCCAAAGAAGAAGTGTCTAAATCGATAATAAGAATGTCTTTTGTGGAGTATCGCAAGATTTCTAATCTTATTGTCCTCCACCTACGGAAGCTGGAAGAAGGTAAGATTTTATGCAGTGGCTAAATTGTACATTGCAGCTTAAAACAATTTGTTGAAGTAGTAGCTCTATATTCAGATGTGCAGAGATATCCTACAATTACAGTGCTTGAAACTTGGGTTCTAAGTAAGGAGACAAATCCTTGTCTTTACTATTTTGGCAGTGGACACTTTTGTATTGACCAATAATTGACAGAGATAGTATAAGAAAGTGTTTGTAGGAGGATTTTTACTTGTATCTCACTCAACAGCACTTAAACCTAAGATCAAACTGGTTCTTCACTCTGTTTTTCTTCGTAAGCTCCTTGGGACGGCCTTCTGACATGAAAGGCGCTATACAAATGTTATTTTGTTGTTGTTTTAATTCTGCTGGGGCTCAAACAGCAATTACAATGCTGACCTAAACGCTGCTGTTCACAGGCTGCTGTTCTCTACTTCACCTGATTCTTCCACATGAATATCTTGGAAAGAGTGTTTAAAATCTAATAACTACATTGAGTTGCATTACCATTAGTGTTATTGGCTTCCTTAAATAATCCTTGCATTTGATGTGTAATAACATTCAAAAGAATATCTTAAAGTACACTTCACAGGTATTTGACAAATGTAGTTGATGTGTGAGCAAACGTAACAGCCAATTTGTTTTCAGCAAGGTCCTACAAAAACTATGAAGTCACCAGTTTGATTGAAAGGCAGAACGCTGGGAGAAGCTTTGTGAATAGTATCATTAATAGCCACACGAACAGCACCTCCGTTTGACATTTTCGCCCACAACATCTACAGTCGATTCATTTTATAGTATATTCCGAAGCGATTTGAGACATCTCATCAATGTGATGTAGCAATATATTAAATGCAGGAATTATTATTATTTTAGTTTCTCCATGTGCACAGTGTGGCAAACAGGTGCAGCTATTCTACTTGCTGAAGTAGCTGTGACAGTTTTGTCAATGATAGGTGCCTTGACTTCATGTTTTTCAGATAAGTTTGATATATAACTACATTTACTGCACAATTGTTTTGATATCTTGTTGGATTATTTGAATCATAACAGTCAGATACTAATAACAATGCCCAAAAGTGCTTGAAAGTTTTCTGTTCAATCTCGCTTTCAAAAATGGGAATGACTGCAGTAAACTCAGGCTTCAATATTTCTGTGCTAATGATGACATTTTGAATATTAACAGCTTTGCAATTTATTCATTCACAGAAGAAGATGTTTCACCAAAGAGAAGTGATCTTATTGACTGGTACTTAAAGGAAATTGAATCAGAAATCGATTCAGAGGAAGAGCTAATTAACAAGAAGAAACTAATTGAGAAAGTTATTCACAGACTTGTTCACTATGTAAGTAACGCTATCACAATTCTGTTGTAATATGATTAGTTTTGACATGTTTGGTCAGTGTCTTGTGTCTTCAGTATTGAATAAAGCAGAAATTCAGTTAATTAAGAAGTTAAAACATTTTGTACTATCATGCACATTAGATGATGTTAAGATATTTCACATAGAATCCTTGACATTAGACAGGAGACACGCAGCCTATCAGTGTAGCCTGCATTTCAACCAGAGTTCTAGAATTGAAAGTGTATAGTGGAAACCAGTCAGCTAGAATCGGTATTTTAAAGTTAACTTATCACATGGTCGAGTCTTGATATGCGTTTGAATTTATCCACAGGATCACATTCTGATCGAATTGAAACGCACTGGCCTGAAGAGCCGAAAAGAGGAGAGAGATGAAACATTGGAGCTGGATCCCTATCTGGTGGTCAACCCCAATTACACATTAGAAGATTAAATCTGCATTAGATGTTTGTGGCATTGATGGCTATTTTCATCAATATCACCAATGGACCCTTAAAATCAAGGGATACCAACTTCTAAGTGAGGTACAAATACTTCTGCTTTTATCTATGCAGGTTGTAGAAAGGAATTGCTTTTTATGAAAGTGTTGAATTTTGACTTACCTGAACTGTTTTATACGATTAAAATTTTGAGAGCTTTTACACTTTTTAAAAATCCGATAGTGCTGTGCTACTTTTACAGACTTGCTCTGCTTACACCTAAACAAACTTGGTTATATTTCAAACCTGCTTCTGTAATGACTGTTAATAAAATACTTGAAATACAAACCTGTTTCTTGCAGTTTCTAGTTATATTTTATAGGATTATGTCATTATTTCAGCCTCTAAGATGATGAAACAAGTGATTATTATATCAAGATTATGATGGAATCTAAAACAGGCCAGTTTGATGCTGGCAATTTAACACTGTTTGAGGAGGGAGAGAAATCAAGTTGCAGTATTCAACTTATAACGGTTTATGGTACAGTTACTGGCTCAAAGGGGCATTAAGAGGTTTGGAACAGGAAATAGTGTGGATGGGAGGAAATATATATTCAGTTTGAAATAAATGCACATTAACATGAGGATCTTTTACCAACCCAATTCATATTAGATAAGATGAATAGTTATTACCAGCATAATAACTGATCCCACACTAGCTTTCCTAAGTGAATGGATTTCATAAAATCACTTTCAATTCCATATGTACAGAAGTTACAAAATCATATACTTTCAGCTAAAGCATCATACATTTTATTGTTTTTGGTCACAAATTTAATATAACCAAGTTCTGTGCCCCTATACAATGATGAACGATTCCCATTTTTTAAAAAAAATCTGGAAGCTTCTTGTTATATGATTTGCGGACATACCACTTACTCTCAGAACCAATGGAGGGTCCCATTTGTGTATAAACTCTGGTAACACTTAATTTCTGTATTAGTTTATGAGCAGTATATACTGGAAATAAAATTGCCAAGCAAGCAACAGTTTATGAGCAGTATATACTAGAAATAAAATTGCCAAACAAGCAACAGTAGATAGCTTAATCTGCAATAAGTAATTTTTTATCAATACATTTTGCATTGCATTGTCATCATAAATGAAAGATTAAAATTGACCCTTCATCCGCCCACATAAACTTCTAAATATGATTGATATTTGAGTTTGGATGGCTATTGCATATTTAAACTTTGTTCTCATAAATAACTACCATAATTATGCTGACATTTCATTTTTTCCTTTATTGTCATGGAGAAAAATCTGTTATGAATTGGAGCTACATGCATAAAAATGTTAACATCAAGATTACTACAGACTGACTCCACAATAAACCTAATTTCAGAACACCACAACTATTTACTCCACTTTACAGCATATCCTATGAATCATTTTGAGTTGTCTCAACGATATGTAAAATCTGGTCATCTGATATCAGGTCATCTATACCAAGAATTATTAATAGACCAACCAGATACAATAAAGAAAAAAAATGTATCTAGCTTCCTGAACAACAACAAGATTCCATTTATAGAGCGCCTTTCACGTTGGGAGGACGTCCCAAGGCGCTGGACAGTTCGGTCAGGTCCCGAGCAGGGGGGAAATGGTCAGGGGGAGGGAAGGGGAGGGAGCGAGGAGGGGGTAGAGAGTCGAGAGGAGAGCTGAAGGTACTGTCAAAGAGAAAGGTCTTGAGACCGGCCTTGAAGGAGGAAAGGGAGGAGGCGGCGAAGGCACTGGGTGATAGAGTTCCAGAGCCTGGGGGTTGAGAGGCTGAAGGCCCGGCCACCGATGGTAGGGCGGTTGGGGCGGGGGATGTGGCGCAGACCGGAGCCAGAGGAACGGAGGGTACGGGCAGGTAGGTAGGGGGATAGTAGGTCAGAGAGGTAGGAGGGAGCAAGGCCGTGAATGGCCTTGTAGGTGAGGATGAGGATCTTGAATTCGAACTAAATACATTTCAAACTGATAAGAGCTAAAGTACTGCAAATTGCTGGTAATCTGAAATAAAATCAGAAGTCGCTGGAAACACTCAGCAGGTCAGGCAACATCTAAGGAGAAAGGAAAGTGAATCATTGACCTGAAACGTTAACTAATTTTCCTCTCTCCATAGATGCTGCCTGACATTTAAATCTTGTTTAAAGCTTACAAGCAGAGAAAAGTACCAGGTGTCCAGATTTGTTGCAGATTGATGGTTTTAGGGCAGCCAGTATCTGACGCAAGCCGTCATGCTTAAACAAATCCTAACTATGAAACCCATCTGCACAGGGAAATTCCCATGTATTGGAATGCACATACTCTTCCCTGGAGGGACTCATCCTGCTTACCAAATTCCAGAGAATATTGGGTACAAACTCGAAAAAGCCTAGGCTTGGGGGACCTACAGATTGTGCATTAGGTACTGCTGGAGTTAAACCAGCTAAAGCTGTACGGTTGGGCATTGAAAGCGACATCTGTAAAGCTTCCTGTTTTGTGTCCAGCTAAGACCACCTTACACATTTGAGCTTTGGCTTGCAGGGTTAAGAGAAGTTGGGTGGGAAGAATCCCTGCCCTCAGTGACTGAAAAATTTATGTTCAAAAACAGATATTCACATAAAGCCATCAATCTCAAGAGCATCAGCTACAGCATTTTACACCCAGTATCAATCAGCAAGAATCATAGAATCCCACAGCACAGAAAAAGGCCATTCGGCCCGGTGCCAGCTCTTCGAAAGAGCTATTCAATCAGTCCCACTCCCCTGTTTTTTTTCCATAGCGTTGCAATTTTTTTCTTTTCAAGTAAATATCCGATTCCCTTTTAAATAAATAATAATCCTTGCATTTGAAATAGGGGTTTTTACGTCCTCTGGACGTCTCAAAGTGCTTCACAGAATATATTGTAAAGTGAATTGACTATATTTGTGGGCAAAACATGGCAGCGAATAGCACACAGCAGTATCCCACAAACAGTCGTGGATTGAGTGATCAAATTATTATTGTGTTTTTTTCTTGAGGGATTATTGTCAGGCGTGTGGAGTAAGGAAACTTGTCTCAGGTTTCGCCCTACCGAGAATCAAACCAAGGTCTCTCGTGTGTGAGGCGAGTGCTCTAACCACTGAGCTACAGGATTCCACTTTTGAAAGTTATTATTGAATGCTTCCTCCACCGTATCAGGCAGGCAGAACAAATCATGAAAATATTCTCTAAATATTTCAAACTTCTTAATGCAAACAACCAACCTTCCCAACTAAATGTGAACCAAACTTGCTAGATTCATCAATCCCTTCACACTGACATTACTGAATAGCCTGACACATCCTTCCAATTTACAGAAAAACATGCATAATGATTCTTAACAATAATTCCACTCTCCATATTCATGATAAACAAAATATTGAAAAGTACTGAAAATTTAAATTAGATTGTGATCAGGTCCCTTTTATGGACTGTACCTTGTTTCATCGCATGATCATGTAACCTTCAAAGTAACCAATAATAAAATAGATTATTGATGTTGCAACTCCATTATCAGCGCTAAATTAAGCTATAAATTGCTTTAGAACGTTCCCAATGCATCATTGCCATGAATGAAGCAATAGACATCTAACCATGGCTCTGTGCAACATTTTCTTAATTTTGTTTTCCTTGAGTCTGTCTAATGCACATCACAAAGAAATAAAATTACCTCCTGATTTGATGGTAATTGCCGGCCCTTTAACACCTGCTTTAGTGCAGGCTTGGGCAAAAGAAGAAGAAATCCCCCAAGAACCACCTTTGTGATCGGTTTGAAAGAAGAAGCAAAATACTTTTGCCAAGACCCTCCTCCAACTCATTTAAAGAAACATCTTTCAACTCTCCATCACAGCGGAGTATCCCACTACAAGGTCATACTCTCTTGGTCTCATATTGTCCCTGACGGCACATCACAGAAGGTAGATGACAGGGTTGTAAAATGTTACGCAAACCTTCTAGACGAGTTAAAATCTGCACATCTGAAGCCTGTGGTGGTTCTACATGATGGTGGCATTCCACAAGCTCCGAATTCAAAGTTCGGTGACTGGGAAAAAGAGGCACTTGTTGACTCATTTGCAGACTATGCAAAGTTTGTTTTTTCAACTTTTGAAGACAAAGTTGAAACCTGGATAACATTTAACAATCCGTTGGAGATGATGAAAGGAAGATCTCAGTCAAGGCAAAGCGATCTGAACATGGAACCTTCAGTAGCTTTAAAGAACATAATCCTTGCTCACAAAAAGGCTTACAAGATTTATCACAGCAAAATACCACCTACAGGCAAGTAACAAATTAAAGCTTTCTAGTTTTCAAAACTGTGTCGGAATTTGTTTAAAACAAAATTGTTAACATATAATTGTAATGGTCTTTTAAAAAATCTATATTTTTAAAAAAAAAGTTTTTAAGAAAACTATTCGAATCACATTATGTAGATTTTAATGTATCTCTTGTTTTACTGTATCCAAGCCTTCCAGTGTGTCTGGGCAAGAAATAATATAGCACCGTAATGTTTGTTATCTTCTGGTTCTAAAGTCAACAAGATAAAAGGTAAAAACTTGTTTAGTAAGCTCAATAATATAAATTCTCTGACTCCAGTCGGTCAGTCAGCCATAGAAAACTACAGCATTTTCATTTAATCTGTTGTTTTGAGACTCGTCAGCCATGGTCTTATAGAATGGAGGAACAGGCTCGAGGGGCTGAATGGTCTACTCCTGTTTCTATGTTTCTATGATTCCCTCTTAGGAGGGCTTGACTTTCCCACAGTCGAAATTTACATGTGATCGATTGAAAGTACAATAATTAGTTTGAGAATTAAGTCTAGCATTAATTTATTTTATTTGCAGGTGGAAGAGTATCTGTTGCTCTGAACATTAATAACATGGTTTCAGCAGACAGCATGTCCCAGGCATTTCAACAAGTTATCACTGAGGTAAACTATTACAGCTTAATATGTTTTTAACAGCATCGAGTATAAAGACTAACTTCAGCTGTGTTGCAGCTCATTTATTTGCATCACTTCCTCTATCTGCTTTACAGTCGATGGTTATCTTTCTACAGTATTCATTTTCCCAAGAGTGCAAATATTCTTAAAGAAAAAATGCACCAAAAAATCTTATGTAGGATACCAGCATGCATAATTCTGTGTGTTGCTGAGAAGGGACAAGGACAAAAGCCATTTAAAGCATCGCACACAAACAAGATCATATAATTTTAACAACACAATGACTTATTTTGACATAATTTATGCCATCATGATGATTATTACACCTACAGTATTTGTATATGACAAAGGTTAGTAATTGTTCAGCTAAAAAACCTTACGGAATTTGATGTACATCTTTAGACAGTTATACAAAATGTGCTTGAATGCTTCAGGTTGGACAGAATTAACCACATGTTTATTCTCTAAAACACTGCTTTCTACTTCCAGGGAATGGTAGACTTGATTGCTGTAACTGTACAAAACGATTGTGGGCAAAATCTTGAGGTGAGATCAACTATGTGCTGCTAAGCTACAAAAGTATTATTAATCTTTAAAGTCTATCTTAGAAAATAAGAATACAGTATAATATGCAACAATTCCAAGTGGTGAATCATTCTGGTAACCAGAAGTATATCATGCACAACTGGAATGCATTGCCTGAAAGGGTGGTGGAAATTGATTCTATAACAGCTTTTAAGATAGAAATAGATAATTATTTTGGGAGGACAAGTTTGCAGGGCTATGGGGAGGGAACGGGGGAGTGGGATTGATTTGGATAGCTCTTTTCAAAGAGCCGGCACAGACACGATGGGCCAAATGACTTCCTTCTGTGCTGTATAATTCTATAAACCCACCACCTTATCCTTCGCCAAGTGTGCAGTTTGATCCATTGGATGTCACTAGCACTTGTCCATCATCCATCCTACCCCACTGGTTACCAGTGCCAGTTTACTACCTGTTTCTATGACTGGCAATGGTCCTTTCTAGCTCTGTATTACCTTACCCCAAGTTAAAGATCGCCTAATAAGCCATCTCATATAATCTTGCAAATGAGACTTAGCCAAGAAAAGTCTACCCATTCAGCTGTTCCTCTAGAACTTGATTGACAAAGAATCTTGGAGGATGTTCTATATGTAGTCAATGTGCGCAGTCAGCATGCCATATCTGTTCATTCTTGTTTTAGATCCACAGACACTGTAACTTCTCAGTAACTTCTTTCAGGTGGAGACTTCAGCAAAGGCAAAAGAAGATTCCTTACAGGAAAAGCTGACAAAAATCCAGGTACTACTGAAGTTAAAATAAAATGTAGGATTAGTTAGTAAAAATACAAAATGATGACTACATGCAATTGTTCTTAATTTAGCTAAAATGTTGCAAATCCCAAAGTTAATTAACAGAAAGCCAAAAATGTGTTTTATATTACATTTCTTTACTGCAATTGAAACACACTAGATTATATATAGTGTGAAGGTATTGCAGGCTGGAAATTTACTATTAGGTTGATTATTGTTATCCTCCAAGAAACCTCTACATAGACTATAGCAAAGGTTAAATTTGTTTCCTTGAAACAAACTAAATGTAGTAACTCACATAAGGACTTGTTGCTGAGAGAAAATGAGATTTGCTTTTCCTGATAATGAATTGCAGTTTGTACTTTGTAAAGCAGAGCCAATGAGGGTCACAGTAATATTTAAATGAGGAGTTGCTGATAAATAACTGTGATATTCCCTCTTTTGGTCATTGTAAAGTGAAAGATCAAATCAATGCTTGATAAGTTTTGGAAAAGTTCCTGTTTCTCAACTAGGATTTATTTTGACTTTGCAGAGTCCCAACACTTTACAGATTCTGGTTTTCAGCTTAGAGTTTTCGAGATGTTCTGCAGGCTCTCAAGAGCATCCAAAAGCTGAATTTGATGAAATTCTGAAAGGTTTGTGAGAATAATTCAGCTCCTTCCCCTTTATACAATACAAAATTACATTTGTGTAGTGCCTTTCACATCGGGAGGACATCCCAAGGTGCTTTATCTCTTCTTCAGTACCACATTTCAGTGTCAATTCCAAGATTGGTTAGCAATGATTGTGCAATGAAACTGCAGCAGAGATTAGCTGCAGGGTGAGGTGTGGAAACACTAATGATTAGGTAAACAGTACATAATATCATAATAATAATCCTTGCTTTTGATATAACGCTTTTCACGTCTTTTAGACATCTCAAAGCACTTCAGAGAATAAAGTGAATTGATTTGTGGGCAAAACCCGGCAGCCAGTGTCACACAGACAGCCGTGGATTGAGTGACTAAATTATTTTTTTCTTCTTGAGAGATTATTAGCAGGCATGTGGAGTAAGGAACCTTACCCAAGGTTTTGCTTTGCCGGGAATTGAACCCAGGTCTCTCGCTTGCTCCATCTTAGCTTAGCTAAGCTCCATTTAGCTCCATATTCCATCACGTGTATTGTGCGATTAGCGTTCACACTGATAGAATAGTTTTGGAAATTGTAACGTGCAAATTTACTGCCACTAACGGGTGTGGAGGGTGTGGGGGGGGTATAAGGAGGGGCGTACAAGACCCCATTTGATACTGCACCCTACAAAGAGCAGCAGAACCCTGAGGCGGGGAAGCCTTGGTCCCTTCAACAAAGTGGAGTGCGCAGAGGCTACCGCGCCACAAGGGTCTGTTGCGTCCTGTAACAGGATAATGACATGTTGCGTCTTTTTTTCTGTAAGGGTTTGATACTGTCTGAGATAAACGTAAATATGTATATATCAACAAATAAATATATATTTTGTAACAAAAAATGTGCAAATTATTGTTGTATTACATTGTTACTTACGTTTTCCCATTTGTAGCTGTAACTTCGGGGAAGTTGCGGATTGCAGGCTATGATGCAAGCAAACTCTTGGAGTATTTCCCCATTTCCCACCAAGAAACCTCCTCAGATAAAGAAAGGTATTGAACTGTAAGAGGTATGAGAGGTGTCAGCCTGGCTCAGTTGGTAGCATTCTCCCCTCTGAGTTAGAAGGTTGTGGGTTCAAGCCCCGTGTTGGGATCTTGTGCTGACACTCCAGTGCATTTTTGTGGAGTCCTGCAATGTCTGCTGTTCAGGTGGATATTAAAGATCTGATGGTCCCATTTGAAAAGAGAAGTGAGTTTCTGCTAGTGTCTGGGACACTAAACCCCCAAGGAAAAATTGGTCATTGAATTCATGGCTGTTTTTGAAGGTAAATTGTATTGGATGATGATGATAATAATAATCCTTGCATTTGATATAGTGCCTTAGCATGTCTTTTGAGACGACAAAGCGCTTCACAGAATATACTGTAAAGTGAATTGACCATATTTTGTGGGAGAAACGTGGCAGCCAATTGCACATAGCAGTGTCCCACAAACAGTCAGGGATTGAGTGATTAAATTATTATTATTTTTGTTTTGAAGGGATTATTACCTTATTTAAAATAAGATTCTTTAAAACTTCTGTAGCTTTTCACTGACAAAAGAACTACGGGTAAAACTTTTTTGAAAACAATAATTTGACTTTCAAAGTAATTGAACAAAATTTGTTTAATGTTTTCAGCATCGTTCCTTCTGTGGAACAAAAGCTGGGAGGGCAGGTTGCTGAGAAGAAGAATGAAGACATCCAACATACCCTTTCATCTTATGAAACCGTGCAGCAGAAGTTTTCCAAACAAACAGAGAAGGAGAGGGACGCCTTTCTGTACGGCACTTTCTGCACCGGTTTTCTCTGGAGCACATCTACTACATCATTTAAGGTTGAGGGGGGCTGGGCGGAACAAGGGAAGGGAGAGAGCATTTGGGACAGATTTGCTCATACGGGCAAAGTAGATAACAACCAGTCTGCAGACGTGGCCTGCGACAGCTTCAACAAAATCGACTATGATGTCTACTTAATGAGAGGATTACGATCCAACTCTTACAAGTTCTCTTTGTCATGGCCGAGAATTTTCCCCACAGGCTATCGTACCAAACCGAACCAAAAGGGGATAGACTACTACAATAAATTAATTGACAGTCTGCTGGAGTCCAACATTCAACCCATGGTCACCCTGTATCACTGGGATCTTCCGCAAGCTCTGCAGGATGTGGGGGGTTGGCAGAATGAGAGTGTAATCAAAGCTTTTGCTGACTATGCAGATTTCTGCTTCACCACCTTTGGGGATCGCGTGAAGCACTGGATCACATTTGATGAACCCTGGGTGGTTAGTTACGCTGGATATGGCACAGGAGAGCACGCACCTGGGATCAGGAATCTGTCCACAGCATCGTACAGGGTGGCCCATTCCATCATCAAAGCTCATGCCAAGGCCTGGCACCTTTATAACGACACCCATCGTCCTCAGCAGCGCGGTCAAGTGGGGATAGCATTAAATTCAGACTGGGCTGAGCCAAGCTCCCCTGATGATCCAGCAGACACCATGGCAGCTAATCGCTACCTACAGTTTATGCTGGGCTGGTTTGCTCACCCAATCTTTGTTAATGGTGATTACCCTCAAGCTTTAAAATCCCAAATCGAGAAATATAACCAGGAATGTGCTCCTTCCCCCGTCCAACTCCCATTATTTACAGAGAAGGAGAAGCAGTACATACGAGGAACCTCTGACTTTTTTGGTCTCAGTCATTACACTTCTCGACTGATCAGTTCTGCCACTAACAAAACACATTGTGTCATGGAATACAATCGCATTGGGGACTTCTCTTCACAGATACACACTTCATGGCCTCAGACTGCATCCCCGTGGATATACGTTGTACCCTGGGGGCTGAGAAGGTTGTTAAACTTTGTTACCCACGAATATACTGGTGCTGACATTCCAATTTACATAACAGGACATGGAGTGCCGACAGAATATGACAGCGGTGACATTATCAATGATACCTTTAGGATAGAGCACACTTCGGCCTACATTAATGAGGCATTGAAAGGTGAGCTTAACTCTTGCCTGTGTTAAGGAAAATGATCACTAAAATTAAATTAAATATGAAAATATATGATAATCGCCCAAAGTTATAGGTCGAGGCTGCTCTGACCTCGTTATGACCAACTACAACCCTTGCTGTTACATTTGTGTTATGCATGTGTGTGGGGGGGCGAAGAGAGAGGATTTGCGGTATTAGATGTCATACCATAATTTAACATAAGCAAATTTATAAACAACAAAGTGCTGCAGCTGTCTACTCACCACAGAAAGAAAATGGCATCCAGCAGTTTGTAAAGAACAGCTGGCTATGTTTTTAAATACACACTACAAACAACAGTCCCCTCTGGGAGATGCACATTTAAATTATTGCAGTAATTCCATCCAGAACTCCCAGTTCCCTCCACCCAGTCAAGACTGAAATGAGCACTGTCATTACAGCAACGGGTAAAGAAATCTTTAAAATCATATTCAGCCTCTCAATAGGAGAGTTTTTTACTATCAAAATGCCTTTTATAATATAAGCTTCCATCATCAGTTGTATTACTGAATGAATAATTCCAAGAAGAGTCTGACTTGTGATTTATGGAATTGGTCCTCATTCACTTTCCCACAAACCTGCCATGACTTTGTTATCCTGGCTGTAGTGCCAATCTCAGGGAAATTAACTTGTTTGCTTTATAAGAAAAATACATATTTTCTATCCGAAATCCTGGGTGTGCACGGTGCTATTTTAGAAAGATTGGTGGGAAATTGGAAAAAGCAATGTCTTGGATACGTTGCAGAAATGCTACTGTTTGCATTGGGTTAAAGTGCAGTCCCAAAAATAAAATGCTCAAAATCTTGTCGTTATAATGCAAGCTGGCCTTATGTAAAACAAGTGAGAAAAACAAGAGCACTTGGTAATATTTTGTGTTCCTTGCTTTTGAATCCATTTCTTAGTAGTGTATATCTTCAAAAGTATGACAATTGTTTGGTTGTTGATTTCCAACCAGCTCATTATAATAATAATCCTTGCATTTGCTATAGCGCCTTATCACATCATTGAGACGTCTCAAATTGTTATTTTCATTATTATTATTATTTGAATATTATCAAACTTACGATATGTGCAAAAGTTCCAAACTTTAACTAATATTATTGTCACTTTTACCCCCACTTGTCAGCTTTCATTACCGATGGAATAGATGTCAGGGCATTTACGGTAAGGTCATTAATTGACAGCTTTGAAGGTCCACAAGGATATAAGCAGAGGTTTGGATTACATTATGTCAAGTTTGAAGATTCCAACAGGCCCAGAACTCCAAAGGAATCTGCCTACTTCTACACAAAACTGATTGAACATAATGGCTTTGTTAAAAAATCCTCAAGCAACTTAATTAGAGTCTTGACACCCGAGAACAACTTTGAGAGATTGAAGGTTTTGTCAGCATCTGAAGTCCCTTCAATGGCCAAAGCTGTGTGGGAGAAGTTTTCAGGGCAGGACATTTCGGAAAGGGACACGTTTGAATATGGTACATTCCCAGAAAATTTTGCATGGGGTGTATCCACCTCATCATATCAGATCGAAGGAGGGTGGGATGCTGATGGAAAAGGACTTAGTATCTGGGACAACTTCACTCATCAACCTAATACGATTTTGAATGGTGACACGGGAGATATTGCATGTGATAGTTACCACAAAATTGATGAAGATCTCTACATGCTTCGAGCCTTGGGAGTGAAGCACTACCGGTTTTCTATATCATGGCCTCGTATTTTTCCAAATGGGAGAATCGAGTCCCTGAATCCTCCAGGTGTTGATTATTACAACAAGTTGATTGATGGCCTGCTTGCAAGTGACATAAAGCCAATGGTGACACTTTACCACTGGGAGCTGCCTCAGGCACTGCAAGATATTGGCGGCTGGGAGAACGAAGAATTGATTGAATTGTTTAACGCCTGGGCAGATTATTGCTTCAAAACTTTTGGAGATAGAGTGAAGTTTTGGATCACCTTAAATGAACCCTATGTAATCAGCTGGATGGGATATGGCACAGATCTATTTCCTCCTGCTGTTAAAAGACCAGGCGATGTCCCATACTTAGTGGCACACAGATTATTGAAAGCTCATGCCAAAGCTTATCACACGTACGATGATAATTACCGGAGCACACAGAAAGGCATAATTTCCATTAGTCTTAATTCAGATTGGGCTGAACCTAAACAAAAGAATGAACCCAGAGAAATCGCTGCCGCTGATCGTTACATTCAGTTTCAAGTTGGCTGGTTTGCACACCCCATTTTTAAAAACGGCGATTATCCAGATGTTATGAAATGGCAGATTGGAAACAGGAGTGATTTGCAACGCCTAACAACTTCGAGGCTTCCCGAGTTTACAAAGGAAGAGAAGAGTTATATTCAAGGCACTGCTGATGTGTTTTGCCTCAATACGTACACTGCAAGAATTGTACGCCATCGCATCAGAAAACTCAAACCTTTTTCTTATGAATACGACAGTGATACAGATTCAGAGGTGGACCCAAGTTGGCCAACTTCAGCTTTTGAACGCTTTAGGCCTGTGGCATGGGGCCTAAGGAGACTATTGAATTGGATAAAAGAAGAATACAACAACCCTTCCATTTATGTCACTGAAAACGGGGTACCAACAAATTACAAGTCCAGTGTAGATGATACAGACAGAATATTCTACTACAAAACATACATCAATGAAGCTTTAAAAGGTTATTTTTTTTTGGGTTGTCTCAGATATTTATTGGAATTCAAAAATACTAATTGAAGAATTTGCCATTTTAAAATGCATTAATAATCATTAGAAATCCCATTTAGTACTTCTATTAATTTTATTCAACACAATTTATACCAATACAGTATATCTGAATTTGTTTAGAAACTATTTTCAAGTTGCTTTACTTTATACGGTTATATAGTGTCAATCAAGTTTGTCTTTTTTGGTCTTAATTTAAAATATTAATCTGTCTTTCTATTGATTTCTTCATTTTATAAGACTATAGTACAAATTAGGAAACTAATAATGTGAGAGGCAATTGAATGGGAGACATTTAAAATACAGTGGGTCAAGATTAAACAAAACTTTCCTGGTTCTGCTCCATGCAGAATTTTTTTAACCCATTACCAATATTGCTTTACACAGTGCATGTTTATTAATAATCTTTACATTTGATATAGCACCTTAATGCATCATCGAGAAGTTCCAAAATGCTTCACAGGATTTCACTATATAGTGTAATGTAGTATTCTGCTACCTATATAATGTATAGAAATTCCAGAAAAACTGGAAAATGTTATTGTAGTGAGTAACAGTTTAAACTCTTAGAGGTAACTAACTTTAAACTATCGAACCTGTAACTACATGTTATTTCCTTTTTTTAAAAAAAATATAATTGCAGCCTACAAATTGGATGGCGTTCAGCTCAAAGGTTACACAGCCTGGTCCCTCATGGATAACTTTGAATGGATGAATGGGTACAGCTTGCGGTTTGGGCTCCACCATGTAGACTTCACAGATCCTAATAGACCAAGAACACCCAAGCGTTCAGCACATTATTATGCAGAGATCATTCGTGACAATGGTTTTCCGTTACGAAAAGAAGATGAATTTCTGTATGGAGAATTCCCAAAGAACTTTGTTTGGAGTGCAGCTACTGCTGCCTATCAGGTTAGCCATTAACCATTGCGATCAGAGGCTCAACATTTTTCATTATATTTAGCTGCAAGGTGAAGCATATTATCATGCTTCAGAGTTTCCAAATCAAAGAGAGTTCCATGTATGTATAATTGAATATGGACTTTTTCCCTGGAGGAGTGCACCCACCCTGCTTGTCTAATTGCAGAGTATTAGGTGCAGGTTGACGAGTGCCAAGGTTTTGTGCACTAAGGAATAGCTGCAGTTTAATCTGCTAAAATCACATAGTTTGTCATGGAAAGCATTCTCTGGTAAGCATGTCGCTGCTGGTAGGATCACTCTTCCTTCCCATTAAGGTTTTGGCTCGTAGGATAAATGAGAGCCGAGCAGAAAGAATCCCTGTCCCCACCTGTTCCTCTTAAGTTCTGTCGACAAGCCAGGTGGCTGGTCTGTACCATCAGTGCATTGGAATACTGTGGACCTGCTTGACTCCAGAACTAGACTGTCAAGACTGGCACAAAGGTTTGACTTAATAATGGCATTCCATTGACAAGCTCATCACCCTGGAGTCAGCTCAGCTCCAAGAAGACCCCACAGCTCCCCTCTTCCGCTGCAAAAAGTAGAGTAGTCAATAAAGTGGTAAGAAAATACATAGAGACTGAACAAATATATTTACTGTCATCTCACAGATTGAAGGAGCTTGGCGGGATGACGGAAAGGGGCTCAGTATATGGGACAAGTACGCTCATACTCCTTTGAAAATCGGCAATGATGACACCGGAGACATCGCATGTGACAGCTATCACAAAATTGATGAAGATGTAGCGATCCTGAAACAGCTGAAAGTCAACCATTATCGCTTTTCCTTATCATGGCCTCGCATTTTCCCAGATGGAACCACACGTTTTGTGAACGAAGCCGGATTAAACTACTATGTAAAGTTAATTGATGCTCTTCTTGAGGCTAATATCAAACCTCAGGTAAGGACCATCGATTGGCTTTTTCTTTGGTCAGCCAGGTGTCTGACACATGCAGAAACCCATCACCGTGCTTAAGAGTATCCAAACCAAACTAAGGTTTCCACGCACCTACACATAGAAATCCCAGAGATGGATTGTTGGAATGGAATGTGCACTGTCTCCCTGGTAAATTAATAGATAAATAATACTAAAGATATTATTATGTACAGATCAGGTTAGTGAAGCTAAAAATGAAGTACATACATTTCCAGGAATCATCAATATACACAGGCATTGAGATTTTCACTTTAGCGTTTGGTTTTCAGCATCGCATTAGGATCCATATCCCAAAGCAGAAAAGCAGAAGAGTACAGAATCAGGGTTGTGAAAAACAAGTCATCATTGTCCTTGAACACCCCCTCCTGGTCATTTAAGGATCTGCTGAACAGTTCCTCAAGACAACATGATAAAGCGCTATATCAAATGCAAAGTTTGTTGGTGTTATAAATATTACCTATTGATTGTCTACAGGTTACCCTCTATCACTGGGATCTGCCTCAGGCTCTGCAGGATGTTGGTGGCTGGGAAAATATTACTACAATTGATCGATTTGTAGAATATGCAAACTTCTGCTTTCAGAAGTTAGGTAATAAAGTGAAGTTCTGGATAACCTTGAACGAGCCTTATAACACCGCACTCCTTGGTTATGGATATGGCACAGCTGCTCCAGGTAAAGTACACACAGCTCTGTGTAACACTGTATAAAGTGTATAAGAGAAAAAACACAGGCAGCCAAATACTTCCAATAGGGAGCTGTCATTTTCTCAAAACATTAAGTATTTTCTTTCTTTTCCTAAATTCAGCCGTTGATATTTATTCTAATGACAATGAAATCCTTTCTTTAACCAATCATCATTTTTGTCATTGGAAGGTGTTGGTTCAAGATTAGGCACAGCTCCTTATATTGTTGCTCACAATCTAATCAAGGCTCATGCAGAGGTTTGGCATCTATATAATGAAACTTACAGAGCACAGCAAGGCGGTTTGATCTCCATTACTATCAACTCAGACTGGACTGAACCAAGAAACCCTTACAAACAAGAGGATGTTGATGCTGCAAGAAGGCATTTAATGGTAAGAGTCAATAACTTGCCTTACATTTATTTATTAGTTACAGTCCTCCATGGCCTTGCTCCTTCCTATCTCTGTGACCTGCTAACACCATATTAAGCTGCCAGCTCCCTCCGTTCAGTGGGTTATGTCCTGCTCCATGCTCAGCCCACCCCTCCATTGGAACCTTTTGGAACTCCATCCCTCCCTTGTCTCCTTGAAGGCATGTCTCAAGGCATGTCCTCTTCAGCCACACCTATGGCTACCCTCCTACCCCTATCCTCCCTGCCCAACACCCCTCCTGATCACAATCCCCTGCTCACATCCTCCTGATGTCAAAGTAGCTATACAAATGTAATTTATTGTTGTTATTGTTATTTGTTAATTTAAGATGAATCAGCACCAGATAATGTGGTGTCTATACGTCAGTCAGGATTTCTTGTGACATTCATAAGCTTCAGTCTTCATAATAGGAATACAGAAATGCACACAGACATGAAAACACACACATCAGAAAAGACCCTTGATTCTTTCTGGCCAGTCTAAATTAAACAATTCTCCCATGTTCACTTCAAAAAAAAATAACAAGATGCTCTATTGTGAGCGAAATATATGATGTTGAATCCTCAGCACAGGATTGTGTACATCTCAATAAATTGTTATCAAATTCCTACATAGTACTGAAATAAAACAGGAACCTACCTTTTGACATTCCATAATACCATACAACTCTTTTAGTTATGCTTATTGTTTGATGTTGGGTTCTCACATAACACCATTTTCATCCTAATACTGCAGAATAGATTTAAGTTGTAACAACTAACGATTTATCATAAATGTGTTGTAGCATCAATTTTATAGGCAATGCACCATTGAAATGAAAGTGTAATATTTTGCACTTTTTGTTCATTTAGTTTTATGGTGGATGGTTTGCATATCCAATCTTCAAAAATGGCGATTACAATGAGATAATGAAAGCGCGTGTGAAAGAGAAGAGTTTGGCTCAAGGCTTAAGTAAATCTCGGTAGGAAACTTTAATATTTATGAAATTTCCAAAGTGATAAATATAGGAGTACAATAATGATCGTACAATAGTCAAGAATAAAGTTGTGTCTGTTAAGTTGCATTATTTTCCTAAAGTTCGTTTTAATTTTTGAAAAATAGCTTTTGTAACAAATATATGTTGGATTCAGTCTTCTAATTTTAAGCAACATAAGAAATACAAGTTCCTTCCTCATTCATGCATCAAATTCCGTAATCTCAACTATTTCAAGATAGATTCCACCACTAAATCCTACACAAAACTGCTATAGAATCATAGAACTTTACAGCACAGAATAACGCTGTACCTGTGCTGACTTTTTGAAAAAGTTATTCTTTCAGTTCCATTTGCCTGCCTTTTAATAATCCTTGCATTTGATATAACTCCTTAGAATGTCTTTTGGCCCATATCCTGCAAATTACTCTAACAGGTGATAAAGTAAGTGGAAAGCCACATCACATGATAAATAAAAATGTGAGTAGAAACAGCCAATGTGATTAGAATACAAAATGTTACATGATTTAATTTGTTTATTGACTTTTCAGACTCCCTGAATTCACTGAATCTGAAAAACAGAGAATTAAAGGGACTTACGACTATATGGGGTTTAATCACTACACCACAGTCTTGGCATTCAATGTCAACTTTGGAAACGCCATACCATTGTATGATGGAGACAGGTATGCGTTTTATCTAATTTTCGAAAACAATGATGAATAACAATCAGTAAAACACCCTTTTCAGATCAATCAAGGTATTTTACCATAGTTCTTGCTATAGAATGAAGTGCTTAACTTTTGAATTCTACAATGTAAGTCGTTGCAGATTGAAATGTATATTACTTATCCAGTAGAGTCTTTTTTGATCTCTGTTTAATATTATATTCCATATAGAAACAATAGCCCAGGTCATTATAGAAAATTAATCCATCATATTGAGCGATTTTAAATAATAATGATTTTGCAGAAATTATTACCATCACGACTCACCTTACTTGTGTGCATGTTTTACAATAAAGAATATAACAGAATATAAGTATGTTTGCAGTAAATCCAATAAATAAATAATAATTTTAAATATTTGAACAGATTGAGATAGACTGGTTAAATACTTCTTCTTTCGCCCCAGATTTGGTTTGTATTTTCAGATATCCTTTAATTGGAGGAAAAAATTCAAACGGATTGGCTAGTGATCCTTTTATATTTTATAGTTTATGCAGCACTAATAACGTTTCCTGAGCAGATAGGAGTTTAACCTACTGCCAGCCATAACAGATTTATCTCTATTATTCTGTTCCTAAATCTTTTCTCCACTCATCCATCCTCTCCAGCAGGCAGTGACTAATCCCAGTAGCTCTCCACGACCTCACTTAAGTGATCATTCTTGCTAAATGAGTCCACAGGGTGCTGGTAATTCACCACTGGAGACATCACAGCTGAGCCCAATCCTGATTACAATGCTGATGATTTGCATCTTACAGTGATCATTGCTTGCAGCAGCTCTTGTTGATTCCCTCTGATTAATATGAACTCTCAAAATGAAATCTACAACTTACGAGTGTGCTATTATGAACCAGAGAAATATAGAATCATACAGCACAGAAAGGAGGCCATTCGGCCCATCGTGCATGTGCCGGCTGTTTGAAAGAGCTACCAACTAGTCCCACTCCCCCGCTCTTACCCCATAGACCTACATTTTTTTTCCTTTTTAAGCACCTGTCTAATTCCCTTTTGAAAGCTATTACCAAATCTGTTTCCACCACCCTTTCAGGCAGTGTGACCATACTGTAACAACTCTCCGGGTAAAAAAATTTCTTGTCTCCCCTCTGGGTCTTTTGCCAGTTATCTGTGTCCTCGGGTTACCAACCCACCCGCCAGAGGAAACAGTTTCTCCCTATCTACTCTATCAAAACACTTCATAATTTTGAACACCTCTATTAAATCTTCCCTCAATCTTCTCTGCGCTAAAGAGAATAATCCTAGCCTGTTTAATCTCTTCACATATTTATCGTACCTCATCTCTTGTATCATTCTTTGAAATCTTCTCTGAACTTTCTCCAAGGCCCTGACATCCTGCCTAAAGTGTGGTGCCCAGAATTGGACACAAAAGTTGAGGTCTAACCAGTGATTTGTAAAGGTTCAACATAACTTCCTTGTTCTTCTACTCAATGCCTGTTTTTTAAGCGAAGGAACCCATTTGCTTTTTTAACCTCTTTGTCAACTTGTCCTGCCACCTTCCGAGATTTGTGTGTGTGAACCCCAGGTCTCTCTGTTCTTACACCCCCTTTAAAATTGTATCTTTAAATGTATGTTTAACTAGAATACAGGAAAATGGAAAGAGATATGAAATTATTATTGTACTTAGAGCAGAGTGTAACTGAGGTATAGCAGAGAAAGACACTGCAGTTTAATAGGATTTCAAGGATTGTTTTGTAACATGTATTCAATTAGATATTTTGCACAAACGTTTGTAGTGCAAAGTCATTCATTCTTTATTTCCAGAGGAACAGGGACAACGACAGACCGCAGCTGGCTTGGTTCTGGATCATTCTGGCTGAAAGTAACTCCTTGGGGGTTTAGGAAAATTCTTAATTGGATTAAAGAAGAGTTCAACAACCCGCCTATTTATATCACGGAAAATGGCATCTCAGAGCATGGCGATAAAGGCCTGGATGATACTTGGAGAATAAATTATCATCGGAGTTATATAAATGAAGTTTTGAAAGGTAAAACATTTCTCCATCATTGTTCTGTTTTGCTAAGGTTGCGTCATCAAAGGTTTTAGTTCAGTTATCTTCATTCATCATAGAATTCACTTCAGCAGCGAAGGATTTCTACATGTAAGAAAAAATTGAGTTTTTTTTCACCAGAAGGAATAAACTTGTCACACACCATTGGTTACATTTATATTTTAGGTAGCTGATCAGTGCAGTGGGCTGTTACCTCAGGGACCCAGGTTTGAATCCAGCCCACACTGATAGCATGAAAGTCTCCTCTATCTGTTAGTTGTGCTTAGTGAAAAAAAGCTTTTGAGCAGTCATTCACATTGGTCAGCAAAGGAGGTTGAATTTGAAAACATATTGATGGTACTGTATAGCGCCAATGCATTGTTACCCTGGCCCTTGTTATACTGAACCAGCAGTGACTGGATGTAGCAAAAAATAGTTTTCCTCCCAACGTTGGCATAATTTACCAAGTTGAGCACAATTGTAAATGATGCAAGATTTATCATAGGTCAAATATGTTTTTTTTTGTATATCATTTTAAACTGCTCAACTGAAGTATTAATTGTATAAAAACTGTTGTGGTTCTTTTAGGATTTGTTTCTTAAATTAGTTCAAATTCAAATGTCCGACTGCATTTATAACTTGTAAAGAAAAACTGATGAAACCACTTTTTTAATATTGGAAAGATGTGTAAGTAACATTTTTCTTCCTGTGTATGCAGCTATCAATGTTGATGGAATCGATATCCGTGGCTACACCGCATGGTCATTAATGGACAACTTTGAATGGGCGATGGGCTACGCTGATAGATTTGGTTTATTCTACGTTAATCATACCGACCCTTCATTACCTCGCATTCCTAAAGCTTCTGTTAAGTATTATTCTTCGATCATTCGCTGCAATGGCTTCCCTGATCCTGCAATGGGACCCAACCCATGTCTACAGTCAGAAGGTAATAAAATAAACATGAGAAATAAAGGCTACAAATAATCTGTGCTCAAAATACATTGTAATTAGTTTTTTTAATCAAATACATTTCTGAATTTTACTGTTACAGGGTTTGTACTTTTCTGTTGGTCATTCTTATTAAACACTTAGCTGTGATTATTTTAGAATTAATGTCCCCTCTCCCCCCCACCCCCTGAGTAAATTACTTGATGGGTAACACAAAAGACCACCAACCTTGTTCTTGTGTTTGCTTTCAGTTATGAACATGAGTGAGTATTTTCAATTAGAGTAGAATACTGACAATTGTTTGTGGACTATGGAATTATTAATCCATGGCCCATATCTTGCTTGAAATTGTTAGTTACCAGTTGGAATTTATTAACGTGAATCAAGTTTATTTAAAAAGCTCCCTTTTCTTAGTTTCTTCACGTGTTTTACATAACTAAGAGAACTGTTTTAGTGAAAATGAAGATCAGATGATCTTAAAAAAATTCTTCACACTCATTTTAAGTTATCTGAACTCCTTGCAATACATATTTACCTAAGGAGCCAAAGAATTACAAGACTCCAGCAAACTATTATTTCCTGATCCAGTACTTTCATGAATTAAATGTTGATGCAGTTCTGAAACTAGTTAAAGGTAAATACATTTTGATAATTGCAACTAAAAAAGAAATGCAGAACACAGATCAAGAATGGTACTTAATGTATATAATCCTAACATTTGATATAGCGCCTTATCACATCTTCGAGACGTCTCAAAGCGCTTCACAGAATATACTGTAAAATGAATAAGTATATTATGGGGGCGAAAATGTATTAAATGATCTACCACCTAAACATCCATTGTTTTAATTTTTCAGATCCTGCTGCAAGACCTTGATGGTGAAAACCACAGCAGAAACCATCAGTTCCAGATCTCTTGCTCCTAACAAATTTCATTTTCTTAGCAATATCTAGTGTGAATGCAGCATGCTTTGTTTGGTATTTCAATAATTATGGCTGTTCTTTTTACTTATCTTTCCATTTATGTATGGAAGAGCTACAAAATGTTTTTAAGCAAGTTAAATGAATGTGATAAAACTGAACTGCAAATGATAGAAATGGAATTGATATTAAATAGAATAGTATCCGCAAGTGTTAAATTATCAATAATCTTGATTACTTGTGTCGCATTATTGCTTTTTTATTGTAAATCTGGTATATAAAACCTGATCTGTCTTAATAAATTGATTGAAATATTTTAACTACTTTAAAGCTGAAGCAGTCAATGTGTTAAATACAATAAGTTTATTAAATAATTCCCATTCTAGTTATTACTCAGAACTGCAAACTCAAAATGCAACCTCATATGGGGTGGCACAGAAATTCATTCCATCCAAAATATCCAAATGTAACAATTTATTCCTTTCCCCCCATTCAAATTTTAGACATATTTCATTCATGTCTCCTACACATTTCACATATGCTTGTGGTGTGTGGGAAATTGAATTGACATTCTCCAAATGTACCTCCAAGGGATTCAACACATTCACTGGTTTCATCAGGTACAAAGCCACAAATATGGTAGTCTGACAGTAACTTAACTACCAATGCACCATAAATTAATTATACCTAAACCAGATACCGTTAGTGCAAGAGATAGTTTAACCAGTAGTTTTTTTTAACTTTGATCAGTAATTATTAGTAATTTACGTGTTTTGTGATTCCCTTAGTTCTTAAACTGGCTTAAGCAAGATGGACTTTTAAATGAACCACAATTAAGATACAGTTCTGCCATTTATGTAAACAAGTATCCAAAACCTACTCAAGCCATATAGATTTGTTATACAGTGCATCACACTTCTCTGTAACATGCAGTGAAACACAACACAATATCACCACTGTGCAAATCACACTGGACATACATTAGCACTTTTTAGAATCATGCAGTTTAATTATGGAAACTTCATCAAAAAGCAGCCTTATATAAAACAAATCCTGACCATGAAACCAAACAAAACCATTCCTTAAAAACTCCACCTGTACATGATATAAAAGACAAGATGAAGTGCATCTCTAGGTCGAGGACAGTAATAAACCACTTGGACTCATTTTATATGGATAAAACATCTGAACATTGAGATCTTTTACTGCTTTGTAACAGTTCAAACTCTGCATGATGTATGCAATACATTGCAACCATTTGTTATTCCATGTTATTCCACCTATTTTGCAGATGTGTTGTAAATGCATTAGGATTTACATTACATGTAAAGCACACAAAGAAGTTTGTTGAAAATTTTAAACATTTTATTGTCAGCTTTAAATTAAAAGTGGCCAAACCTTGAAGGTGGCCAGGGCTCTCAGTTAGTGTCTTATACAGGCAAGGAAAGATAAACTTGAAGATGGGATCCTAGACACAAATTACTTAGAAACATGTTTTAAACATAATTATGAATTTGCCTAAAACGTTTTTTTTGCACATTCGCATAGTAGCATTTATTGCCCCTCCAGAATTACTAAAATCATAAAAAAAAACCATGCAACTGAGCTGGAGTTAACAGATTATGGCTAAATTGTACAAAATGCAACCTCTCTTCCGTCCCCTTTTCTTTTTAATTGGAAGTATACATATATAATTAAGAGCAAACAGTACAACTGGTTTCTATCAATAAGGCATAAGCTACATCTGCTGAGTTGAGTTCCCGTTCCATGTGTTGTTTTCATCGTCTGCATCGCCCTCCGTCCGCAGTCTGTAAATCTTGCCCTCCCTCTTGAAGTCCTCTCCTCGGTTCTCAAGCAACCGTCGTCTTCTTACTTCCCTGAAAATCCAATAAAATATACATGAGGTAGTGCATCCCGGACCAAGTTCCCTCCCCTGGAAAACAAGCTGTGAAATTTGAGATAAAAATGAATTTATATTGTAGAAATAAATAAATTTTTAAAGTTCACATTGGACCTAATATCACCGAGATACCATAGTTAAAAAGTCATCATAAATACTCAAGTGCATTAAATGATTTTCACTTTACTGTTAAAAGATCATTATCTGCCAAAATTGAATGAAATTTTCAGACTACATAATTCTGAAATTTAAAAATATTTTGTATGCAATGCATCTCTTTGAACTTAGTCTAAACTCTACAAAGTAAAAATATTACCAACTACCTGTCTGAATCTGATGCAATGGAGGTCGATGGTCTGGAAGTGGATGGTCTTGAGTTTTCTTGCTGAGAGACATCTCTGCCAGACGATCTTGGCATTGTACCACTACCAAATATGTAGCTGCTAAGAAGCCGCCATACTGTAATAAGTGGGTAAAATAACACATTCATGAAATCCCAAAATCCTCCTCCTGAAGATGGCAATACTGATGAAGGTGATCTTCCACCCTATGAAAAGAACAGAAGTATTAATGAATCCATGAGTTTAAATGGCTACAAAAACTAAAGTTTTAACAGCAGCAAGTTGCATTTATATAGTGCCCCTCACGCAGGGTAGTGTCCCAGAGCGTTTGACAGTGGCGGAGCATCACGCAGAGCCGGAGTGAGGGAGAGATGACTGTAGGCACAGTCGAATAGGAAAGTCTTCAGGCATGACCTGAAGATGGGGAAGGAAGGGGCAAGGCGGAGGGTTAGAGGAAGAGTGTTCCAGAGTTTCAGCAAGTAGTGGCTGAAAACGCAGCCACAGATGGTGTAACAGCTCTAAATAGGGATCAAAGCTTAAACATAGTTATCTGTCCAAATGTTTTGTGGCAAATTATGGTATTTAAGTTTATTTTGGGTGCTACATCTTTGAATATAATATAGATCAACAATATTTGCAATAAATGCCTTTATGTTAAAACCTCTAATCCCTCCACAGTTAATAGTTTTGAACTAGAAACAGTAATCTCTACCAATTAAAACGTCAGGGGGAAATGTAAATGTTTCTGCCACAAATAGCTCAATAAGAGTTTTGTTTCCTATCCAAAAGTTAAACCCAGAAGAGTTCAAAATTATAGTACCTCAAAATGGGGGTTTGCTAATAAAGTGCCATTCAAATTGCTCAGTTAATTTTTCAAAAGAAATTTCTCAGCATCTATTTGCAAAATGTTGAATTTCCAAATTCATAAAATAGATTTTCTACTTTTCTAATGAGTATTTATAAGAATTAAAGGAAGGGAAATTAGGATCATATTTTCACTATAATGAAAATACCTTTTGATGTGCATTATCTTACTTATATAATTTTTTTAACAAAATATTTAATAGGCGGTCAGCGCCACAAAATGAACATACTCTGACATCAGCCAAATTGATTACAGATCATCATGAATTAGGTTCATTATGAAGCACTAAAGCCACCTCATTCACTAAGTTTCCAAACTGATTAACTTCTTAAAACTGTGTATATCCTGTTGAATTGCTATTTATAGGTTGCTGTTCCACAAAAATACAAAAATCTTAGAAAGCCACATGGGAATAAGGGGAACGGAGACAGGAGAAACAGAGAAAGTATTTCCCCAAACTTACTGGAACTAGGATAATTGAGGCACTTGGTACCAATTCCAGCTCAGTTAATGTCCGGTTGTAATCTTCATTTGTAAATTCTCTCCTTGGAAAAGTTGTTGCCAATTCAAAAGATCCATATACACCACCAACTTGCTGCAAGAAAATGTTCGGGTTGGATATCAAAAATATTACATAAAACATTGATCTACTATGGCATAAAAAGAAATATTCTCCAGAATAGCAGTCTATAACAATCCAGCTACAATAATCCAACAAGCAAATTCAGAATAAAGATAATGCATTGTTGTGTAGTGGGCATCTATACAATGAGTGTGCATCATGGAGCTGCCCAGGTGCTCATTCTCTCTTCTAATTTCACAGCCCATTTCCTTCAGCTTCATGACATCTGCAAACTCCCTCTCTTTATCTCCAATTTCAGATTATATATACTACAAACAGGAGACTTCCCAGCACACATCCTTAAAATCACTCCACTTAAAATCTCCCCAATTTTGACCTACCTCCTTTCTGCTTCCTCCCTTTAGCATGTTACTAACTTAGTTTCATGACCAACCCATAGCATTTTAATAGATCCCTTGGATGCAGTCTAGGGGAGACAAAGACAGTGGCCTGAAAGCAAATAGCTTGCTCAGGGGGGACTGGTAAGATGAAAAAAACACTAGGTAATGAAGGTCAACATTAAGAGGCACAAACTGTTTAAAGGAGGAAAATCCAATCCATTGAAACTAGTTCGAAAAATGTACAAACACTTACCCTTTCTGCAAATTCCCTAGCTACTGATAAATGTGCATCTGATGGGAACTGGTTTGTGAAAGAGGATCCATCAGGAAGTCTGAACTGGAGTCTAGACATTTTGCTGAAAGATACAAGAATCAAGTTTAAAGTGAATAATTTAGCAAGCTTACTACCTTGTGAACTTATTTTCTCCTCGCCTCAAAAACAAAAATAGTTTAAAAACCTAAACATTGTCATATCCAGCTTTTTAGATTTTTAAACGTTCAAAAAGTTGGAAACAACTGACCAACAGAAGTTAGTCTTACATCAAACCTCATCGAGGTCCAACAAACAGATAACCAAAACATTCAGAACATTAATTACTGAACATGAATAACCAGTTCACATCACCTGCAACTAAAGATTGTTGAGATCACATAAAGTTTGTTCTGTTGCACTGAAATGTCTCAACAGTTGCAACATTTTAACCCTTGCATCACTGAACTGATGATCTTGCCAGGTGCTCAGGCTGGTTCAGCTACCCAATTTATGCACAGAAACAGTGTCACATATTTGACTTGGTCACTCAGTGACCCAAGGAAGTCAAACCTTTAATATTCAGGTTGCTGCCTGGATTTTGAAAGAATATTTAAAAAGCAATTGCAAATTAGGACCTATTTATTATTTGTTTACAACTTTCTTCAGCTCAATGTGCGCAAAACTGAGGCCCTTCTGATTGGTTCGCGTTAGCGCCTCCGCACCTCAGGTGCTGACAGCATCAGCATCCAAGGCTGCACTCTCCACCTCTCAAGGCCAGTCAGGAACCTCGGTGCTCTGTTCGACCCTGAGCTGTCCTTTCTTCCTCATATCCGCACCACAACTGGCACCGCCTTCCATCACCTCCGAAACATCGCCAGACTACGGCACTACCTCACCCCTCACGCGGCTGAAACTCTGGTCCACGCCTTTATCACCTCAAGGCTGGACTATGGGAACTCTCTCCTCGCCGGCCTTCCCGGCACCTCCCTCCACAAGCTGCAGGTCATTCAGAACTCTGCAGCTCGTGTACTGTCCCGCACCAGGCTTCGGACCACATCACTCCCACCCTCGCTCGCCTCCACTGGCTCCCCATCCCCCAGAGGATCGAATTCAAGATCCTCATCCTCACCTACAAGGCCACTCACGGCCTTGCTCCCTCCTACCTCTCCGACCCCTACCTACCTGCCCGTACCCTCCGTTCCTCTGGCTCCGGTCTGCTCCACATCCCCCGCCCCAACCGCCCTACCATCGGTAGCCGGACTCTCAGCCCCCAGGCTCTGGAACTCCATCCCCCAGTGCCTTTGCCTTGCTTCCTCCCTTTCCTTCTTCAAGACCTGTCTCAAGACCTTTCTCTTTGACCGAGCCTTCAGCTCCCCTCTCGACTCTCTACCCCCTCCTCGCCTCCTCCTTTCCCTCCCCCTGACCATTTCCCCTCTGCTCGGGTCCCGACCCAACTGTCCAGCGCCTTGGGACGTCCTCCCGACGTGAAAGGTGCTCTATAAATGAAATCTTGTTGTTGTTGTTGTTATGTGCTTCCCAAGGTAAATAAAAGACACGGAATCGACAGAAAGGTGCATTAGGTAACACTACGGTAAATTCTTTGAATTTTTTGTCAAATTTCAACTTCTAATTGGCAGAAGATATCCTACTGTCGTCTGAATAAGCTAAAACTTAAGAATATTCGCATTACTGATCCTCTTAAGGTTTAAAAGGAGTCCTGAGGCTTAGTGGTTAGAGCACTCGCCTCGCAAGCGAGAGGACCTGGGTTTGATTCCCGGCAGAGCGAAATGTTGGGCAACTTTCCTTACTCCACACACCTCTGGTTACTTAGCAGTTAAGTAGGAACCCGGTCTTTAGTCGATTGTTGGATCGCTTTTCCGGGGGCAACAATCCCTTTTTAAAAAAAAAAATTTGGTCACTCAATCCACAATTGTTTGTGGGACACTGCTGTGCGCAATCGGCTGCCGCGTTTTGCCCACAAAATATACAGTCAATTCACTTTACAGTATATTCTGTGATGCGCTTTGATACATCTTGAAGACGTGATAAAGCGATATATCAAATGCGAGGATTATTATTATTAGAAGTATTTCAAAAGTTGGGATGAAAGAATTCAATAATTATGCTGCAATTTCTTCTACAGGCTCCAAGTTCAGTTTGACTTTGACAAACAAAGTACCTTCTTTGGTTTTGTAGGGCTTTTCTTTTAGCTTCTTCTTCAGCCTGCTTTACTTTCTCAGCTGCTCTTTTTGCAACTTCAGTATCTTCCTTGGTCTTTGCATAGCGTGCAGCTCTGTCTGCACGATCCTGATAAGGAAACAAAGTCCCCATGTTTTACTGCAACCATTCATTCACTTCATTTATCTATATCACAATCTAGATTACAGTATTAGTGCACTCTATGATCTTATCTTTTATGTCAAGGAACTTTGATTTCAGCTTATCCCTCTAAGGTTGTCCAACATTTCATTCTGATCACCATAATAATAATCCCTCCAAAAACCAAAAACAATAATTAAATTGGTCATTTTCAATCTACGACTGTTTGTGGGACATTGCTGTGCGCAATTGGCTGCCGCGTTCGCCCACAAATATACAGTCAATTCACTTTACAGTGTGTTCTGTGAAGCGCTTTGGGATGTCCTCCCGACGTGAAAAGCGCTATATCAAATGCAAGGATTATTATTATAGCTCACAATAATAAATGTACAAAAAAGGTAGGTCAGGGTATTTTTGGTAGGTCAGGATATTAAGAGATATGGGGAGAAAGTGGGAAATTGAAATTGAAAGGATTACTTGAGGTATAGATCAGCCATGATCTAATTAAATGGTGGAACAGCCTTGAAGGGCTGAATGGCCTCCTTCTGTTCCTATGTTTCTACAAACAAACCAGTTTGTAAAGATCTGGCTAGTTACAAGAACGTTAGACAACAAACAAAAAGGAACAAACAACAAACATGTTTGAATCTCAGTATTTTGGGCACACATCTTCATTCTTGACCAAATCAACTCATCTCAGGGCGAAAAGACCAAATAGAGTGAATTAAAGTAAGATAAGAAAGTCCCTTCTTATCTAAATTTAATTTACATCCAAGTTAGCTGACGCAGCCTAATGTTCATGGAAGTGTCCACAGTTGGACATCGTTACCTTCTTGAATACAAAATATATGGATGTAATGGGCCAACTGTGGGGAAATAAGACTAATCTTCTGCTTTCCTGCCCCACCCCCCCCTCCCCAATTTATAATTATGATCCAAAGAGAAACGTTCCAACAATTTGTGGAATAGGATTTTTTTTCTCAAAGTACACACCAAGGCAATCTGCTGTCGTATTCTTTCTCGTGCTAAACGCTCTTCCTCCTTGTCTCGGGTTCTTTCTTCCAGCAATCTTTTTGTACGGTCCTCATCCTGTTTCCTCTTGAAATCCATCATGTCTTTGTTCACTTTTCTACGCTCAAGTTCAGTTTTAATTTCAATCTGTAACAGTAACATTTTCAAAAACTAAGAACCAATTCATTTCATTCCACTATGTCATGAAACAAATTCTCAGACAGAATTGAAACAATATGGCTATGTTAAGATTAAGAATTGTGAAGAAATATTTCAGAGTGAGCAAACACAATCTGTCAACCTTTGCTTCTGTCTTCTTCTTCTCATCTCTTTTGTCTTCCAACTTCTTTGACAGCCTATAAACAATAAAAGATTTATCATAAAATCATAGAATCATACAGCATAGAAGGAGGCCATTCGGCCCATTGGGTCCGTGCTGGCTCTTTGAAACAGCTGTCCAAATTAGTACCACTCCCCATAGCCCTGCAAATTTGTCCTCTCCAAATTTGATGGATATAATAGTTCCTTTGGTCATTAATTTTATTTGCACACAGTTCAAAACAGATGGATTAACTTGACCCAGACTAAGTGTAATAATACTATACACTTGAAATGGCAGGCATTGAGCCAAGATGTTGATACAGCATAATGTTACATCAGCAGAAATAAAGTCAATTAGACAAAGGCAATGCTGATTCAGATTAATAGTTTAAGCTTGATCCTTATAAATGTTTAAATTCACCATTTGTACAATTTAGTCAAATCTGTGGTGCTATTTCGCCACCCCCCCCTCACGATTTAATTATTTGTTTAGGAAAAATACATCATCTAAACTTATTAAATACCTTTCAACTCGGATATCAAGTTCTTCCTCTTGACCTGTCATATTCTCTGAGATATAAGCGATTTCTTCGGCAGAACTCATCTCAGTAACAATACTTCCAACTTCAAGTCCTTCAGAAACTGCTGGAAAAAGCACAAATAAAAACAAATCTACTTTCAAATAGAAAAGCCTTGGCAGTCCAAGACTTCTTATGCCATGGAATCCACCCTATTTACACTGCGAGGTAGAATGAACTGCCCCGCAATACAAGAATTATATAGTTTGTTGGCCATGCATCTTCGCTGGTGTGCAATAGGCCAGCAATATAAAAAAAGACATTAGCAAGCTGAGAGCATGGTGAAAACACGTTAGTTGAACATACAACTGAGCTAAAATCAACTTTGAGCTAAGAAATGATACTAGCCACATCAGTCAAACAGAGGTATCTGCAGTATAGTTAGGTCAACAACAACAAATTGCATTTGTATAGCCTTTTCAAGTTGGGAGGAAGTCCCAAGGCTCTGAAACCAAAGAAAGTCAATTCCTTTACCTAGACTTTCTGCTTCTGACTTCTTCAATGAGCTTTTCTTGAATAATTTAGCACAAGGTGGTGGTGGACTACGTGGTTGGACAATTTCTATAACCCCGTGTGATTCATTTGTTTTTTCTGCATTTGTTGCTTCTGCATTTGATGTTGTAGCCTGGATTTGATCTAAATTGGTTTCATTGTTGGCACCTCCTGCATTCCTTTCTGCATGCATCTGACAAAAGCAAAGAAAATGCAAATTAATTTTGGATCAAATCATATAGCTTAGTATTTGACTACATAGGTATTGAACTCTTGAACCATTTCTTCAGAAAAAGCATTTGATGGAGAAGGCAATTGAAAGGTATAGGGAGTAAGGAGTGGGTTGAAACTCACGTGGAGTACAAACACCAACATGAATTAGCTGGGCTGCATGGCCTGTTTCAGTGCTGTACACTATATGTAATTAGTTGAAAATGGACTAAACAGAACAGTTATAAGGGTAAATCCTACTTCCAAAATTGGTTCACTAAGTCGACTCGAAGAATTAACTGGAAAATATGAATCAAGAGCCCAAGACATAACCAAAATAATTAGATCCAATCATAATTCAGTAATCTAGGAACTGGTAAAGCAAATGGGTTTAATTTAAACTACAATGCACACTCAAAGCTACCACTTCAGAGATTGTGTACAGCAGGTGATGGATTGGTAGTTCATTGGTTTTCCAATGGTTTCCCTTCATCTTTGTTAAACATTAGAAACTAATGTCACATATGTATACACTTATTTCTTTTCAGAAAACGATAATTTTTAATTGCTTACTTGCTTAACTTTCTGAATCCGAGCTAATAGTTCCTCTGTACTGATGCTCCCAGCAATAACTTCCAATGGGATTCCATCGTTTCCTATGAAAAAGCTTGACGGAATGCACACAACAGGATCTGGATGGTATCAGTTCAGGGGACTATACTGAGGTTTGTAGACAGTTGGACTTTGTAGCCAGTGATAATATAAAATATAAGTGAATTTAAGTCTACAATTCTGGGACTTAGTCCAACAGAAATACCTTTCAGTCCCTACAGGTTTGCACAATTAAAAGTACTTATTTGGGAGTTATTCGTGTGCTGAAGCTAACCTTAACTGATATAACAACAACAACGATTACATTTGTATAGCGCCTTTCACGTCGGGAGGACATCCTAAGGCGCTGGACAGTGTAACAACAACAACTTGGATCAATATAGCGCCCTCCACGCCGCTCGGCGTCTCAGAGCGCTTCACAGTAACGGATCCCGGGACCGAGCCAGGGGGAGAGGGAGGAAGGTGACCAAAGGTGCGGTCAAAAAGAAAGGTCTTCAGCTGAGACCTGAAAATAGGAAGAGAGGGGGCAAGACAAAGGGAGTGAGGAAGGGAGTTCCAGAGCCTCGGGTCGTAGTGGCTGTGTACAGCATTTCAGAATCAAGCTGAGGTCAGGGAGGGAGAAGGGAGGGAAGGGGAAAGGTGTGACCGATGGCATGGTCGAAGAGGAGGGTCTCAAGGCTACGGAGGGGACGAGGCGGAGTGATTGGGAGATAGAATTCCAGAGGTTGAGGACAGAGTGGCTAAAGGCTCTCCCGCCAATGGTGGGGCGGCTGAGTGGAGGGAGCGGGCGGGTTGGTAGGGGGTTAAGAGGTCGCAGAGGTAGGGTGGGACGAGGCCATGGAGGGTTTTGTAAGTAAGGATCAGGATCTTGAACTGGATCCTTTGAAGGATAGGGAGATAATAAGCATTCTACATCCCTGTAAAGCATGTATTTTGCAGCCAAACCCAATCCTATTCTCATCTACATGCACCCCTTAAGCAAGATCCACTGGCTGGCAATCAGGATGAGAAATTAGATTGTTTTACTCTGCAGTGACACCCTGTTATACTGTATACTGTGTGTGTATATAGCACTGGTGCACAGTGGACAAGTGCGGTGCACTTTGCATAGACTGGCTGGCTTCCTGTGCATAGCATCCAGGTGTAGAAGACATCCCAGCAAACACTGGAAACCCAACCCAGTATGGTTATGGCTGACCAGGCAACCTGCATCAATATCAGCCACCCTGAAGTTAATTATAGAACATTAGTGCTACCTACTATAAGGCAAGGTTATTGGTCCTAACAAAGTTTGGTGGCACCTTAATATTGTAAGGAAAGATTCATTTTATAGATCCAATATATAACTTCGGACTTGGAAATTAATTGTAGTACTATAGTAACACCAAACTGAGAACTAACTAGACATAGACAAAACAAAGATTAAAAAAAATAATCTTCGATATTGTCTGTCATAGAATTATACAGCACAGAAGGAGGCCATTCGGCCCATCGAGTCCATGCCAGCTCTTTTAAAAGAGCTATCCAAATCAATCCCACTCCCCCACTCTCTCCCCATAGCCCTGCAAACTTGTCCTCCCCAAATAATTATCTACTTCTCTCTTAAAAGTTGTTATGGAATCGGCTTCCACCACCCTTTCAGGCAATGCATTCCAGATCTGAACAACTCGCGGTGTGAAAAAAATTCTCCTCACTTCTGTTTCTTTTAACAACTATTTTAAATCAGTGTCTTCGGATTAACCCGCCAGTGGAAATAGCCTCTCCTTGTTCACCCTATCGAATCCCCTCATAATTTTGAAAACTTCTATTAATTCTGCTCCTAACCTTCTCTGCTCCAAGGAGAATAACCCCAGCTTCTCTAACCTCTCCTCATAACTGAAGTCCCTCATTCCTGGTACCGTCCTGGTAAATCTCCTGTGCACCCTCTCCAATGCCTTGACATCCTCTTAAAGTGCAGTGCCCAGAGCTGAACATAGTACTCAAGCTGAGGCCTAACCAGTATTTCAAAAGGTTCATCATAACTTCCTGACTTTTGCATTCTTTGTCCCTATTTATAAAGCCTAGTATCCCATATGCTTTTCTTTAAAAAAAAACAGCTTTATCTACTTTTCCTGCCATCTAAGATTGTACCATCAGCTTATATTGCCTTTCCTCATTCTTCCTCCCAAAATGCATTTCTCAACATTAAACTTCATTTGCCACATGTCTGCCCATTTTACCAGTCTGTCTATAACCTCTGGTAATCTGCTACGATCCTCATCATTGACTACTTTCCCAAGCTTAGTATCATTAAATGCATGCCAAATACCCTGTCAAATTAAAAAAAATCTAAACTCAGTATCCATATATGTAACGCTGATAAAAGCTTGTTAATGCATTCAACACTTCCAATATCTGTCTGACTACATTTTATTAAGAGAATATTGGAATCACTGGGCAGATTCCTTACTTTCAAGAATTCAGATACCATGATCTACAACATATGATTTATATCTCCACAAATGGACTGATCTAATCATCATTCATGAAATGCAGTCAAGGCCATGATTGCACTCTGCAGTTTATCATTTGAAACCACATGTTAGGTACAAATATGGATACAATATACATTTTAAATGCAAATTATATTGCTACAGAAATAATTAGTTATAGTGTTATACATTTTAGTACATTTCAAAATTTCCTAAAAAATAATTTTTTACTGTCAGTATTTTTCTATATGACAAAGAATCAAAAGGAAACGGAAACAAATCCTTAAAGGGTTAGGGTATATAACGTTTTGCTAAATAAATTACCTGAACTTGCTAATCAGCATTTTACAATTCTATTTTCAACATTGTAAAAAGGATACATATTTGAGAAAACTGCAGGCATGATTCACTAATAGAGAAAAAAAAGTCGAATTAAAATCTTTCCTTGTGACAATCACTTTACAAAATTTCATATAAATATAAAACAGATTTTAAGTTGAAACAGCTCCATATCAATGATTGAGACAAATGGATCATTTTAGAGACTTGCCTTTCAGCATCTATTTTTATAGCAACAAAAGAGTCTGCAGTTGCTTCTGCTATTTCTTCTGCCTCCCAACATGCAGCCATCTGTGTCGACAGTTCATCATTCTCTAAAAATAAAATCAACACAACTGAAGATACTATTCCTAAGCAACGCATTACATTACAATATACATGTTTTAGTGAGTCTAAATTTAGATGATACATTTAGATATACATCTAACTTTTACTGTAGACTTATGAAAAAATGTATATTGTAATGTAATTAAAACTGTATTTAATATTGATGCAATCTAGAAGTATAGAACATAAGATACCTCAATATGCACATGTTCTTTAAACTTTATTCATCAACTGTACCATTTCACATATCCAAGTGCAATAATTATTACCGTGTTAAAATATAGCATATGAAAAACACCATAACTTTTTACTTTGGCCAGTCAGGTGACATGCGTGAAAACCCATCACCATCCACAAAAATCCACAAACCAAATTATTGAGAGTTCTGCAATATCTATGGTTTCCATTTATCTGATATCGAGTGCATACTTTCTCCCCGTAGAAACATACCCAATTTACCTAATCCTATAGAATTTAGATACATGTTAGCAGAGGCTTGAGGTCTCAAAGCGTGCATCCTGTGATGCTTTCCTATGAATTTTTTTTATCTATGTCACAAATTATCTTGGGAGGCATCAAGTGTATATTTAAAAAAATTGGTACTTTCTGTTCATTCTCCAACGCCAAATACCCAGAAATGTCATAGTGACCGAGCAAATATAGTAATAGAAAACTTATTTTCTACATGAATGTTAAGTATAAATTCGGTTCTATGCTCATATTTCCCAACTTTTTTTTAGATTTGACCTTTGATTAATGCTTACACTCATCCTCATAAGTTAAATTGACTGTCACTGCTACAAAGCAGTAGCTAAAATAAATCTCTTCATCTTGAAAACAAGTTTCAATCTTCTGTTAAGAGTATTAGAAGCAATTATTTACTCAATAATTACTGCCATAAAAGGCCGGTTCAGGCAGCTCAAGCATTAAGGGCACAGGCTTCGTGAATTACCAGGCCATGAAAATTCAACCGAGCAGGTACAGTAACTTCATACCAACAAAGGACACATTGGAAAAAGTCAATGATCTGGGAGCAATAGTATTTGTTTTCTTCATTCCCTCAAGTTAAATTTCAGATTTCGCTTTACATTCACCTCATTTATATTTTTACTTTAAAAATAAAGTTTTGAAGTACACTCAATCAAATGAAGTGGCATTAAGGAACACATTTAAGGAACCATCACCAACAGATTAACTTTTGAATGTAAACTGTATTGTAGTTTCATCAAATGATTGGATTTCATGAAAGTTGTTTTAAATAAGTTAAGATAGCCATCATTCTGTAGGAAAGAATGGTAACCCTGTATGCGTGTGGGCGGACCAAAAGTTGTGTTCGTTTAAAATGAAAGTTGCACACAACATGGTGGGTTGAAACGCATATTTTATTTGGGGGAATGTTGGCCAGAACACAGGGAGACATTCCCTGCTCTATCATAGTAAACTGCTGGACACGCTTTCTCAATCACCCATAGTACAGTAAGTACTGCAAACCAAAACAAAGTGTTTAGTTGTGTGTAGGGTAGTGAGAAGAAAACGTGTTCCTTTAAATAGTTTAAAGGTAAGAATTGTCCCACAGAAAGAAACAGCACTTGGGTAACTTTTGTGTGGTTTGTTTGGACACACGGTACCCAAAGGGCGTTCAAGCACATCACTGTGGCTCCTGTGCAACTGGACGACATTGCGATGACGAGGAGGAGCCGCAGTTCCCATCTCAATCGTTCAACAAACACAAACAAACACAAAAGTGTTTTTTTTTGCCCCAACCCTCTCCCCTCCCCCCCTCCCCCCCTCCCCAGGTGTGACACCGTGTAAGGGTTAATATCCAGGGGCGGTATCTAACCGTCAGCCTCAGGTGAAAATAATGAATCAATCAATAAATAAATTAAAACAAAAACACCTGCACATATCAAATACAATTTAAATACACAACACTGACTGAGGGTAAAATACACAACACTGACTGAGGGTAAAATACACAACAGTGACTGAGGGTAAAATACACAACACTGACTGAGGGTAAAATACACAACACTGACTGAGGGGAACAGACGCTTCTGCAGTTACTGACTGACATCACTGGTGACACCGCAGAGCTCAGACGGACATGAACCTCCCGACATTTTGAACGAAACCTTCGTTGCCTTTTTTTTAACAATAACAACAACAATAATAATAATTACAATAATAATAACAATAACAATAATAATAATGACGGGCGGGTTGAGGGGCAGCACAGTCCCCGCCTCCCCGGTGGCCGAGCGCAGGTTGACTGTGTGCTGAAGCGGCCGCTGGATGACGAGGCTGCTTTCCGGGAAGGCCTCACCGCCTCCGCCTCCGCCCCACAGCCTCCGTACCTGTTATAAACACTACAAACACCGCGTTGTCGTGTTTGGCGGCGCCGATGGCCGCAGGGATCGATCCTCCGAACCAGCGCATGGTGTCCGGGCCGAGCGGTCACCGCCGCGAGTGTCAGTGAGTCTCAGCCTCAGCTCTGCTCAGCCACCGCGGCCCTGACTCTCTGCGCAGGCGCCGACTTCCACTGACGGGCACTCGGCCTGTCAATCACCCGAGAGGGGCGGGCACTGGGGCTGCCAATCACCCGAGAGGGGCGGGCACTGGGGCTGCCAATCACCCGAGAGGGGCGGGCACTGGAGCTGCCAATCACCCGAGAGGGGCGGGCACTGGAGCTGCCAATCACCCGAGAGGGGCGGGCACTGGGGCTGCCAATCACCCGAGAGGGGCGGGCACTGGGGCTGCCAATCACCCGAGAGGGGCGGGCACTGGGGCTGCCAATCACCCGAGAGGGGCGGGCACTGGGGCTGCCAATCACCCGAGAGGGGCGGGCACTGGAGCTGCCAATCACCCGAGAGGGGTGGGCACTGGAGCTGCCAATCACCCGAGAGGGGCGGGCACTGGAGCTGCCAATCACCCGAGAGGGGCGGGCACTGGAGCTGCCAATCACCCGAGAGGGGCGGGCACTGGGGCTGTCAATCACCCGAGAGGGGCGGGCACTGGAGCTGCCAATCACCCGAGAGGGGCGGGCACTGGAGCTGCCAATCACCCGAGAGGGGCGGGCACTGGAGCTGCCAATCACCCGAGAGGGGCGGGCACTGGGGCTGCCAATCACCCGAGAGGGGCGGGCACTGGGGCTGCCAATCACCCGAGAGGGGCGGGCACTGGGGCTGCCAATCACCCGAGAGGGGCGGGCACTGGGGCTGCCAATCACCCGAGAGGGGCGGGCACTGGAGCTGCCAATCACCCGAGAGGGGTGGGCACTGGAGCTGCCAATCACCCGAGAGGGGCGGGCACTGGAGCTGCCAATTATATACTTTGCATTTGATTTATCTCATCTCATGGTCCAGAGACTCAACAACAGCAAAAGCATTACATTTTTACAGAGCTTTCACATCGAGAAGTCGTCCCGAGGCGCTGGACCGACAGAGTTACGGATCCGAGCTGAGGGGTCGGGGGGAATGGGGGGGGACGCAGGGAGATCAAAAGCACGATCGAAGAGGAGGGTCTTGAACGTGGAGACGGGGTCTTGAACGAGGGGCTGTGAGGGAGGGGGCGAGACCGAGGGGCTGTGAGGGAGGGGGCGAGACCGAGGGGCTGTGGGATGGAGTTTCAGAGGGTGGGTGCAGAGTGGCAGAAGGCCCACCTCCCCGTCACAGAGACAGCCCCCACCCTTCACAGGCTGCTTTGCAGAAAGAGATATGGACAACTTTTGAGCAGCCTCCCCCCGCCTGCTTGTCTCTCAGCCTTGAGATAGGCAGTGTCTGAGGCTGTAACCTTTTCTTTCTGTGGTCCATTGTTCTTACATCAACACTCAAGGACCCGATTGCTCATTATCTCAGAGGAGTGAACATCTTCCCAGGAAAAATGAAATGTAATCAGAAGCTAACCTGAACCCCTCCAGCAACGCTACTTTTAACCATTTAAATATCAAACCTTCTGGAACATTCGGTTGCCTACAAGGGTTACCAACAGAGTTAATCACTAAAACCGGGGACTGGGGCTGACAATCACGGCAGAGAGTAGGAGGCACTGAAACTATCAATCACTCCCACAAACAGCAGCTGTCAATCACACCCAAAGTTGAAATCTCATCACTAACAGCTACTGCCACAATACTGCTGATCAAAACACCACTAACATTACCGCAGATACTGATGATAATCACCCGAGAGCAATATAATACAATATAAAATTACATTTGTACAGCGCCTTTCACATTGGGACGTCCCAAGGCGCTGGACAGTCAGGGATTTGGGAGGGTGGCCGAAGCCTCGATCGAAGAGGAGGGTTTTGAGACGTGCCTTGAAAGAGGCAAGGGAGGGAGCGAGGCAAAGGGAATGTGGGATGGAGTTCCATAGGGTGGGGGCAGAAAGGCTGAAGGTCCAGCCGCCGATGGGAGCGGGCCTGGCAGTGAGGAATTTGTTTGTCAATGCTGCAAAGTGGATGCAGAGTGGCGCCTTCCCACTTCACATTGTTTGATGCTCCTACTGAGAATTAAGTTCTGTTTGCATAAGATAAATATGTAGATCATAGGTCAGCCTATTTTCCAGAGTCAAATGCTACATTAATGCAGAGAAAAGGTTCAGGAAGGATGCACATGGATTGTGAGAAGCAAGTCAGGAAAGTTCTGCAAGTGCTGCCATCATTCTGAGATGATGCATGTACGGTTTTCATTTCTTGATTTGGCCTACCAACTTATGTTTGCTGTCAAACAATCCTTCTAGGCATGTGGGGATTGCTAAAGGCAGCTGAGTGCTTTGCACTTTATTATACATGGCTGATGTTTTGTTGTACATCACGTTCCAAATAATTTCCTTGTATTTGGTATAGCAACTGATCATGCATCAAGATACTTCTGATTCATTCAACAAGTATACTAAACTGGACTAATAGGGAGGAGATTTTGTCCTGCAAACTGGATTTTCTGGCTAACTTCTAATTCTAATCCCTAACATTTAAAATAAATAAGTAGAATCAAATCCTCCAACATTTAAAATGAATGAAAATGAATTTTAAATAAGACAAAAAAAAGTTCTGTGCTTCCCATGATGCGATGAAGCTCTGTTGATTCTCTTGGCTAAATGAATCATTAAGTCTTCTAAATGTCAGGCGAGGAGATGATAATGGGGTTGCATTTAACTGACTGATATAACTTTATTGCTATTCTTTGTGTAGAAAGGCAACAGGCGTGCATGCTGACATCAGTTTTCAGAACAACACCTGCAGGATAACTATTTTAATAGAGTAGCTCACTGCTTGTACCAGTTAACTGGTACAAATATAGGCAGTTAAAGGTTCCTTAAGTGAAGTCTCCATCGAGCTGAACTGGCTCCAAGGTGACATGCCTGGCAATAGAATGTCAGAATCAAAGCAGCCCTCTGAGACGGTCTCTATATCGGTTCCTGTGCCAGGCGGGTCCGCAGTATTCCAGGGCACTGCTGATGTCAGCACAGAGCCAGCCTGACTCATTGGCAGGACCTGGAGGGGCAGACCAGTCATTGGGTGCAGGGAGCCATCCCACTCAGCTCTTGTTAACCCTGCAAGCCAAAGTCCTAATGGATAGAGTGGTCCTAGCTGGACAAGCAATGGGAAAGCTTCCCAGACAGCAATCTCAATGGCAAGCTATGCGGCTTTAGCTGGTTAGTTCCCAAGCCTTGAATCTTGGGACAACCTATCCCTAATAACCGGTTATAATAATAATAATAATCCTTGCATTTTGATATAGCGCTTTTCACGTCAGGAGGACGTCCCAAAGCGCTTCACAGAACACACTGTAAAGTGAATTGACTGTATATTTGTGGGCGAACGCGGCAGCCAATTGCGCACAGCAATGTCCCACAAACAGTCGTAGATTGAAAATGACCAATTTAATTATTGTTTTTGGTTTTTTGGAGGGATTATTATTAGGCTCTGTGTGGAGTAAGGAAACTTGCCCAAGGTTTCGCCCTGACTGGAATTGAACTCAGGTCTCTCACTTGCAAAGCGAGTGCTCTAACCACTGAGCTACAGGACTCCACTGTTGTTAGTCAATTGGCAGATCGCTTTTCCGGGAGTAAAAATTTGGTTGCTTAATCCACAACTGTTTGTGGGACATTGCTGTGCGCAATTGGCTGCCGTGTTTCGCCCACAAAACATAATCAATTCACTTAATTCTGTGAAACACTTTGAGATGTCTAGAAGATGCAATAAAGCATATTATCAAGTGCAAGGATTATTATATCATTGTTATCATTATCATCAGCGTCAAACTGACTTAACATTGGAATCATGTGGACTGTCAGGAGTTTGAAAACGCTAGATGAACTTCTGAATTGCGGGGTTGACTTTTGAATCACAGAATTTTTTATTTTAGACTCAGTCTAATACCAAATTCAGGCTATTGGGGGATAGCCGGTGGTTTACTATGTGTAGTTGAGTATCTATCTAGCTTCATAAATCTGCTCCAAAATCATTTTTTGTACTTAATTCTGCAAGACCCAAATAAAGTACAAAGACAAAGTATTTGTAAACATTTATTTTTCTTGAACTGAAAAACTGAAAAAAGAAAAAAAAAAACTTGCATCAGCACACATTGTACAGCCTGGCGGTATTCACACACAAATGGAAAAAAAACAATAGGTTTGGATGTTAATATGTGCAATAATTCTGTCGCATCCAGTGATCCTCAATATTAGATGAACTTAAAACACTTAGAAACTTTATAACAAATGTCCAGCATTTAAAAAAAACACCACAAAGAAAAGGAACCTTGCAATCTGGGATTCAAAACAAATACAGGAATGTTCACACAGTTGATAAATTAAAGAACCATTTCAGTGAGTATGAATGTAAACTAAAATAGATTGGGGAAATTGTTTCAGATTCATCTAAGTTGGCAAATTGTTAAGTCTTTAGGTTGTATATGGAGGCATTGTATTCACATATTTTACTTTGTACATCAGGAGTAACTCAAGGTAGATAATGAAATAATTCCCACAACCTATTTCAGATCATTCCAATTTACTTTGTTTTCCTAACAGGGTCATATTTTGCTGGCTGTGCTGGGGTAAACCTGTGAAAATTAGTCATTATTGGCTATTATTGACATGAAACGGTTGCTGTACAATGAAGTTTTGGATTGGATTCAAGATTCACAAATATAAAACAAAAGGCTATAAAATTTGTGTTTTGGTTCAGCATTCTCTATACAAAGAAGCTGTTCTGTGATATGTTCAGATTCTTTGTTTGGACAACTGTGGAAACAAACTGGAAAACTCGTAGCCACTTTTTTTGCTGGATCACTGGTTTTCCTCAATTGCTCGATCATAAAACACGACAATCCAGGGGTCTGTATAAGTCAACAGAAACCCATTATACAAGCCCAATCGAGGAGAGAAAAAAAGATAAGTGGAAGAGACTGCAAGTCCAGTGCAGTATACACTACTGAGAACTAGCCCTTTCCATAATGTGAAAATCGTAGTGCTTCTTGCTTGTTCTCAGTTTGAATTTATTTATGGAGTTATTTTGTTTCATCAATGCATTCTGAGCAGCCAGTTTTGAAGGAAACATCGCTATGATTGTGTACATGGATGCCAAGTCACTGGAAGGTTTCAAGTGTTCTGTGTTTGCATTACTGTCGCCACCACCACAATGTGGAGGAGTGTCCCGCAGCCACCGGATCTTGGCATCAGCTTTAAAAAGTTCACTTAAAAGCTTATCAGCTTCTATACGACTAATGCCCTCTGGCAGATCAGTCACCTCCAGGACTCTGCCAACAACTGGAAACAAAGATAAAAGAAAATTGACTTTATGCAAACAAAAAAATTTAATAAAATACAACTGTTTTGGATTGTACCTGTCAAAATCATACTCTCCAGAATTAAGTAAGCCAGATGTGTCCCTCCAGGGAGAGAGTGCACACTCCATTCCAATAAGTTCTTGGGAATTTCCATGTATAGGTGGGATGCATTGAACTCTGTTTGATTACTCTTAAGCAGAGTGATGGGTTTCCAGATGCATCAGACACCCAGTTGACCAAAACATTTACTCTCAAAATCTTAATTTCTGGGCACTGGATGATATAACAAGTTATAAATAACTGTAATATGGACAGATATTCACGACTTCAATCTTGTGTTGTTGGAAGTACTCAAAGATTTGGAAAACTGTTACAAGAGTCAAGAAACATTTTTCTAACCTTTTAATGTGTGTTCCAGCCCAGTAACTTCTGTTCACAAAATGAAAGTCAACTATATTTAAAAAATTATATATAACAAACAAATTTTCTTGTATCCTTTGACACTAAAGATAGAGTGTATACATGTTTGAAACAATGCTCGTCCAACCAATGTGACAAGGCCCATTTTACATTCTACATTTTAGCTGAAAAAGCCTGAGTTTAAAGTTAATTTTCAGTCAGTGAAAGTGAGGAAGGAAAAAGTAAAATGAAAGATTTAAGTGTTTATTTTAGTTTATAAAATGATTCATTATATTTCAATAACTTCAATAGTACAATATTAACATGGAATAAGGCCAGTGAGACAGAATCAATTGAGATGCTTAAAGGGAGATTACATGGCTACTTAGGATGTAACAACATTAAAGGGAAGGGGAAATGCCGGGAAATTGAATGAAGTAATAAGGCTCGATGGGCTGAATGGTCTCCTCCTCCTCTTAAGGTCCTCGTGTTTAGTGTTTACAGGGTAACAACGCTCACAGAATCAGATTGCTGAGGAAAATAGGAATGGATCAGATTGGTTCATTGTTATTTTGATCTTTCCACCTTACACATTCAATGGCATACCTGGCTCCCCTCCACCAAGATCTGTTGATGATGCTTTCCTCGTTGGCCTTTTACCCCTTCCTCCATGCCGACTCACGTTGTGACCCTAAACAATTTAAAGCACAATACTAAATGAATGTAATAACATTAGATAAATGTAACATAATAAAAAAGTGTATTTTCAAATATAACAAGTTCTTACTTAAGCAAATCCTGGAAGTAATGGATAATTAAAAAGTCACAGAGATAGTTATATGCCATTTTATTTGGACCTTCTGATCTGGTCACAATTTCCTATCCTACCTGCTGTGTTGAGACAACATGTGGCCCATGGAGAGCTGTGGGACGGATTGTAGAGTTATACTGCAGTGGCTGGCCAAGCAAAGGGTAGCGTACATCTCCTTTAAAAGAAAGTATATTTTTCAAAGTTAAGAGTTATTTATTAATTAATTAACTGAATCAAAAATTGTGCCTCAGTGAACAAACAGAATTCAAAGCTTTGATTTTCTTGCTCCTCCAATCCTATTCCGCCACCCCAAAACAAAAATACAACTCTTCAACTTTATTAAGAAGATTTAAGAAATAATCCTTGCATTTGATATAGTGCCTTATAACATCAAAACATTTCAAAGTACTCCAGAGTTGCCCACCTCTGTCTGTACCTCACAACCAAAGCAGCCGAAACCTTCTTCCACACCTTTAATACTTCCCAGCTGGACTATTCCAATGTCCTCCTCACTGGTCTCCCCATTTCCACCATACACAAATTCAACACTCCACCGATGGAGATCATCCTCACAAAACTCTGTACTGCCATCACACCAGTCCTTGCTAGGCTCGGCCTTCTCCCAATTACCGAACAGACCAATTTCAAAACCCTCTCACTCGTTTTCAAATGCCTTCATGCCCTTGCACCTCCCTACCTATCCGATTTGCTTACACTCCACTGAAAGATTGTTGGCCAGGATGCTGGTAAATACAACCACAATGAGAGATCAAAGGTGCGGTCAAAGAGGTCTTAAGCACCTTGAAGGAGGGAGTGAAGGGACTACAGGATGGATTTGCAAGAGTGTGGGCAGAAAGGCTGAAAGCTCGACTGCTGATGGTGGGCGGTCAGGGCAGGGGACTTTGTCCCTATGTTTTATTGTTTATCATGACATTAAACAGGCTATCAGAAGCGTATTGATGTGGTATACTACCCATCTTAGGTTTAGTCTCCCTCATTCTTTTAAAAATATCTAAACTGGTTGTATTTGCATGTGGAAGATATTGTTGACATCCAATGGGGATAATAAACTAAGTACATAGTCCCTTCGAGATTATACATGTATGCAAAATAGTTCCAGGTCAGAAAGATAAAGAAAAACTACACCAATAGTATGTGAGCTTTCTCTGATTCTAATTTTGATATGTTTCAACATTCTTCCAAAAATAAATAATCCTTACATTTGATGTAGCGCCTTATCACGTCTTCGAGATGTCTCAAAGCAACTCACAGAATATACTGTAAAGTGAATTGACTGTATATTTTGTGGGCGAAATGCGGCAGCCAAATGCGAATAGCAGTGTCCTACAAACAGTCGAGGCTTTAGTGAACAAATTATTTATTTTATTATTTTTTGAAGGAGTTAACTTATTATTAATATTGTATGCAAGGCTGTATATTTCACAGCACTATGTGTAATCAGTCTTCAATGCATTTGAACAAGTTAACCTACTTGAACTCTACAGGCCGAGGGAGAAGTCACCTGAGAACTAAATCCCCATCAAGAAAGAAAAATCCTGAAATGCTGCACTTGATTTGCAATAGAAACAGTGAAAATCACCTGTCCAGACAGGGGATTGTTTGTTTTAAAAAGCGACATCGTCCCTAAATGATTTCCCGAGATGACAATTATCCTATCTGTATAATAAAGATGAATTAATGAAGAATTGAGAATTTTATTCTTTTTTCTTAATGAAAGCAGATTAATATAAATTTACTTCATTCTATTATTTTTCTCTGTGAAGTACATTGAATGATTTTACACAGGAAAATTGAAAGCTGTTCAACTAAACTTTGAGATAATTTTATGAAAGCCATACCTTGCCCAGGAACCATAGGTCTAGTAAATTGTGCCATTATTGGGAGCGGTGCTAATCCAGAGCGCACATTCTTTACTGTTGTCATTGGTAGTGGTGCTGGAGACTGGGCTGGTGATGTGGCAGCACTTCCCAGCTGTGGACTGCTCTGTTTAAACAAAGAATTAATATCAACTCGATTCAAGACAAGTTATTCTACACTTCTACAGTCGTCTTATTTCAAACTCAGATCTCTAATAGCTAAAGAATAACTTTAGAATAACTCTAATAACTATCTTAATACCATAGAATAATAAGTCAGGAAATTCTTGTCTGGGAGTCAGAATCAACCACAGCAACTTACCTTTATTTATATCCTCAAACATGAACAATGACAATTTAAATTTAGTGATGTTGGGAGGCTGTCTCAAAGTACTGCACATAGCTAACTGGGAGGGTGAGCCAGCTGGAGGGGGGGGGGGGGGGGGTTGGAAGGTGTCTTATAGTTCAAAGTAGAAAAAAAAATCTCCCCCGCAATCCCTCTCTGCTGCCCTGGAGCCCTGCCCTCCTCTCACTCTGGCCTATCTCCCGCTCTGACTTATCCTCCTGGCTCACTCTCCTCCACAACTCCCTCTCCACCACTGTTGATGCCCTTGCCCCTCTCACCTCCCAAACCGCCTCCTACTCATGAACTTCACCCTGGTACACCAGCCGTCAAACGCATCTGGCTCAAGTCTGACCTAACGGTCCACTGCAGATCTGGCTGGACCACATCAAAACGTACCGCTCTACCCTTGCTTCCGCCAAATCATCCTTCTACTTCAAGATAATCGATAATCTTGGAGGCGAAGGACAACCCCGAGCTCCTATTCTTCATCACCAACCGGCTCCTCCATCCACCCTCCCACGCCTCATCCATTCTCTCTTCAAGTTCTGACTGTGAGGAGATGCTGGATTTCTTCGAGTCCAAAATCAAGGGGATCCACTTAGCTGCCTCCATCCTCCCAACCGCCACCCCCTCCCCATTTCCTCCCAAACTCCGACCCCTACCCATCCCTCCCTCCACATTTTCAAACCTGCCTCCTCCTCCTCTCACATCGCCACCATATGCAGCAAGAAACACACCACCTGCTCCCTTGACCCCATCCCCACCCCTCTCCTTACCTCCCAACTTCATCTCCTCGCCCCTCTACTCTGACACCATCAATCTCTCCCTTTCATCTGGCACCATTCCCCTAAAAACAGCTACAATCATCCCATCCTGAAAAAATCTTCCCTGGACGCATCCCTACCTTCTAACTACCGGCCCAACCTCCTTTTTCTTTCGAAGGTCCTTAAAAGAATTGTTGCTTCCCAGCTTTACTCATTCCTCTCCTACCATTCCTTTCACAAGCACCTCCAATCAGGTTTCCGTGCTGCTCACAGCACAGAAACTGCTCTGGTCAAGGTGACAAACGACATTTTGTCCATCTGTGATCAGGGCTCCCTCTGCCTCTTCGTCCTCCTCAACCTCGCTGCTGCCTTCGATACCGTGGACTACTCCATCCTCCTCCACCACCTTTCCTCTCATTTCAACCTTCAAGATTCTGTCCTTGAATGGTTCAGGTCTTATCTCTCATGCCATTTCCAATTTGTCTCTGCCAACAGTTTCTCTTCCAGCCGCCGCACAGTCTTGTGTAGTGTTCCTCAGGGCTGTCCTCAGTCCCCTCCTCTTCAACCTCTACATGCTCCCTCTTTAGTGACATCATCCACAGACATGTGGTCAACTTCCACATGTACGAGGATGACACCCAACTCTAGCTCTCCGTCTCCTCCCTTGATTCCAGGATGACTGACTTGCTGATATAACAGGGATGGGCAATTGGCTGGCGGGCTACTTCACGAGTTTTGGTAAGCTTTGCGGGCCACACACATATAGATGCAAATGCTTAATATTAGCTCAAAATCACTTGTACACGCATAAAATAAAGTCTATATAATTGACATTCATTAAAATTAGGTTAAATAAAAACAATTCATTGAGCAGACATTTATTCGATATTTATTCATACTGATGAGAATGTGAGAGGCTCATTCAATGGGACAAATGAAAGAGCTGATGTGCATTAACCAGACAATTGAAGTTAGGCAGCATCTCCCTTCTTGCAATGCGGAGTACCACTGCAAGGTAGTCAGTCGTCACAGATCTATGTTTTGATTTATTGAATTTCATCACAGAAAATGTCTCCTCGCATATGTATGTTGATCCAAACAGCACAAGCATCCTCTGAGCATGAGCCTTTATTTTTGGAAAGATATATTCATTAAGAGAGGTGTAAAAACTGGGAAGCGGCACTGATTTGAATTGCTCTGCAAGCAATGGATCACATTGCAGGTCAATAAGCTCGAGTTGGAGGTCAAATGGGGCTTTGTTAACATCAAATGAGAAAGGTGAAGAGACCAAAGACAGGTCATTTTCGATCAAATTTAAATCCTGGAATCAGCGAGAAAATTCAGCATGTAAGGCAAGTACACTTTTTATGGCTTTGATTGGAAACAGTAATCTGCTGCAAAGTTGGAAAGTGGGTGAACAGCCTGTTTCCTATCTGATGCGATAAAATAAATAATTTTGTCATAAATGACTTGACACTCCAATACAAATCGTGCACAAAGGCGCCCTTCCGTTGCAGTTTTGAATTCAGTTCATTCATGTGGCCCATGATATCAACAGCAAATACGAAATCAGAGAGCCAATTTGCATCATTCAGTGTGGGAAATCCAAATCTTTTTGTTTCATGTCCAAAAATCAATCAATCTCTGTTCTCAGTTCCCACACTCTTTTCAAGACCTTTCCTAAACTAAGCCATCTTACATCCGTGTGATACAGAACATCTGTGCACTCGGATTCCAATTCTTGTTACAAATTGCCTGTGGTTTAATCCTCTTGCTTGAATGTAGTTGACCACTTTCGTAATTGTGTCCACAACATTTTAGAACACTCTTACAGAGGACCTCTTGGTGAATAATGCAGTGTAAAAAAATAATATGCCGTTCTGGATTTGTTTCTTTGACTTGATCTTGAATTCTTTTCAGTAACCCAACATTTTTGTCTGTCAAATTTGGGCTTCCATCGGTAGTCACATTCACCAATTTTTTCCCCTCCATTCCTGATTTTAAGATACACTTACTGCCTCCAAAAAGTCTTCTCTAGTTGTCGTATCTTTCATTGACTGGTTTGATGCTAATTCTTCTGTGAGCTCAAAATGTTTGGTGATACCTCGAACAACTGGCCTGTGTCTTTGACATCACAACTCTCATCAAGTGCCAGTGAAAAACATGCAAAATTGCTTACTTTATTTTGTAACTGCATACTGTTTTTATTTTCTTTATTTTTTAAATTTATTTTTATTTTATTTGTTTTATTTTCCACCCACACTGGTAAAAAAAATACTTAGAATTTCATTCTTTGTTGAATATTCAGCCTTCAGCGTCCACTTTCCGCTTCTTCGATAACTCATTTTGAATTAATGTCCTCTTCAGTGAAAAGTATTGCCGCGATGCCGGCGTACGTGTTTGAAAATTTGCCGATCTGTACATTTCTGATGTCAGCCTGATTCAACACTTAAGGGAGTGTGCGCACAACTAAGGCAGTGTGATTGGCTGATGTTCCCTGTCAGATTAAAACGCAAAATTTGTGCAACTTTCTGGGACTGAATGAACTATAATTTTTTCTATTGCTAGACAATGACGGGCCAGATAGAATCATTTGGCGGGCCAGATATGGCTCACAGACCGTCTTTTGCCCACCCCTGTGATAGACTGCTCTCTGTCTGACATCAAGACCTGGATGAGAGCCAACTTTCTACACCTGAATGTCAGCAAGACTGAAGCCCTCCTGATGGGCTCGTACCAGTGCCTCAGCACCTCAGGCACTGGCAGCATCAGCATCCACGGTTGCACACGCCACTTCACCAAGCCAGTTAGGAACCTGGGCGTCTTGTTCGACCCTCAACTGTCCTTTCTCCCCCATATCTGTGCCATGACCCGCTCTGCCTTTCCCCACCTCCACAACATTGCCCAACTCTGCCACTGCATCAACCCTCATGTGACCGAAACCCTCATACACGCATTCATCACTTCAACGCTCGACTACACGGCCTTGCAACCTCCTACTATCTCTGACCTGCTGACCCTCATCAACCTGTCCGCTCCTTCCATTCATCAGGCTCTGGCATGCTCCAGGTCTTCCGCTCAACCTGCCCTACCATCGGGGGCCGGGCTTTCAGCCTCTTTGCCCCCATTCTTTGGAACTCCATCCCACGATCCGTTCGCCTTGTTCCCTTTCTTGCCTCATTCAAGGCACGACTCAATACCTTCCTTTTTGACCGTGCCTTCAGCCACCCCCTACCCCCTTTGCATTCCCTCATCCCAACCCTGCCCACCCCTCCCACGCTCGGGTCCCGATACCTGACTGTTCCTCCTGACGTGAAATGCGCTTTACAAATGCAATTCTGTTATTGTTGTAGGATCTTAAGCCAGGTTTTTGAAAGCAGGAAGGGACGGGTGAAGGTGCAGGGATGGAGTTCTAGAAAGGAGAGGTAAAAAAACTGGAAGCTCGTCCACCATGGTGGGACAGAGCAGGCCGCCAAGACCCTCATCAATGCATTCATCACATCCAGGCTTGATTATGGTAACTCCCTGCTTGACAGTCTTCCCAACTCTTCCCTCCACAAGTTGCAAATTATTCAGAACTCTACAGCTCATGTCGTTTCCTGAACCAAGCTCCGTGAGCCTATCACCCCACGCTCGCCCAGCTCTACTGGCTCCCCATTCTCTAGAGTTCAAAAATTCTTATTCTCACTTTCAAAGCCCTCCATGGCCTTGCTCCTCCCGATCTCCGTGACCTGCTAAATCCATACTGATCTGTCCGCACCCTCCGCTCAGTGTACTTTGTCCTGTCCATGTCCCACCCCGGCCCGCCCCACCATCGGCAGTCGGGCCTTCAACCTTTCTACCCCCACCCATTGGTACTCTATCCCACATTCCCTTCATCTCATCTCCTACCTTGCCTCCTTCAAGATTCACCCCAAGACCCTCCTCTTTGACTGCACCTTTGATCACCCTCCTATCCCCACCCTCCCTGCCCTCCATCCTTCCTGATCCCAACCCCCATCTTGGGAGCAAATCCTTCATTGTCCAGTGCCTTGGGACATCCTCCTGAAGTAAAAGGTACTATACAAATGTAATTTGTTGTTGATATAAGTATAATCCTTGCAATCTTTTCTTTTAAAGTGAATAAATTGTTGAAAACAAATTTAAGCTATTCAAAAATTGGCTATACAGATATAAACCATAAGTTTTCCAATTCTACCTTACACAATAGAATACAACAAAAGTTATAAGATATCTCTTAACAATATTTACCAATTTAAAAGAAACCTTTTTGCATACCTGCGTGTTATTCTCTGGGTTACCAAGATCACTGGATTTCTGCAGCCTCTGGTCCATGGTGAAATATTTATTTTGTTTCCATTGAGGTGGAGAATGAGCCCGTGAATGAGGATTGTTGGGTATGCTAAGCTGCATCATAATCATTCCACTGCCATGGGGTGCTACAGCTAAAACAGAAAAAAGATACGGAACATACAGTATATTGAAGTTTCAATACATAATAATACTTGCATTTGATAATTGTACCTTATCACGTCTTCTAGATGTCTCGAAGTGCTTCACAGAATATACACTATAAAGTGAATTGACTATATTTTGTGGGTGAAATGCGGCAGCCAAATGCACACAGAAGTGTCCCACAAACAGTTGTGGAATGAACAACCAAATTATAATACAATAATCATAAAAAAAAGGCACTGAATTGTTGAAGAACAGAGCATGTCATGTTATGATGAAAGACCCGCAGAACTGAAAACAAATGATCCAATTTCTTAAAATTATAACAGATGTAAACATCTTAAAATGATGCTTACATTTGTTTCTGAAAATGATAACCTGATTTCAAAAGGGAACACATAAGTTTAAAATTCAACAACAAATTGAATACAATTTAAATTACATTGGATGCTTCTTAGGAAAAGAAAAAAACCTCATAATTTACTTACCTGGACATTGATGGCTTTGTAGCTGATGGGAGTTGCATGGGGAAGATGGTCTCGGGAATTGCATCTGGTCTGATCCTGGAGGCTGCAGGAAACCTACTGATGAACTTTAGAAAGATACAGATACTTAGAATGTGAAATTAACTGGGAAAACTCAGTACTGTTATCAAATCAAAACAAACAGGGGTAAAAATTCTGACATTCTGTTGCCCAGCAACAGCTCCAAGGGCATCTGCCTTACAAATGATAATATTTAAAAAATTAATATTCAACACTCAGTCGAGAGTCTATTGGACTACTAAAGAATGAATTGCACTGAGTTCTTTTGAGTAACGCAAATGGGCAAGCACATATAAATTTACCGTCCTTGTCTGAATCGCTCTACTGCTGGAAGCTATGACAAACATTAGCAGTATAAAAGTTGCATAGAGTTAATAGATGGTTATTACAAAAGAATATACACTATTGCAATACACAAACCTCAAACGTAAAAACAACCCATTTGAGGTTATAAGTTCACAGTAAAGAGAAGTGAAATGTTACGGATTTTCTGAAGTTAACAATAATATGCAGTTTTAACCGGTTAGACTCCAGCAGTACTCCAACACACACTTCACAAGCCTTGGTTCTTGCCAACCTGCGCCTAATACCTTCCGGAATTAGGTAAGCAGGATACATCTCTCCAAGGAGAGAGTGCACATTCCATTCCAACAATCTATCTCTGAAATTTCCATGGGTAGGTGGGATGCATGTAATTCTCAGTTTGGTTTGGATACGCTTAAGCATGGTGAAGGGTTTCTGCATGTGTCAAACACCCGGTTGACCAAAAAAAGTTAACAGTTTTTCTTTTAACAAAAATAAAGATGAGCTGTCTCAAGAACTAAATTTGTAGAAAATTCTGTAATTTCTGTATTAAATACAGAATTTTAAAGGGCTGCAAAAAAGTAGTTGTAAAAATATTAAATTCTGCTAAAAACACTGACCTCATATTCTGTTGAGCAGGTGAGATAACACTATAATAGACTGGCATTCCACCAGCAGGTAAAGCCCCTTGATTTGACTGACTGGGGATTAAAATTGGTTGTTGATAGGACTGCTGACTCATTCCCTGGGAGCCTTGAGTCATTGACACCTGAAATTTAAACAGGTAAAATAGTAATGCATATGTTCCAATGCTTGCATATGTAGATCCAAAAAACTAACATATTATGGATGAAATATAAAAATAGATTTTCTAACTATGAGTAAAACATTTTTTTTAACTATTCAAACATACACAAAAACTTTCTTCCCTGCACCTGTCCCCTAGCCCACCCAGGAGGTAGCTAAGGAAATATATCAAAAGGTGACGTTCATACCTGGTAAGACTGTATTGAAGGATACTGAACCATCATGCCTTGCATCTGATTCCCCATATTGCTAAGTTGGCCACTCACTATGTTTTGATTAGGCGGTTGCTGAACACCTATTAAACTCTGATAGTTTTGCTGACTCGACATCACAGTTTGAAAACCTGCAACAAAATAAGTTCAAATTTAGTTTCATGTTAAACTCATGAGAATACACATACATTACATTATGCAGACCAGTAAGACAATTCTAGGAATGAGCACATACACAATGCATATATTAGATAGGTACTTCAAAAGGAAAAATTTGCAGGGTTATGGAAAAAGAGCGGGGATGTGGGATTGATTGGGTGGTTCTTCCAAAGAGCCGGCGCAGGCGCGGTGAGCCAAATGGCTTCCTTCTGCCCTGTAATATTATATGATTCTATGATAACTGGGAAGCGGGAGGGCAGTGAGGGGTGTTTTTCAGGCTGTGTACATTTATGTTCTATTGCCCCCCAAAATTGATTGGATTTTTCATCTCGGAACTGTGAAATTACTTTTTTTGTTAAATTAAGGTTTTGTTGGTATCTACCGTGATGTATTTTTTGATTTTGCAAAACAAATCCATATTTTCATCCAGGTTTTTTTTAAATGATCAATTTCCCTCTCCTCCCCCACCTCAATTTCCCATGAGGTTTCCAATGACATTCTTCACTGAGATTTCTGCAACAATTACATTGTATAGAAGGCTATATAAAAAAAATCTCTGCGATTATCTTGTGCATCTTCATAGAATAATAATGATCCTTGCATGTGATATAGTGCCTTTTCGTGTCATTGAGAAGTCTCAAAGCACTTCACAGGATATGTTGTCAAGTGTTTTTCATTATGTAGAAATAAATGCAATTCCCAAATTATGTCTATTTAACTGTTAACTGTTACCAGAATTAAGAACCAAGTTCAGATTGCTGTTCTGGCAATTCATTTAGAAAGGTAATAATTTTAAACAAATAACTTTTCCCACTGAATCTTGAAGATGTTTAAATACGTTATAGAGAATTTAATGATATAATGCAACTTTCATCCTAAAAATGACACTTCTCAGTTTCAAGGACAAATGCAGAATTTTTTGCAGCAATTTCAAGGACAAATGCAGCATACAGAATTCTATTTATTGACCGTGTTATTTCAGAACGAGTGTTGCACAACCTCCTTGACAAAGATCACAAATCTCGAAATAGTCAAGGTTACAAATCGACAGACTGCTCTTTAGTCATACACTGCAATTTTCAAACGGAATTTTTACTATTTAAGTTATATTTTAATTAATATTTTAATAATTTTACTTAAATTAATATTTTATAGTGATGTATTTTGATAACATATAACTCCAATTGGTAAATCTTTACATGTAAAAATATCATGTTATACTTGTATTGCAAAATAATTCACTGGTATCAAATGCAATTTTCTTCTATTATACTCAGTTAAAATACATTTTATTTTTTTAACCATCCAATAAAAATCTAAAGGAAGAGGCTTGAAATAAATAAAAGTTTTCTGTTTCAATAGCAAAACCTCCCATTTTGCTTGTTAAAGTAAATGAAAATTGCTCTATTTTTCACAAAACAGTATGTAACTAAATTATGATGAACAATATTGACATTAATCTTATATTATTGAAACTGACAGGATACTCCACATGCATATTTCTCACTTATTTCATCACTACAAAGGAAATTACAATCAATTTCTCCACAAGAACTAGGGCAAAATAAATTGATAGCTTCAATCCTTTCCCACAGGTCATAAGCATTCTATTTTTAGAGTATTTAGCCAACTTAACGTGCAGAAAAAAAAACATCAATGTTTAGCAGATACAACCATTTCATCATTCTCCCACCATCCATTTCAAGGAAAAAACACCTGATCAATGCATAAGGATTATGAAAAACAATAAACCAGAAATATTGTTAAAAATAAAAGATTCAATGGAATATCACTAATTACAATACCTGATAGGTATGTAAGTAACATGTCAGATATTACCACCTAGGCTTGATACATTTACTTCATTAAAAAAAATGAAATTGGAAGAGGTTCAGTCAAGTCCTAATTGATAGCATAAACAATCCATCTAGGAATTTTCCCCCGGTAGCTTATGAAACAGCTGAAAAAGAGACCGGTTCACTGTGAGAAATGTAGTACTCTCAGTCAGTGCTCCGGCCCCGCATTCAACAGCTCACAGAAATGTTGATTTTAATTGAAATTCAGAATTCAAATTGACAGATGGATGAGAATTCACAGCAAAGAAATCACTAGCCAGCTTGCTCTTATATTTTGCACAAGAAGCTCTCAGAAAACACATTTTGTCACGAGTCTAAGCTACCTTTATAAACAAGTTGCTTTTTTTAAAAAAGCGTGAACATTTGTCTGAAGATGTTTATCACTGTATCTTGCTGATCTCTAAGTGCATTTGCATCCATTTAAAAAAAAATCCTGACATTATTAATTAGGAAAAAGTTTTTTTTTGAATACGGTAAAGTATTCACATTAGAAAGCACAAGCAGAAACCAACCTGTTTGTGGGGTAGGCTGTGCCAGTGGCTGGTTTTGCTGAGTGTTGTAAGAGAGAGGAGCAACAGGCCGATATTGGTGATTGGCATGGGGATACTGACCTGGAGCACAGTAACAACCAGACAGCTGAAAAAGAAAAAGGTTTTATTTAAAAGGTGTTACCTATTAATAATCTTTAGATAGCAAAGCTTTTGACAAAATATGAAGAATTAATTTCCAAATATACAATAAATTACACTTGCCTAATAAAAAATTCTTTGTTTTTCATATAGCACCTTACCACGTCTTCAAGTCGTCTCAAAGTGCTTCACAGAATATACTGTAAACTGAATTGACTGCATATTTTGTGGGTGAACCGCAGCAGCCAACTGTGCACTGTAGCGTCCCACAAACAGTCATGGATTGAAGTGACCAATTTATTATTTTTTTGAAGAAATTATTAGCCCCGAAAAAGCGATCCGCCGATCGACTAACAACCGGGTTCCTACTTACTGCTAAGTAAACAGAGGTGTTTAGAGTAAAGAAACTTGCCCAACATTTTGCCCTGCTGAGAATGGAACCCAGGTCTCTAGCTTGCGAGGTGAGTGCTCTAACCACTGAGCTACAGGACTCCACATGTCGGAAAGAAGTCCAAGGGTGCTGGACAGTCAGGAGTTTTTGGACCCGAGCTGGAAGTTGGGGTCAGGAGCGATGAAGGGCAGGAGGGTAACCAAATACGTGGTCAATATGTCACGCCCTTTATAGCCTCCATAAAATTGCACAATTATGTAATTATGCCAGTGGGCATATTGTTGAAAATCACCAATACATAAACTTACCACTGCAGTACATTAACTAGCTGTTCTTGAATAAGCTTATTTTCAACAAAAACAAATTTACCTTGGCACCCATCTATTTGGTTCATCTTATTTACCTTTCTGCAAGCTCCAAGTTAACATTTTGTCTGGATAGTTTTTCTATTTTTAAAATTAATACAAGGCAACCCCTTTATAATGTTGTCACAGTCATCTGGCTCCAATGTCTTAGGTCCTGTTATAAAGATGCATGATTGCATGGCTAACTTCCAAGGCATCAGGTTGCTATTAATGTCACTGGATGTGCATCGTGCATGCACAAGATGCACCACTAATGTCATTTCCTTCTGTGCTGAAACTTCTCCAATTGTATGTCAAGACTATCAAGACTATCAAGACTACAGTAGTCTATCAAGACTACTGTGAATTATGTACTTGAACATCTGCATAAAAGGGCAGAGTTCTATACCAAATGCAAGGATTATTATTTAAACAGAGTCCCAGGTATAAGTTATCTATCTGGTCTGCTAGTCAGCAAATTGAAGACAAGGACCTAAAGAGTCCAGAGGAATGTTAGAATTAGATAGCAACATACTTTAAAAAAATACATCCACTGTACTTTGAGAATACAATTACTTTGTTGTAATTTTCCTTACCTGCTGCAAAGGCTGCTGCACATAGCTCTGTGCCTGAAGTACTTGCTGATTAACAGGTGGGCCAGAGGCAGAATAGTTCGAAGCAGGAAGATGCTGTCCTGGAGATGCCATGATAAATCCAGGCTGCTGTGGAGGTTGAAGCACTACAGATGATGGAAACATGGCAGTATGGTGATCGGGAGCTTCAGTAGATAGCTGCCGTCCGAGGCCCATTTGGCTAAACTGGGCCCCCAGGCTGTCTTGCTGCATGGGAAATATAAATTTGCATTTAAAAAAATTAGTCTATAATATTCTCTCTTCAATTGGTCATTTTCTCTGCAAGCAATTAAAAAAGTATAAAAAAGTATGAATTGGCTCCATATTTTACTTACAATTACTAAATGGTATCAAGTTAAACCCAAACAGTACATCTTAATTAATAAATAGGTTCTGCCAAAAGACCCCAGTTGAAAGCTATTTTGTGTATAAATGTATTTAAGTACAATCACCTTTTATATAATTTATTTTTAAAAGTTTATCTAATGGTTTGCAACTATAATGATCACAGCCCCAATAGATGCTTAGTAATAAAGTAATCCATTCTCCAACAACCAATCAAGTGCTTTGGGATGCTCCCTTAGTGTGAGGTGGGCTATATAAATCCAAGCTGTTGCGAAAAATTTTCTTCTTGCCTCTCTTTTAACTATTCTAGCAACAATCCTTTTTTTGAGAGGAAACTTAAAAGAACTCAATTAAATCCCATCTTGACCTTATTGCAGTAAAAACAATTTTTCAAGTCAATTTTCATAACTATAATAATCCTTGCATTTGACATAGCGCCTTATCATGTCCTCGAGAAGTCTCAAAGCACTTCACAGAATATACTAAAGTGAAGTGATTGTATATTTTGTGAGCGAAACATGGCAGCCAATAACTTCTCTTTCAGGCATCACTCAGTTGAACATATTCTGTACCCTGTCTGAGACTGCTATCCTTTCTGTAATAGTGCACACAAAAAATTACAGTACTACACATGTAGGTAACCAGACTTAAAAATTTGACAATTTTCTTGATTTGATAAAGTTTCTCTCACCTCAAGGCTGTTTAATCCAGTATGATGGCACAACACCATAATGACACGAGATGGCCTCCATAGGGCACCAGTTTCAAGTAACATTGAGAATGTAGCAACTAGACGTTCAAATGTGCCATCAAGAAATATGCCATTTTTAACTGCAGATTTTTAAAAATCTTTAATGTGTGATTCATTGACTAAAAGCAGATCTTTTCGGTAATACTTAGAATTCAAAATGGATGAGAGCTTTTCTTTTTCAAAGCAGCACAGATTAAGATGAGCTAATTTTTAGAAAAGTTTAACAAAAAAAGTGTTCCGCTTAAATCAACTACTGCCAACAGAAAGACGCACAAAGCAAAATATACAAATAACAAGCAGACGTGAAAAGAAACACTTATTCACAAATTATAGAACTACAGAAAGATGAGAAAAGATTTAGTGTCAGTACCACAGTATATTGCTGGGAGGGTGAGACTGGCAGGAGTTGAGGAGGGCAAGATATCGCAGAGTACTGGATAGGCTGTGAAGAAGGCTGCAGAGCCCGAATTGGCTGAAGAAGCAACAGTTTGCATATGGTTAATTTAACAGACATTAAGCTCATAAAACCCAAGCCAACTTGCAGTAGAATAAGCATCAACATTCAATTTTTAATTTTGTACATTGTAAAAATAATTTGGTACATTAATCATAGTTGCTGCAAATGTCTCTATGATAAATTAATCAATTAAAATTATTCCTTTCAGTATATAATAATAAATAATAATCCTTGCATTTGATATAGCGCCTTATCACTTCTTCGAGACGTCTCAAAGCGCATCACAGAATATGAAGTGAATATGTAAAGTGAATTGACTGTATATTTTGTGGGTGAAACGCGGCACCCAATTGTGCACAGCAGTTTTCCACAAACAGTCGTGGATTGAGTGACCAAACTCTTTTTTATTTAATTTTTTTGAAGGGATTATTACTCCTGGAAAAGCAATCCGCTAATCAATGAACAACCGAGTTACTACTTACCGCGTTCTTATATGGGTCATGAAGTTCATTAAACGACATTCCAGTAATTAACTATTACTATACTGGAAGTAGCAGCTTAATTAAGCAGTGATGAGCACATGGAAAGTTATTGTAACTAAGGCTTAGCAAATGATTAAAACACAATTGAAACTTTCAGTCAGGCTGCATGTTGTCAATTACAGCCTGCCCTTGATAGATCCATTATTATTGTTCAATCGTCCCCCTCCAACATATTTACCTTCCAGATGACTAATTATTTCTCGAACATGAATTATACTATTTATATCGTTTACTAATGGTTAAATCCAGTAGAAATAAATCCCGCCAATTTTCACACATTTCAGCTTTCATAAATTAATTTTGACTATTCAAGTTTAAAAAACATAACAAACAGCCAAATTTTCATATACAAATGTAGCTCGCAGAAGATACTGTCCTAAATAATAAGCAAACCACTTTCAAAACAGTTCTGAAGACCGACTCTAGGTCAAGATCAATCCCGTTGCTATTAAATATTTCTGATTTTTCACACAATTCTTGTGCGACTATATACAATGATAGATTGTCTCGATTATTGTACATCTGCACAATAGACAAGTTTAGGTTAAACATTTTCTACACTTTAAATAACCTAGATTTTAAACTAGAGTTTAAATATTACCTAATATTTCTCAAATATTGTGCTACATAATTAGGGTGTATATTTGGGTCTTGTTCCCCACACTTAATTTCCATAAACAAATTTGCAAATCAATGAAAATATTCAAAAACGTTTTTGGTGTTCCAAGGGCTTCTATTAAGAAAGTAAATGAAAATGTTACTGGTTTACTAGATGTGTTGTATGGAATTACAATGAACATGTAACAGAATAACTTTTCAACCATTACGTGACATTTTAGTAATTATTAACTGAACCTTATATAAAAATCTATTTGGTCTAATGCAATTATGAAGTACACATAATCATGACTTGATTTACACCAATAATATTTTTAATATATGTATTCTGAGATGAAAAATGATTCAGACAGGTTAATACAATGGGAACTAAAACATAAAAACATCTACAACAGTTAGGAGTATTAATGCTCATTTATATCTGTTTGAGGATATTAAAAGAGAGAACTTGAATCAAAACATTTCACAGTGGTTGTTTCTAAGACTGGAAATTAAACTATATTCCAATTAACACCAATTACTGAAGAAAATGTATGATAGCAGATTTTCTCTTTCCTAATTGATTCTTCCCACCCTGAAGCCAAAGCCCTAACAAGTAGGGCCGTCCTAGCTGGACAAGCAGTGGGAAGCTTGTCAATGTGTGCGATGGCTAGCGGTGTGGTATTAACTGGTTAAACTCCAGCAATTCCTCAATACACATTCTGGGGTCCACAAGCCTTGGCTCCCATCATTTAGTATTGCCTAAATTTTCCAAGAGGAGATAAGCAGGGGGCATCCCTCTAAGGATTGTGTACTTGATATCAGACAAATTGAGACTATACCAATATGGAACTCTCAGCAGTTTGGTTTACTGATTCTTTAAACCATGGCGATGAGTTGTCATTTAGCTGACTGACAAAAAAGATTTCCTTATTGATTCTATGAACTATATTTATTGGGGAAGTATGTGAATATTCAAAGAACTAATTCTTTGAGACCATTTAATCTTTTTTAAAAGATGTACAGCATATGAATTACAGGCAGCATAACAGAACATTTGTAAATATTTCCTGTGTACCTTCTGTACTTATATCATTAATTAATAAATAAAAGGCAGCAAACTCTTAAAATTAATTTGGAACTATTTTTTAAACTTGATAAACAATATTTATAATTCACACAAAAGCTATCAAACATATTATACAATAGCTCCCATCCAGGATTAGAATTGGGCTGTGCTACATGTATACTTCACAAATATAAAATCAAAAACAAAGCAACCATAACATTTTTCAGGTGGTGGTCAGAAGAGCAGATGGACTTAAAAGGTTATGCACAGAATCAAGCTAAAAGCATCACTCGGGAAGGCAGTATGAGCAAGCTGGAGGCAGGAGTCAGAAACGGACTTAGGACTGTTTTCCGTTCCTCTTTAACCACTGAAAAAAACACCAGTGATTTTGGCACTGGGCAAAAACTCAAGGGAAAATCTTTCTCACATGTACAATAGTTTAGCATCTATCAACCCAGCTGCTTAAATGGCCTGCTAATTAAAACGTGGCTAAACAAAGTGAAATATTCAGTGCAAAATTAGGTAAAACAAGACTTGGAACAATTTCAATGTAACCAATTAGTACTAAAGTCTCAATTCCTATCATACATACAGAGTTTTAAGTCATATTCAACTAACCTGGGAGAGGATGTGATTTGGTGCTTGCTGTTGCTGTGGACCAGTTGGTGGTGGTTGTTGTACAGGGCCTGCTATGGGGGTCCTCACAGACTGCGAGGCAGGGGGTGGATTATACACTACTGTCGTATTATCTGGATTCACGAATGGCTGACCTATAGAAAATAAAGTGGTCTAAATGTCATTACAATTAAGAGCAGATTTTGTAGAATTAGATGGACAAAAATAAAAATGTAACTTAATTGTTTCCTTGATACATGTTCAATAATAAAAGGCAAAATATTTTTTGTGCCAATGTGCTTATCAGGAGAAAAAATTCCACCTGGGTCGAGATCTATCTAAATAACTTTAGGAGTACTTGAAAGCCACTAGTCCGCAGTTCTTAAAGTTTTAGTTTTAAGCTTGTAGTTTTAAACTCTTAAAAGAACTTGCATAAACCAGTTTCAAAATTAAAATTGTATTTAACATTTCACCAAAGTCTGAACACTTTAAAATGCTATACAAATAGAGTGTAGACATGGATACAAGTGTAGTCTCTCATCATTAATTTCAGACTCTTGCTGAGCACAGTTCACTCACGCCAGCAGCCCTCTGAAACTTTATCAAGTTGGAAATGTGTCCTGCGTAATTCTAAATAGCGAGCCAACCCTAATGTGTTCTCACCTGACGTACACATAATGTTTGTGCACATCCCAGCAGAAATCAGGTCATGATCATGAATGGAACCCTGGTTGATTTTTGTGTCCTTGGTAGCACTGGCACCAAATTGAATTGTAGAACACAAACTGTTGCCCCAAATGAGATTAGCTAATTCAGCAAAGGGATCAATCCAAAATCCCATGTCTTAAAATTAGATAGAGTAATTTCTAGGCCATTAATTGAGCAAAGTTTATTTTCATTTCTTTAAAAATGGACATTAAGATTTTGAATACTGTGGTATTACTTGTTTCAATGTCATTTAAATGTCATACAAGTGATTTTAACTTGTCATAAAAGGTAACAAACTACATAGGAGTTCAATGGTAATTATTATTGATCACTAAGTGTACTCAACCATAAGAATGAAACAATTCTACACTCAAGACTTTTCAGAGTTAGGCACAATCTGTCTCCCTTGCATTTTGCTAACCTATCCATCACTCCTGAAACTGACAAATCCATGCTGATCTACTCTATGCTTAAGTTACAGTGGGACCTTTAACCAGAAATCTTGTTTACCATCAAGAAACTTCACGACACCAGGATTCACTAATTCACTAATTAATTGAGTAAGTTTGGTTAGGGCTAGAAACCGTTGCATTTTCAGCGAAGCTTCAGAATGTTCATAAGATCTCCAATTTAAGACACACGCTGCAATATGTTCTACTTGAGATTGTTGACCTGATTTGAAACAAATTACATAAATCTCTTCAAAAATTTCTATTCAATATCCCAAGATGTTTTGTGTAGATCAAGTAGAACTTTTAAATATGTGCAATTAAGAGATTTCAGATAACTATATACCAAACTGGATTAATCCTTCCTACATTACTTGTCAATAATTAAACATCTACAATATACTTCAATTGAAGGTTATCACAAGGTTAGGATGTCCTTCTTAGGCCCAATGCACATATATACACTTTCCTTATCAAAGAATTTCATTAGAAATTGCAACATATAAAACCAAATTATTACAAAGGAAGAATTTAACCCAGCTATCTAATATAAACTTTTAAAAATTCTTCATAAATAACTTTAAACCCAGGTTCAAAACACGCACTTAAGAATGACACTTAAAATTCATTACTTGTTAGTTTATTTCAAATTCACAGAAATGGGAAATAATCAGACTAATTTCATTAATCTCAAATCTCACTTTAATTACCCTTCAAAACAAATACTCAACTTCACTATCTTGAAGGAAAAATTAAACAGGACCCCGTTAAACATTGAGTTTGCCTACAATTTATTTTGTAAGCAGCAAATTATTTCAAACTTTAATTTCTTGGAAATAGTAAGCTTAGCAACTGATTTTTTTCCCCTTAGTCTAATGATGCTAAAGATAATTTCTAGTGCCTCATAATAATCCTTGCATTTGATTTAGCGCCTTATCATCTCTTCTAGACATCTCAAAGCACTTCACAGAATGTACTGTAAAGTGAATTGACTGTATATTTTGTGGGCAAATTTTGTGGCAGCTAATTGCGCACAGCAGTATCAGCAGTTGAGGTAGTATGTAAAGTTGAGGTAGTAAAAATGTTTTACTTTACTACCTCAACTTTACATACTACCTCAAATGAGATCAGTTTACTCAGCATACCCCAGGAATTGACCAATGACCATCATATCTGCATGGCTTTGTACTAACTGGGAAATGCCTCTATCCACTATGCCGTTAGAGGAGCCAACTGTGACAAGTCACTACACCTCCCTGTCACACACACACACACACACACACACACAGTCACCCCCTAGCCATGGGGGTCACCCACAAAATCTAAGGTGAAGACTTAACACAGGATAATTTCAATAATCAGATTTATTTTTTGAAATTCTAGGTGCTTAAACCCTTTCCATGAAACATTAGATTTTATTTACTTTGATTTACGTTCAATGGGAGGCTACCCTGCAACTCTGATTTGAAGCATTAAAATCAATATTTATGTAGCATAGCATGTGGCATATACAGTGGAATTAAGGGCGCAATTTTTTCCCCAGAAGTGAAACAAATCTCTCCACAGTAACCTATTAGGATTAAAATCTAAAGAACACCAAGAGCTTTTTTGGGTGCAAAAAATACAAACAAATGTTTCCTTTATATAGAAAATCTTGAATTTTTGTCACATCCAGTGGAAGGGGGATGACTTTGGCAAAATACTGAATTCCAGATAATCATCAATGAGCACAAAGGAATCCCATTATATGCATTAAAATATTCAGTTAAAGCAAGCAAAACATATGTAAAACAGTAGGATACTTTTAAGCATACAAGTACATATGATTGTATAACTTTGGAAATGGAATTATAATATACATTTTGGAAAACTACACTTCACACAAAACTGAGTAGCATTACGTTACTCTGACAATCATCTGCAAAAGTTAATATAATAAAGTCTAACAGCTCATTATAGTGCAGTTGTGGAGAAAGAGCCAAATGACAATATATTTCATACAAATCCTATCAGTGAATACCAACCTGTTTGAGGGTTCACAAGAATACTGCCAGGTGGTATGCCTGCAGCTTCCAAGGGAAGCAAAAAGAAGCTAGTACTAGTAGGAATCACTTGCCCACTCATGCCACCATCAAAGGAAAGAGAATTACTAGTGCTGACAGCTGAATAGATGGCTGGCACACCATGAGTTTGGCTCATAGCTGTGACTGGAAGAGGTTGGTGGGTGCGAGAGAGGGAACCCGTAGATGACCCTACACTACTAGAAGAGTCTGAACCTAGGAAAGGAGTAATGAAAAATCTTTACCTAGAGACAGAAACATCATGCTTTTTCTTTCAATGCATTAAGATTAATTGTCTTATGAAAAGTTCAAACATGCATAACAATAAGAAACCCCCCACCCCGCCCCCAATAAACCCCATTACTGTGTTGACAAGTTCTAGAATACAACTAAGCATTATTTAATTAAGTAAATTTTTATCCCAAATCAATAACTCTGCAGTCACAACATGCAAACGGTTAGTAATTTACTACAGACTAAGTTTCACAAAACAAACGAGCAGTCCTTATTGAAAGATGAAGATTTAAAGAGCCAAGCTTTTTTTTGTGCTGTTGAGATGTTTCTGTGTCTAGTTACAGACAGCACAGAACAAAAAGCAAAAAAAGTAAGCAAATTGAGGCAAAACCTCAAAGTGCTAACCTTAATATCAGAGATTAAATTTAAAGAGAAAAACAAGTTTAAGCTACAACATCAGCCAGTTCATTAAATGCAAAACAACGCAGATTGGTTAAGTCAAATTAATGTAGGCCATTTTTATTTTTCATGCAACATGGGGGTAAGATTACATATTTTCTAATAGTCATTGTAAGGAGCAGCAGACAATAATATGCAATACCAGTTAGACAAGTATTTGGATAAGGTGTAAAACAACTTCCATACAGTGAAATTTGAAGTAATAATATCCACCATATATTCTAGTACCAGTTACACCAACAGCATTTGAGATTTAATTTTTTCGATTCACCAAAAGGTAACTTTGAAAGAATTAAAGCCTACATTAGTTTGGAAAACCCAAATACACCTAAAACAGTATAGCACTAATTAGCCAAAAGATCAAAGAGTAATTTGTTCAATGACTTACCATCACTTTAATAAGAGTTGACAAGAAATTGAAAGATGATAAAATAAAAAAGCTGATTTGACTCTCTGTAGTTCAACATTTGGCAAACTAGTACTCTACTGTGCTGGCATATAATTGCATACAATAAAATGTACCTGTTTTTGAAAGCCTGCCTGTACTCTTGCTGCTACTAGAGCTATCTCCTCTCGTCAAGACAGAAATCCCACTGAAACTGCTGGCTTTCGTCATTGCTGGTTTCATGTTGCGGTTTGAGCTGTCAGAGTCCGTACTGCTCCAAGGTCGTGGCTCTGACCACTTCAGTTCATTTTCAGTACTGCTATGGCGACTACTGGAAGATCTCCCTGCTCCATCCTTATTTCCTCTGTGATGTAGAAAACAAAATTAACATTCATTCAGTATTCCCCCTAAAAAGCAAGCACAAAAGTTACATTTCTACAAGCTCTTCAGTACCTAAATATCTGGCGTCTTTGCTGTGTACAGTTAGCGGTTTCTTCCTCTTGGATTCTGTTGGCATGAACAAAAATATTAACTTAAAAAAAATCAAGCAACTTGAATTAACTTAATTGAATTAACTAAGTTTTCTTTTCAAAATAACACTAACCTTTTGTCTAGGAAATAATTATCCTGGGAGAATGATGACTGAAAGCACAAAAAAACTTTTATTATTACATATTACATCACTAGTTTCATCAAAAACAATTGAATGGAGAACATATTGTTTTGTTGGTCATTATTTTGAAATGAAAATTTGTACTAGAGATATAAAAAAGTACTTTGTAATTTACTATATTTAAAATCTACATACTGTAGTATCTTAAAAGATGCATACTATTCTAAAAATAAATAAAAGTTAATAATATGGCAATTCATAATTTGCTATGTTACTCATTTCATGTTCCCACCACACACAAATTAAAAATGATGCAGTGGTCATACAATTCAATCATTAATGAACATTGTGTGACATTAAGTCAAGATTAGGTGTTCATGTAGGTTTGGTCAAATTCTGTTACACAAAAAAGGATAATCATACTATTTATGAACTGTGTAACGTTTGTTCAAGTACCAAAGCAGAACCTGAAAATTATACTTCGAATGTGCTGTACTGCAATAGTACTTGTGATGCTCAGGTGATAATTTGTGACAAAATGCCCTCTAAATGTGTGCAAGAAATCTTGGCAAGGAAAAACAATATTTTAAGTAAAACATTCTGCTCAGCAGTACAAGAGCAGAATGTATGACTATTTCAATTTTTCCAAATATTCTGTGTTTTAAAATTTTTTTGAAAATTTTCTTCATAGAAAAGCTCTTATAAGAGTCCATTTTGAAACACCCCCAAAACTTATGGATAACCCTGGCATATCAGATAATGCTCTTGCTAACTTTAGCCTAAAAAGACTGTCATAATCACTATCATTTAGCTCAAAAACAGCAGCAGAAGAGTTTTTAAGACTGAGTAAAGTATCTAGGAAACAGAGTAATGTGTGTAGTTTTTAATATTTTTCAAATAATTGTGTGTTTGGAAAAATATTCTATCTATTTTCAAATGTCTCTGTGTAAATACAGTCACATTCAAAGTTAAAGCCCTAAAATGTAGCTTTAGAGTACTTTTCCATTGTTAACATCATTAACAGCCAAGATGTTCCCAAAGAGCATCTGAGACTATTACTGACTAATATTAGGAATAAGATCATATTATATAATGTTTCTTTATTCAGTTGATTCCTCTGAAATTATTTTTCTTTTTTTTAATATATGTATGTGTGTATATATACATATATATATATACACACACACACACACACACACACACACACACATGCGCGCTTAGGTTGGCACTTCCAGCCATGCACCACTGGGTCAGAATTTAGGTTTATGATTAGTTTGGGACAGAAATGTGACAAAAGTGGCTTGGTGAATTTACTAATTTATTCTTAAATTGCTGTAATAGTCGTGCTTAAGAAGACAATTCCTTGGAATGCAACAATATCCTAAGTAAATATCCTGCTCAACCATAATAGATAGTAAATGAACTACTGTAGGTAATGAAATCAAAGATTTTTTTCTTATAACCAATTAAAGTATTGACTATGCACAATAATCAAACTGTTTTACATCAGGACTGAAAACATATAAATACCAAAGCATAATATTTTGAAGGAAATTAAATGAACATTAGGATTCATCTACTCCTTCAATGAATTTTGAAGTGCATCAGTCCTAGATGCCATCTCTCAGAAGCATTATTTTTCTCACTTCTTTCATCTTACCAGAAAATACACGCTGCCACTCTACAACTTTTCTGTAGTACACCAGATCCTTTATAACTAAGCTTCCTAGTTCACACTGGCGAAACACGAAACACAGACCACTAAAATCCAGAAGTCCAAAAGTTATTCCAACTCAAAAGATAGCCTGCAAACAAGCTACCATCAACAATTAACTCTGACAATTTGGTCTGCAGAGAATTCTGGTCTTCACTATCTAATAAGCAACAATAAAATTAATTAGGACTAGCTTTAATGCTGTAGCAATAACTTTAATTCTCTATAAATAAATGCATCATAGTTCAAAATAAAAAACATTTAAAATATTTAAACTTGGGAACAGCATAAAATTGCCTGAACTATTTTTGTGGTTTTGTGACTTGAAACCAATGACAATAGTAGAATAACAATATAAAGTCAAAAATCTCACACTGCTGTTTAGATACATTCCTACGCTACCTGCTCACGAACAGAAATAAGGCTTTCATTTCTAACAGCATGTTTTACTATAACATAAGAAACAAAAACACTTCATCCATTTAGGAAAAACATGGAATAGCTTCCCACAAGGTCCGGCTCACTATCAAACAAGATTTCTGAAATCAGGCTACCATCCAACTTTCAAGTTACCAAAACAGTGATATCTCCAGAACCAATTTTTTTTAAATTCATACACAACTAACATCTATTTCCACAACCAGTTTAAAACGAATTATGTACTTTTCTCTTTTCCCACCCTATACTTACATCTGGAGCAAATATCCTATCTCTGACCCGCTGATATTCCTCTTCCCTCTCCTCTATTGATTTGCTTCTTCTACCATCCCGCAATCTGATACGTATCTGGAAATTTTGAACACATTGCCTTCTTAGGAGATTGAAATATTTCAAAGTTTTTTTTTTAAATTTTAAGTGAATCCAAGAAAAGCTTTAAATGGTAATACTGAATATAGGTTTAAACAAATCCCCAAAATGTGTTCTTTGGACTTTTATTTTATATTTTATCATCATTATGTGTTCCAGGATGTAATTTCTATTGTTTGAAGGAAGTTTATGCTTTTGTCATAACTACCTCAACTTTTAGAGTGTGATCAAAGTGCATTTATTGCAGGATGCTGTCCTTGCCTTGGGTACCATGGATGTGTATTCACATTTGCTATCCCCAGTCGTAACCGTCCACTTCAATTTCTGGTGGTGGATTTACTGGGTCGCTTCCACAATTCAGCCCAGTCAATCTTTTGATTGGATGTAAAAACAGTCTTGTGAGGCTCGTTTTGAGCCAATCAAAAAGTTTTTTTTTAAAAAAAGGCTGCTCTCACCTACTAAAATGAGACAGTTGTGGCTGAAAGGAGGAAGATCAATGAAAAGATAGAAAACTTCAAAATAAACAAAGGATAAAATTATTAGAAATTGGAAGGATAAAGAGAAATAGAACAAAAAGAACAGGGCAAGTACTCACAAAATATTTCAAATGTTTTTCTCATTTTGAACTATGATTTGTTTCTTTTTAGAGAATTAAAGTTACTGCTACAGTATTAAAGCTACTCCTAATATCTTTATAGCATTATCACAGCAATATTAGCATTTTCCAGTAACAGTCCATGAGCTGAAAATATCCAGAACCAGTCAGTATCCAGATAGTAATCCCTGTAAATCTACCAGCACTACATAAAAGGTAATTCCTGACAATACTGGACCATTGCACAATTTTGTCTTTGAATGCATTCATCATCAATCTAAGTCAACAGCTTGCTTCACTTATAAAACTGCTTTCGCTGTAAAACATTCCAGCAATACTCATGAACTATCATTTGTGTTTGGAACAATTAGTATGGAGCAATTATTCATGAGATTGCCTAAAAGTGCAGTGTATTACCAAGCTTTATATTGATCCTATTGGCCATTCTAGTGAGACGAACAATTGGGTCTGGTTAAACACATGCAACTCTCGATCATTAAAATAATTTATTGCTGAGAATTATACAGGCCAATCCCATTATTACATAGTGGTTTGGATCTCTAACTCAGACCTCACATTAAAACCAGATGCTCTAAATATGGCCACCATTAGTGCATTGAGGTCAGCAGGTTATTGCTAATATGCCTTCCTGTGTATATGACAGTAAGCAGCACTATTTTCTGGGCAAAATTATGTCAAAAGCAATTCATGTGCAAAATCCTGGATTATGTGCATGAATCACTGTTGATGTCATTTTGCACAGGAAGTAATGCATATTCACAGGAATGGGAAATCACGCTGAACTGAAGCCAGGGTGCAGCACACATCCGGAGTACCCCAGGACAAGGCTTACCCATACTTACACCAACGTGTGCTATTATGGGGTCAGCCTGTACATTCATTCACAACAGTTCTCTGAAGAAATATATTTTCCACATGTAAACATCTGATAGCCTGTTAAATGTAAAATTGCATTCAAACTTTTACCTTAGGTTAGGTTATTAGGTAAAATAATACTGCAATGGATATATAGGACATGATGCACAAGGAATGTGGGGTGAACATATAGTATATTTTAGACCTAGGAACTTTGTAAAATTAGTTCCTAGGCAAAACTGCACAAATTAAAAATTAAAGGATTAAATTGATCAAAGTATAGTTCTGAGACTAGTTTTAAAATTTATTTAAAACAATTTATTTTATATGAAAGTGAACACCAGTGCTTGCTGAATATCATCCACTGATACAACAGTACTTGGGGCTACTCAAAGCTGCAATTTATTGTGAGGAATATTCAGCTTCTTCAAAATTTATTATTTCTCTTCAGATTTCCCACTCAATCTCATTGCATTGGTTTTTCCGTTCCCCTTTCCCACTCTTGTTCTACTGCAAGTTCTACTGTCATTTCACGTTTTACTAGCTTTTTGTGGAGTCCTGTAACTCAATGGTTAGAGCCTTGCAAGCGAGACACCCTGGGTTCAAATCCAGGCAGGGCGAAACCTTGGGCAAGTTTCCTTACGCCACACGCCTAATAATAATCCCTCCAAAACAGTAATAAATTGGTCATTTTCAATCCAATACTGTTTGTGTGACACTGCGGTGCGCAATTGGCTGCCGCGTTTCGCCCACAAATATACAGTCAATTCACTTTACAGTATATTCTGTGAAACGCTTTAAGACGTCTAGAAGACGTGAAAAGCACTATATCAAATGCAAGGATTACTATTATTATTTTAATCTGCCTTTGACTTTTCCTGCACATCTTACAATCTGTTAAAAGCCATCTCCTGCCTCTTGATGTTACTCTTTTTTTAAAAAAAACTTAATCTCTTTCCTAGATCAATAAAAAAGTGCAACTGTAATTTTTCTAGTGGACCTACTACACCCCCACTCCGCTATAAACATCATCCTCCGCTACAAACCTGTTAAAACACAGTGTACTGGATCCAGGCCTCTGCCCACTACTGTTTACTAGACGGCGCTACTGTGGGCAGAGCAGCTCAGGATGCGCACGCGCGGTGCGAGCGGGAAACGGGCTTTGCTCACCCCGAGGCCCCGCTGTAGTGATTATCTGTGTGTCTCTCTCCTCTTTATATGCGAGTGTGTGTCTCTTTGTGTCTGTGAATGTTTGCGGCTGAGTATGTGTGTTTCTGTCTGAGAGTGTGAGTCTCTCTCTGTGTACGGTGACACACCCGGAGAGGCAGGAGGTGGTGACCTCCTGGAGCCATTCAGTCAGAACTAATCCCCACCCCTGTTTGCATTTTCTCTTTCAGATGTGAAATTACCATTCTTGGATTTTTATGAAACATCTTCCATATCATAAATCAAGTGGTATCCCTCTAATCTACTGAGATTGTCCCACCTCTGCAAGTACCCAAATCTATATACACAGCTTTAAATTATTCATGGAAATTTTCAGATTCTGCCAAATCTTCGCAGAGGAATGATATCAAGAATGATCAAATTGTACCCCAATCTTCAAATGATTCATAGTTATATATTCAAGTCATTTGTTGAATTAAAACATGATTGGATCATTGCTGTATATAATTATTTATAAATTCTATTGTCACTTCTTAGATAATCTCTTTATCTGTAGACATACCACACCAGAGAAACTGAATCTCAGGTAAAACACCATATTCTGTTTTTTGAATACTCAGCCTACAATTTGATATGCAAAGATAACTAATTTATCATTGGCAACTCAGATATGTCTAATTAGAAATTAAAATATCCCAAAAAATAGAAGATCAGATGAGAAGTTCAGTACTTACTTGGTTGTCATCTTTGTCAATGCTTGAGTTATCACGTTTAAGAATATACCTCTTCTGGAAATCATCACTTTTATCATCTTTTATATGTTCGCAAAACTTCTGATCGGGTCTACAGTAACAAATAATAAATTATGAAAAATAAGCATTTTGTGTTCAACAAAGCAAATGATCAGTAAAGTGAAATTGAAAATTTACTGCTGTGGTACAGTTGGGAACATGGCACATTACTGGGGCAGAGAAGAGGTATTCAACCTAGGCTTGATATTGACCTTGGATGTCAAAAGTTGAAAAAATCCTTTTAGTTGGTCTGAATAAAGTTCCACATTTTCAACTTACTGGAAACAACTCATGTATTCCAAATGTGTTTTAATCTGTTCATACTAATGTGCCCATTGTTCCTCTGCATTTTTCCTAAAGTCTACTTTTCTAGAATCTACTTTCCTCTAATCAATATTCTCTTCCTCCTATAATTTTTTTNAAACCCAAGCTCCAACACGTATGATCACTTATCGATTTATCCTACCTTCTTTCCTAATCTTTTCAAATTTGGAGATATCCTAACATGGCCTTTCAATTAGTTTCCTCGATATGGGCAAAAATAAATTGGGGCCCTTACAGCGAATAAAGACAGGAGAACTTTATTCAAATCCAGTTAATTATAACTGATTGGTCCATTCAGAACTCCAATTCTGAAAGATATTTACAATATCTTGTGAGCAGCAATGATCATTGATTGAGCCTCTTAGCTAAGAGAGCAGCAATTCAATTCTAAACTAAATTGATATTTCGTGTTTGCCTACAGATTTATCCCGCCACTGTAATATCATCAATGAGATGGTCAGCGCTGGATAAAAAAAATATTGGGTTTTGTTGTTTTGATTTGTTAATCTGCTATATAACAAAGTATTTCATACAATGTAGCTAACAATGAAAAAGATTGTAAGCAACTTCAAGGGGTATAGACAGATTAGTTGATTGGCAGAGAAATGGCAAATGAAAGTTAATGTACATAAATGTGAGGTGAGAAAAAATAAGGAGAACAAATACAGGCTGGGTGGTAAAATATTAAAAGTAGACAAGCAAAAGGATTTGTGAGTTAATGTACATAAATCCTTAAAGGTGGGAAGGCAGGTAGGCAAAGCTGTCAAAAACTTAATGGAATCTTAGGTTTTTATAAATAAGGGTAAAGAATATACAACCAAAGAGGTAATGGTAAACTTGTATAAACCATTAGATCAGTTAGAATATTGTGTCCATTGTTGGTCACCCCACTTAGAAAAGATGTCATGATGATAAAAAGTATGCAGCGATTTATTAGGATGATAGTGGGGATGAGTGGTTTGGCCTATGAGCGGAGACTGGAGGAAATGGGACTTTGTTCGCTTGAACAAAGGTTGAGGGTAACCTGATAGAGGTCCTTACAATTATGAGGGGTTTTGATAATCAAGAGAAAAAATATTTCCATTGTTCAGTGACTTAGTGACTTGAGGGCATCAATTTAAGATAGTTAGTAAACGAGCAAATGGGGAGGATAGGGAATTTTTTCATACACAGAGTACTTATGGAATGCCTTGCCAGGAACAACAACAACAACAAGATTGCATTTATCGAGCGCCTTTCACGTTGGGAGGACGTTCCAAGGCGCTGGACAGTTGGATCCAGACACGAGCAGGGGGGAACTGGTCAGGGTGAAGGGAGGGAAGGGAGGGAGCGAGGAGGGGGTAGAGAGTCAAGAGGGGAGGTGAAGGTACGGTTGAAGAGAACAGTAGTTGAGGCAAAATCCATATTGGCCTTCAAAAGGGAACTAGACGAGATACCTTAAAAAGAATCAGTTACAGGTGTACAGGGAAAGGGCAGGTAAATGGGACTGAAAGGATTGTGCTTGAGGGAGCTGGCACAGACACAATGGACCAAATGACCTTATTCTGTGCTATAAAATTCTATGGTTATATGGTTCTAGTGGTGTTCCTGAATGAAGAAACGTGAAAATGAAAAGCAATAAAATGTGTAATCTTTGTGAAAAATAGAACATGGTGGACGTTCCTGAATTGAAAATATTGTAATCGATGCTGGCTCTACAACCAGAATATTTATCCACATTGAAATAAAATGATACTTTATAATTTTATGATTATAGATTTTCAAAATAAGCAAATTATTTCACAACAACTTGCATTTATTTATATAGTGCCCTTTACGCGGGATAGCATCCCGGAGTGCCTAAATACCCAGAGGCATTACCTGCAGCTCACCTTACGATATTTGAATATGCTAAGGAACACATCTAAAACAGCATAATTATGAAGGCAGTACTGAGAAACCATAATGCTAAATTCTTATAAGCTCATCCAAATGTTATTGAGAAGTCATTTATTAATTTGGTTAAATTATAATTTCTTGAAACCAATAGGCAGCGTTTCTGAGGGTATAATTTGATAAAGGAATATTAGGCTCAGTTAATTATAGAAACTGTGCTCTGGAGAAAGATTGTATTCATTGTGGAACAATCTTGCTCTGCTCTTAAATAACCTCAGCCCCTCGAGTAATATCTATGGCGTCCCGCAGAAAAAATATGGTGGTACTGTGTTTTGTGTGGGATGCAACTGGCACTCTGTTGAGTCAACCATGAGTAAGTTACACTGTAGAATTTTTGACAAATGTTCTCTCCGAGTTTTGGCAGCATGCTGTAAACAGAGCCAAGAAAGGGAAAGTTCTGAATTTAACTCAACTAAGACAGACATTTGTACAGTTTGTAGAAAGCGATCAACACGTCGGTCAAGAAATAATTCAGTGAAGGCAGGTGGAGAGGGAGGACAAAAGAGAATGCAAAACCCAACCCTTATTTAAGAAGTCTGAGTTCACAATTACAAATTATACTCTCACTTTGCTCACAAACTGGCTGCGGCTAGTTAAAAATCAAATGATTTTGATAATTAAACTCTGAACAGTAATTTTCTAGAGTTGCTGTGTTGACATTACATTTTCAGGACTCTTACCCTGTCAAAACGCCATAACCTCAATAATTTAAAACTCCTATTTGTACATGGAGCTGATTCGATAACAACTTTGAATTGGTAGCCGATTCGATAATAACTTTTAAGAGAGAAGTAGATAATTATTTGGGGAGGATGAGTTTGCAGGGCTATGGGGAGAGAGCGGGGGAAGTGGGATTGATTTGGATAATTCTTTTCAAAAGGGACAGCACAGACACGATGGGCTGAACGGCCTCATTTTGTGCTGTATAATTCTATGATTCTATGTGTATAGGGCTTTTTACATAGTAAGGAATTAGTTAACAATCCAAACCAATTTCACACCGAACAAAGGAGTCTACCAGAAACAATTAGAAATAGATTAAACAGTGTTTTGTGTAATGTTTAACAAAAAACATTCACATTTCACGTATTTAACTGTAGGAAAAGGATTATAACTTGCTAAATTTTGCAACTATATTTATAAAATCAGCGGAGGACTGACCCCCTAAAAGGGCTCCGGATGTTCAGGTAAATTGGGGATTCTGATTCATGGGGGTGGGGGCACACCAATTTGTGTGTGTGTGTCTGTGGGGGTGGGGGCAAAAGGATAAGCATGGGAATGTTTTATGTTCTTTGGTGCTCGAGTGCCCCAATGAATGGCTCCTGATGCTTATTTCCCTTTGAGGCTGGCATGATGTAATAAGCAATGGGAACCACTCATGGGGGGCACTCAGGAAATTTCTTGATTTCCCGTATACGCAGTCCAGCCTCTGAAACAAACATTTACTATGTTTGACATCATTAGTTATCAATGTACCTGAATTCCTCTTCCTCCCCTCTGTATACAAAATTAGATTAATTTAACTATTATAAATAAAATGATTCATTTCAGAAGTAAAAATACTTACATTCTTGTGTTGCTGGTCTTGTTTATAATCACAGCTTTTCCAGTTTGATCAACATTGTGATCTAAGCCAAAGTATGCAGCCACTCTATGCAACAACATCCGGTGGTAGGAGGTCATTGGAGGAAATTTCCTGTATTGAATACTTAACCGGAAGAACGCGTCAGTTATGAATAATACATATGAGAATAAAAATATTTTGCCTCTACATAGATACCAGTTCTTACTTGTTATTACTGATAAAATCCAGGATTTCTTGTTCCAACTTCAGCAACATCATTCTATCCCTGAAGAACAAAAAAAAATTAATCTTCAGGAGGGATCATTTGTCTAAAATACTAATTTATGTGGTTGAAACAACATACTTCAAGTAAATTTGTGGAATTTGTACAACAATCAACACTTGAATCACATTGTGCTCCAAACCACATGGTGTATGAATCAAATAGAACTGTTTATAATGTCAAAAGCTGATTCAATAAAATCAATAAACTATCTACCTGGGATTATTTTTCAATGTATTCACTAAAAATTCATGAAGATCTATTCCAGTGGAGTCTGTATATTCCTGGCTGGAATCTGAATAAGAGAAAAATAGAATTTGCATTAATTTACAGATATTCAATAAATATCTAAAATCTGAAAATATGAATGAAGTGAAAGAAATGCAATGCAAACCTCTTGATAACATCTTTCTATGAATTTTATCAGGTTTTTCTGTACAGTTTTCCTTTTCAGGGTCATCTTTTGCAAGATCTTCTTCTCGATCAAACGTTTGTGTTAAGTGTAATTGAATGGTTTCCTGTATAAACACAAAATAAACATCTTCACAATCATACTCAAAATCTACAAATATACTTAACATCTTTAAAGCGGTCATAAGATCACATGGTAGGTTCAGATGAAGGCCATTCGGCTACTTGATTTATCTTTCAGGATTACAATTACAACATGGACCTGTTTCTTAAATGAGCCTTGGCCTAAACCACTATTCAAGGCAACCAGTTCCAGCTGTGCATTGTGCAAATACTTCTTGGTATCCATCCTAAAATGGTCCTTCACAATTCTGAAGCTACGACTTCTTATTTGGGAGAACTTGAAACTATTGTTCTGGCTTTACTTTCTCAATCTCATTCATCACCTTACATAGCTTTCAAAAAAGGTCCAGTCTGACATATTTCCTTTCAATGCTTAAGAGAGCAAGCCCATATCTGGATGTTGCTCATAGCTTATGCCTCCAGTAGTATAACATGAGGTTTGTTGCTCTCCTTTGCATTGTAACTATTGCCTGGTTATTTCTCCTTTGTCAATGATGACCAGAGGTACAGTATAACACATAACAAAAATCACACACATTTCACCATATTTTTCAAACATTTTAACTGTCTTCAACCTATACAGCTTTACAGGTTTGACCAATAACTCCATCATGTGAAACATTGCTTCAATCAGTAGACAATATAAAATGTATGCCCCCATATACAGCAAAATCATGAATTTTACATTCAAACTACTACAATTTTAGATAATTTTCAAACATTATTTGTCATCATAACAGATCCAATGTAAATTTGCACTAACCAACCAACATTGCACAAACATGACATCGGGCTTCCTTTTATTAAAAAAAATTAAAGTCCAAACTTAAAAAATTATTATTTAGAACCAAATTCTAAAGATATGGGTTCTGATTGCAACTAAACAGATTTCATATTACGTCAGAATTATAATACAATGTGTCACAAATATTGAACAGCTGGCTGGTTGATGGTTTTGAACACAAGTTTTCATCTGCAAGTTACTTCAATAACTTCCCTGTTCTTAAATGTTGATACAGACAATTCCTGAGCAACAGCACAAAGAATAAACCTCGAATTCAAGATCCTCATCCTCACCTACAAGGCCATTCATGGCCTTGCTCCCTCCTACCTCTCTGACCTACTATCCCCCTACCTACCTGCCCGTTCCCTCCATTCCTCTGGCTCCGGTCTGCTCCACATCCCCCGCCCCACCCGCCCTACCATCGGTGGCCGGGCCTTCAGCCTCTCAGCCCCCAGGCTCTGGAACTCTATCCCCCAGTGCCTTCGCCGCCTCCTCCCTTTCCTCCTTCAAGGCCGGTCTCAAGACCTTTCTCTTTGCCTTCAGCTCCCCTCTGGACTCCCTACCCCCTCCTCGTTCCCTCGCTTCCCTCCCCTCACCCTGACCATTTCCCCCCTGCTTGGGTCCTGACCCAACTGTACAGCACCTTGGGACGTCCTCCCGACGTGAAAGGCGCTCAATAAATGGAATCTTGTTGTTGTTGTTGGTGAAGCAATTTAATTTTTATCTTATTGTCAGTCAACTGCTCTTCTATCTTTTATCTAAACTTTTTGTTTTTAAAAATTCTACATTTATAAAAAAATAATTCCTTCTGTGTCCAAATAATTACAGTACTCTTTTCTTGCACAACAATAATACAGTATTACAACAGATGACAAGAGTAATGCATTACCAATATGCACACCATCTAAGTGCACTCATAAATAAAGGATGGTAGCTCAGCCACAATTGACAAATAGAATAATTGTTAATTTGAGCAATTTTTAAAAAAGAAAATTGAAGTACGACAGACTTGAATCATCAATTCCAGCCTAAAAACTCTAGGTGAGCACAATCCTGCTTATGCCAGGCAACATCACTTAATGTGGTATCTGTCTCTGTGATCATTGTGCATCCCATTCAAATGCAATTCTCCTTTGAGGGCACAATCATAGCTCCTTACAAACTAGCTTATTTAACACAAAAGTGGGAGAGAAATAAGGAAAATTGATTGAAAATGAAAAAAAACTAAAGATTTTCAGACAATTTAATTTTAAAAGTCCTGGCAGTGTGATCTTTCCAAATTAGCTTATCTTATACAGTGATGGGGTTTCATTTACACAATGTCAAGAAAGATTCAAATCTATAAAATTCTAATGATGTCGCAAAATAAACTTTACTCAATATTGTATTCTATTGGTAGTAGCATAAACTACATTGCAATTGTTCTATACCATCATTGAAGTGTTGAGGATTTCACATAACCTTATTCTTTTAGAGCAGAGAGGGAAACATATCAAAAAAAAACTCCATTATCTCCTGAAAATATCGAGTCTAGTACCAAAAGTGCTGGTGGTAATTCGGTCAAGTGGCCATTCGTTATATGTAGGTCGAGCAAGTAAATGTCTACAAAACTCGGAATGAAGAAACAGTAAAATCAAGCAGGTTCTTAGCTAGCTTGAACTAGTCTCAAGAATTGCATCTGATAGACACAAGATAAAATCGGACCAGAGAGATTCCATGTGTGGGCACCTTCCAACAGGGGTTACTTGATAATTATTAGCAGTGATTTATCTCCCTTATTCCCTACTACTACTTAGCAGAGGTAATTTGAATTCTAAATTCTCTTTTGAATAACAGCTCAAATCCAAATATTTGCAGCACCTGCATTGCTTAAATCAGGAGACAGTATAGTAGTACACTGCACATTAAGAAAACCACATTCGTGTTTTTACATTTATTGCATTTGATAAAGTATCGTAATCTCATTATTGAAACACTTCACAGAATGTTACTGTGTATTTGTAGGTAAAAGGCGACATCCAATTTGAACACAGCAATGTACTACAAAGAGTCATGCAGTGAATGATCAATTTTATCTGGAGGATTGCCAGCCAAGACACTGGGAGAAAAACTCTGTGCCATGTGAAATTTAACAACCACCTAAACTAGCAGCCTGGAAGTTGGTTTAACAACTCATCTGAAGGACAGCATCCCTGACAATGTAGCACTCCCCCAACACTGTAATGAAGTGTCAGCCTAAACTGATTTCGAAGTCCCAATAACATTGAATGGAATCTACAAACTTTTGACTTAAGAGACAAAATTGCTACTAACTGAGCAAGGCTGACATCTGTTTTGAGTTTGCAGGTAAGTCACAAATTACACATCACTACTTGTGAAACGTGCCTTCCAGTAGCAATAAGATTTTGCATGTGTGTATTTGTGATAGTTTTAGGGTTCATTCTGCACATGAACACAACATGAATGCTAAGCTTGGAGAGGATGTTTATGAAAAGTAACTGCAAAAGTGAACTGATAAATAAATTATGTGAGTTACAGAAAATGCAATAAACGCCCAATCTTTAATATTTAGCTGGAATTATATTACAAAAGCATCCTTCATTAGATATACATTTTAGTCCAGTTCTAAACCATGTTTGATCATTGGCATTCAGTTCATTGTGTCTCACTTCAACGTCAGGGGCACTACAATCATTGCTGTTAATTTTACATTATAAATTCAGTAAATCTCTTTTTTCCAAATTATGATCTGTACTGTGAAGAAATAAAAACTACTCCAGCAAGAAATATCATTGCATCGGTGTCAGCCTGAGCATATGTACTCGTGCAGTTTACCTGATTGTCCTCTGGAACATCAGCTGTGGGCGGAGGAGAAGACTCTTCACACAGAGCCAGGCTCCGTACAAGTTTTAACTTTGCATTTGACTAAAGGAAAACAGTCATTAGGGCAAATGCATTTACTTCCTCAAGCGTATGCACATTCTAACCTTATACCCTGCAATAGCTTAAGATGACAGTGGATAGTAGAGAACATCCCTTTTAGCTTCAAATTGCCAACCAGATAATTAGATTTTTCATTCTATATGCATATCCAATCAGAAGACAAATCACACAACCACTGACATATATATTTGTTACAGGGTACAGTTAGATGCAATTGCAAAATGCTTTCCCACAGCAATAATGAAAACAGAATACTCCACTTAAGTGCATAAAATCTGAATCCATCACCAGCAGAATCCATAACTAATACATATCTATTTCCATGCAATCTGATTCCAATGAGTCCCAAGCAAATAGCTTGCTAAAGTGCACAAGAGCAATCTTCATAAAGGTTTATATTGCATTTGCAACGAACCTACTACATTCCTTTAAAATTCTTCCATTTTTATTACGATCAATAATAGTCAAAAACATCAGTTAAAGGAAACGATTGCTGGCATTAGAACATTTTTTTTTAAATAAAAAAAATCAAATTCCCTTCCCCCTCAAGATCTCAACAATACTAAAAAGAGGGCAAGAAATGAAGGTTTAAAACTGTCATCAGACTATGTCTGCATTAATTAAACAGAGATTTGACCTGACTAAAATTATGTAAATCTTAAGATGCTACTGCTGATACATCAGTTATATAACCTAGGACAACATATTTGTGCCTCACTTACATCTGGAATCTATTTTCTAACCCAAACATTTTTTTTCCCATTTATTTACATATTCTTTAATATATAATTTTGTGGAACTCTACCAAACACTTAAGCGAAATAGACTGCATACTGTTGACTCTGCACAAGCCAGTTGTATAATAATTTTAAAGTTTTATCATTTTAATTCATAATTACTTTTTCATAATGATTTAAATATTTGCCAATTTGCCAAATATTTAAGTGGAAGACAAGTGAAACACATTCTCATAGAGAAGGTAGTGTAATCATTTTACTAATATCAAGTTTTAAATGTACCAAAAAGGTACTTCTGAAAAAACTCATGTTAATTTTCTTTAAAGAAAACAGTAAATATAAAACTGTCTTGATAATTTGCTCTTATACAACAACAAACCCCACAAATCAAAGAAGACATTTGTATTGAATGATAGCTCCAAGCATACCAACATGCACAATTGGCATTTGGTCCAAAAACATGAACAGGAAAATGAAAACAATGCACTGATTTCAACAATCACAAAATATTAATATGTGGAAAACCACCTAAAATTCGATCCATTTTCTATCAAGTATAATAGCATAAGTGGGCAGTATTAAGTGAAGCATCAAGCAAATACATAAAATAACACTCCAAGAAGTATGTGCAGCACAATCTAAATTAGAGCAAAGGAAACATGCATAAGGTAATAATGCAGCAATAAACTAAACGGATTTAAGGTACAATTCTGGCAAACAATTATCACAATACAGTCAACAAGCGCAAATGACTTCCTCCAACATGCCATGATACACTTTTACTATACCTTTGACCTTTTTCCCGCCTGTCCAAGATTTTGTATTTGTCTCTGCGCAGTGGACAAGAGATCATTACAGTAAAAGACTCGTATTAAAAAAAATTCAAAACATAACAATATTCATGAAGGGCTTAGCTGCATTCATATGCGGACTTGTGAGTGTTCAAAAGTGTTCAAATGTAACTCAGACTAAAAGAACACATCCAAGTACAAGCTACCAAATTGACCAACTGTCGCAATGAAGAATGCCAAAGCAGGAGCAGTATTCTAGTGACATAACATTAGGAGTTCAAAAGAAATATTTATTAGGGTTCAACTAAAGGTGTCCATTTCTCTAAATGCTCATTTATAATTAACTGAGGAGGAAGCATTGAATCTCATTTTACCTAAGACAACATGTGATGTTGAATTTTTAAAAATGTTCCCTCATTGAACAGAATTCCTACCAAGTAAATTGATCTTTTGTAAAAAAAAACAAATGCATGGCGTGAAGTCTTCGCTTACAAATGGTGTTACAATTTAACATATTCATCATATTCAGCTAAACAGAGAGGTGAGGAATAGTGAAGATTTTAAAGAACAATGTCACACACGAAAACCACGTTGTGACTGGCAATTAAATTTGAAACATGTATAGATTCGATATTCAAGTGAAATTCTACTATCCATTTGCACATTGACCCCATTGAGAATGTAAACTAACCAGCAACTTCACCAACGAGCAACAGATGACAACATGGTTCTCATGAAAAATTGCAGTTCTTATTGAGATGCATTCTGATCTGACCAAAAAGGGTCAGGCTGGCTCTGATACAAATGAGGAATATGTGGAACTGAGTTGTGGTTACTGTTGGAAACTAATTAATAAATAAGGACCAATTGACTAGGACCAATGGAAAGAAATCAGGTGAGAGAGAAAACAGGAGAGTGTTTGGTGTGACTGTTGGATTGTGTAACCGGAGACCTAAAATAAAAGAGTGTTCTACACATTGTTTGTTGAGAACTTGACAGTTACGTATGAGATACCAGAGAGTTGTAAGTTATTAAAGTCATTTAAATTATTTTCAATTATTTCTGGAAGGCTCTTGAGTTACTGCCAAATTCTGTTGTAGAGAGAGAAGACATTTCAAGTGCTTGGTCAAACCCTGGACAATTGGCAATGTACATCCGTGCCTAGATTATTTGAAGGTTGATGGCTGAATTTACCAAGTGTACCTCACCAAAAGGAGGAGTGATTCAAGGTTGCCCATCCTATTTCATGTTTTTATCAGCTAGAAGATGGATGAGATCAACAGTCTTGATGATTCTACATTTCTGAAAGGTTTATGATATTTTTGGTGAATGCTGTCACATAAATGTTGGGAGTCACCTATGTACTTCATTCACTATTTAAACAGTGGGATATGGTAGTGTGTGCCCCAAGTGTAATATTGAGGATCTTTGGGCTGAAATTCCACCTTCTAATCCTGTAAGACCATTTTGTCTTAACATTTAATTTTAGAAACTATTTCTTGTTAAATCTGCAGAAAAATGGTTGTATTAATAACTAAGTATCCTTGAAATCAATTCTTCAAGATACACTGAGAATGGAATAAAAGGTATGCTGAGATTATTGGAGCTAAATATTAAGTGTACAAAAATAATTCACAACAGTTGTACATAAATATCCTTACAATCATGAATGCCATTCATTTATAAACTCTGCTCGTTTGCATTTTTTTAATGAGCATTTAAGAAAAAGACAAGCTGGAATATATTAGGAATAAACAGAATACTTGTGAATATTCATGCATGATTTGTGTCAAGAAATAGAAGACAGAGGAACAAATATTATTCCCAATATAGTTGAAAATAGACACCAGTTCACAACATGCCACACATTTTAAAAAAATGTATTGAACATCATGGCAGATCAACTTTTAAATACAATATACTTGTCTGCTTGACTTCATTGTCAGGTATTCTTGACTTCATTGTCAGAACATGCTCAAAAGTGAAACTTGCATGCCTCATTTTAAGCAAAATAATAGCCAACTGAGAATGTCACATACAGTGCTCCTTCCTCAAATGACAATGCTGTTGCATTGACTATTCTAACACCTTTAAATTCCTAGGTTGAAATGAGAAGACACAACAATGACATTGCGTTAATATCAGAGTTCAGTCAAAACACATTAGATCATTAGAAATACTGCATTGTTTTCTCACATCCTTAAAGATGGCTATCTGTGAAGAAGTTGATACATCAAAACATAGTAATTTTGGACAAGGGCTCATCTTTTTCCATATAGAACAAGGAGTAGCTGTCTATATATGTTCGATAAATTATTCTGCCTAACAGCGAGCAAAACTATTCTTGTCCACAATGAGAAAATTAAGTAACTAAAGAGAGGATATAAATGGAGCAGATTTATATTTCATGAGTTAGCTGACCTCGTATGTCAGTTGCAGGAGAAGCATGGTTAGAATCCTGCTGGAATCGCAAGGGAGACACTCAAGAGTCATATTGCATACCAGGCCAATATTTAAATTGATTTGAACTTTGAATTGAAAATAAAATTATTTTCTTGGTAGAATTCCATCCCACCACCCCGATTTAAAAAAAATATTTTTCTTATACCAAAAAATTACTTTTCACAGGAGCAGGCATGACATTTTAGTTACTGTCATTAGTACCTATTGCATTATGGTGAAGCATTCTGGGGTGAAGCAACCTACTGAGCTACTGTTTCAAATATGACAGTGCTGACAATCAGCTGACTGAAACGTTGAGAAACTACTGACATTATAACTTACTATTCCCGCGATGTTTGTCGGTATTTTCTCCATAGTGCTACAACCAATAGATTTTTTTTTAAGCTCTGTTAGGTTTGAAATGGAAATTGGTTTGAAGTGGAAACTCAGCAAGTTGCTTTTCTGAAAATACTTCAATTAGAACAGCAGCTGATCATTTAATGAAAAAAAACTTCAGTGCAGCCTTGTTATAATATACTTTTAAAAAAATAGCACCTATTTGATTATAACGCAGCATGACCCACATTCAGGGCATATGATTGCAGCCAACTCTCGCACTAAAATGGCCAACTATCAGGTCATTAAGATGCGCAGCATACAAGAAGTGGTGATGCCAGCAATGTAATGACTTGGAAATAAGCCATTTTCTTTTAGCGCAGAAATCAAACACACGCAAAGGGCAAGTCAGCAGGCTGTGACCATACACAGCGACACAGGCTATTTCAGCTTCTTGACAGGGATTTTATGGATTCAAACCACCATGTTATAATGAATTTCCACTGTTTTTTTTAGAAAGGGAGACAAAGTATAAGTAATGTTTATTTCCTAGATTATATCTGCCTCTTTAACTCAAATAAGTTCTCAAATTCTCAAATAAGAACTGAACTGATGCATTCATTGCCAAGTGGATCTAGTGATGTTACAATAAAAAAAAGCCATTGTTTTCTGTTCTTAATTGAAACAAAGCTGAGCAACAGAAAGAATATTTAATAGAAAGGACATCATCACATATATGGTTGTTCATTGGTAAACTGATGAAAATGTGGAATGCTCTAATTGGCTTAAAACTTATTAATAAAAAGTTCTTGCAATGACAACAACAACATTTGTATAACATTTGTATAGCGCCTTTCACGTCAGGAGGATGTCCCAAGGCGCTGGACAGAGTACAGCATTTCAGACCCGAGCTGGGGGCGGGGGGGGGGGAAGGGAGGGGAGGAGAAGGGGGGTGGCCGATGGTATGGTCGAAGAGGAGGGTCTTGAGGCGGGACTTGAAGGAGGCTGAGGAGGGGGTGAAGCGGAGTGGCTGGGGGATGGAATTCCAGAGGTTGGGGGCAAAGTGGCTGAAGGCTCCCGCCAATGGTGGGGTGGGTGGGTCGGAGAAAGTGGAGCAGGCCTGAGTGGAGGGAACGGGCGGGTTGGTAGGGGGTTAGGAGGTTGCAGAGGTAGGGTGGGGCGAGTCCATGGAGGGCTTTGTAGGTGAGGACCAGGATCTTGAACTGGATCCTCTGAAGGATAGGGAGCCAATGGAGTCGGGCGAGAATGGGGGAGATGGGGTCATGGAGTTTGGTGCAGGAGAAAACACGGTCTGCAGAGTTCTGGATTATCTGCAGCCTGTGAAGGGAGGAGTTGGGAAGGCTGACAAGCAGGGCATTTGCATAGTCGAGCCTGGAGGTGATGAAGGCATGAACAAGAGTTTCAGCGGCCTGAGGGGTGAGGTAGTGGTGGAGTCGAGCAATGTTACAGATGAATGACAGATGGGCCTTGTAATAACTTTTTTGAAAATCTTAAAACTCCAAAGAGCTTTCCTTTGAGAATACAGCCATTTTGCAAATACTGTACTATCACTTACCCACCCCCCCACAAGAGTGTTTTGATTAAAACATGCATATGCATTTAATAGGAATCAAAATATACAGCATTAGAATCAGTGGGATAGGATTTCCGCCTCACAAAAGGGTTAATTAGATATCATCACTCATTTTAGACAAGGTCAAAAATGAAACCAATGATATCCCATATACTTTCATAATATATTAGTTTATCCCATTTTAAATGTGCGCAAAATAAGCATGATTATGCGAGCAGGGAAAAATTCTACTTATACTTGTCAGTTTGAAGAAGTGAAATTGTTAATTAGTCCCATGATTAATGTTCGTATTTTTACTGCTCTTGGTTGTTTTGTAACGGTTTTAACTTGCACAAAAACTAATTTGAAAGGAAAAAATATTTTCGAGAATAAGAATGGTATGCTGTATCTTAAAAATTAATTAATTTGCAAGGACTTGCTGTACAATATGAAATTAATTATGTATGCAATACACACTTAATTGCAAATGTCAAAACTCCAATCAGTTTCCATGACAACAAAATAATTCTCACAACCGGAGAAATAAAATACTTTGTCATTTTTAAAAAAAAAGTTCTTAAAAGAACTGCAATCATTAATCTTTTATTTGAACTTTTTTTAAAACACAATGCTGATGGCATTGGTTAAGATGTGTTGAGGCAGTTACTGAGATTTATGGAGGTAAACACAAAAGTTGAATTAACATACTGAATAGTGAATTACACAGTTGAAGCTTCTGCATCTCCTACCTTGTTATGCTGAAGTGGTGTGCTGCATTGCATGATCAGAGCAAGACTGAGTGTAGAGGCTCAGCTTACACTGCTGTGTAGTTTCCACAACAGGGTTTTAAAGGTCAGAGGGAAATACATTTTTGCACACAGGTGAACTAGATTTTGTATGTACACAAATTTCAGTTACACCTTTTAACAAAAATGATCTCTTTCTTACAAAAGGATCTTCCACAAAATGACTCAAAAAAACCAAAGAGGTAATTTTTGTAAGAAAGGGAAGTTTTGTTTCATGCACTGATAGATCAAAGCAACTCATTACAAACATGTACAGATTGTTTTAGGTAGTTGACTTAGAAATGTCAATATATAAACCTATATAGACACATTCTCACAAAAACCCCAAATGTTAGAGTGGATGCAGTTCTGAGGGCCTTTGTTTTTTTAAAAAAGTATTCTCTTTTAGTTGGCTTAGGTTCTCAAGCACTGAATGCAGTGCTTGAGAACCTAAGCCAACCAAAAGAGAATACTTTTTTGGCATCAGATCGATCCAACAAAGATCTGGTGCCTGCACTAAATCAATAAAAAAATCTGATTTAGACTGATTTCAGCACCTTCATTTGTAATCTAAATAGGGTATTAATTAACTTCAGAGCTTCCACATCAGAGATATTGCTGTTTCTACATAGATCTTTTGATCGCACCAGATCAGAACCATTTTTGTTTTAAAAATATTCAAAAAGGATATTGAAGTTAAATATAATTCTGTATCAGTTTAATTTTTATAAAATGCTTTTATTGACTGCTCTGCAAACCTGATATTACAATTTGGGGAATACAATATGCTGCCATTTTAATTCACTGACCATGGGAAAAATGTAAGCATTATAAGAGAAGAAAAAAACTTTACAATACATCTTACTTTTTTAGGTTCAATTATTTATTATTTTGGTTAAACGGAAGGGCGAGCCTTCCATTTGCTGTGTCCATACTGTGGCCATGCACATCGACACTGGATATTTCGACTTCTTTACAGGGATTTCATGGATTCAAACCATGTTATGGATTCAAACAGTGTTATAATGTATTTTTAAAAAGAGAGACAAAGTATGAGTAATATTCATCTCCTAGATTTTATTTACTCCACTGATTTAAATAAGAACTGAACTGATGCATTCATTGCCAAGTGTGGATCTAGCGATGTCACAATAAAAAAAAGCCATTGTTTTCTGTTCTTAATTGAAACATCACTGAGCAAGAATATTTAATAGATAAATTATAAAATTGCAACTGCAAGCTTTTTGCCAGATTTCACTTTCCTGCAAAATTATAAATCATAATTCAACATACGTTTTGTGAAATTTGGCATTTTTACAAGTATTGAGAAATTCAGCGCTCTGGGACACTACCCTGCGTGAAGGCTGCTATATATATGTGTGTGTGTGTGTATGTTGTTTCAGTTTTCAATCAGCATTTAAATAAAGTCAGACAAAAATTGATTCTACTGTATATATCTTACTCTTGTGACAATTAAGTTTCCAGTTTAGAAATCAGGAAATCAATGAAGTAAATAATAATCCACAAACTTTCATTCTCCTTTGTAGCTTTGTTGCTTTAGTTAAGTATTGGAAGCACTCCTTGCCCAGATTTCACTAAGCAGGTTTTCATTTTAGGTGCATAAAATACAATTCCTGGCAGAAAATTAAGCTGTTCACTAGTCTCTTCATGACAACATTAGGTGGATCTAAATCAAAGCAGACAGGATAGTTTCGACCCTCATGGAAATGAATAAATTAGGAACTCTACTCAAATTATTTTTCAAAAAAACACAAAAGGCAAAAATGATTATTCATTTGAATACTACTATATATTACACCATGTTACTATAACATGTAGAGCAGCAAAAATTTGATTGTATTATTTTCCAGACATTATCCAACAATATTTAAAAAAACACCTAAAATACAGTATATTTCATTGAGTTATAGTTTCACTGTTGACATAAAAGGAGCTATCAAGATAGAGTCAATAGTTATTATAGTTAGGTGATGATAAGTGAAAGTGTGGCTTGAATAACAGAGTTCTGGTTAATTCTTGGAAGGCCTCAATTTCCTTTGTTCTTCCCTCTCCATTTTATTTCGCAGCCGCTGCTAACCAATTACTGTCTCTCAACTCAGCAAGAACAGTACAGAGGAAGGGAAAATGTTATTATGTAGCCCCACACTCTATGCTGCTGTATATTCTAAATTTAGACTGTGTCTGCAATTTCAGAAGCAAGGCCAAAGGGGAACTGTAATCTATCTAAGACCTGTGTTTCAAAACAGAAGTGTGAAAACAGACTGGACTGGAGTATTATGAACCTCTGTTTATAACGGGCATACACCTTCCAGTTGATGCAGAAGTAAACACATACAATTATAAAATAAAAGCTACGTCACTCAAACATAATGATTTCTGATAATGATCTATGCAGATTCCCATTTCCCTTTTTTGATTCTTAGTTACCAAATGTGAAGGAAATGTTGAAGAAGATTGAGGCTGCTTGGTAGTTGTGCGCACGTTAACAAACCAAACACCAATAAAAAACAAACTGGACTATCCATACCATTAGAATAATACCAGTCAACTTGCAGACACTAATGTACTGGACTATTAGCACAATGAAGCACAGACGAGCTCAATTGGTCTAACCTGAGAATCAGTTTTGTTATTTGTACAGCCTTCATCCTTTTCCACTTCTGGTTGCTCAACGCTTTCTGATTTTATCAAGTTTTCCGTCACTGAGGATTGTTTTAGATGTTCCTCTGTACTCCTCATTGCTTCAGCTTCTTCTTTTGCAATACTTGTATCAGACATCCTCATAAGCTGAGCTTACTCTACCAACAATGTGGTACCTGCAGCAAGACACACCAAACAGAAATTACATGCAAATCCCAATCTTCATATTGCCAAAGCAGTCCATAACTTTTTTTAAAAATGCAACTGATAAGCCAGCTTATCACATAGTTGAAACGTTTCAAAATGCTTCAAAGGATTTATTGTAACGTGTAATGACTACGCATTCGTAGGCAAATACAGCCAATAGTATTGTCCCACAAACAGCCAATCTTAACCAGGTAACCAATTTTATCTGAAATAAAAACAGAAGTCACTGGGAACACTCAGCAGGTCAGGCAGCATCTATGGAGAAAGGAAAATTAGTTAACATTTCAGGTCCACGATCCTTCGTCAGTTCTGAGCTGCTGAGTGTTCCCAGCGATTTCTGTTTTTGTTTCAGATTTCCAGCATCTGAAGTATTTTGTGTTTTGTTTAACCAATTTTATCTGACCAGTACACCAGGAGACACTTTCTTCTCTTTTCAAATAATGCCACTGGATTTTTAACACCCACCCAAACAAGCAGATGTTACCCTGGTTTAACATTTCATCTGAAGAACAGCACTTCCGACAATGTAGAACTCCTCCAGCATTGCAGTCAAGACTTTGAGTTCAAAGTCCCAATGATGTGCGGCTTGAATCCACAACCTTCCAACTAAGGCAAAAATGCCACCAACTAAGTGAAGTAATTTACATAAACAAACATCATTGATAGAACTGTACAAATTTACAAAGCAGGAGGCCCTTCAGCCCACCAAGACTGAGCTGGAGTACTGCAGACCAGCTTGGCTCAGGAACCGGACCGGTACAGAGGATTTACTTAATTCCAACATTTTGTTGCCAAGTTCATCAGCTCAGGCCCCGAGGGGACCTGCTAACAAGGTGGTTGCATTGGCAAGGGATTATCTTTGTTCCACTTTAGATTCAAAAGAAAAAGTCTTCTTCAAGATTCCTCTCTCCCACTCTACTTTTTCAATTTTAGATGTTTTCTTGCACTATTACATGAAGTGTTCACGTTAACTCATTGTTACTTATTTTTCCTCCCTGAAGAGAATGTTTCTCCCCTAATGTTCAAAACTGAAATCAGAAACTTATTTTTTGGGGGGAAGGGGATTATCGCAAGTGAAACCAACATTATTGCACACGTAATAACTACATTAGCACACTACACAATCAGTGATTCAGTCAAAACATGTGGGACCATAGTAACTATAAATTCACCCGAGCTATCATTTTAGCAATTTAGTATTTTTTGAGTAATCTTTACATTTAAAAAAAAACACCATTTAACCACTGATACATCAGCTTCAAACAGTGGCAATTTTTAAACAGTTTTTTTTACCTTCAGCTCTTGATGGTGATGTTTCCGTGATTATCAGGTAATAAACCAAACCAAGGTTGCCCCTTGCCGCTTTTGACCAGGATAGCAGTTGTATTGAACCTGCTGGAAGATGGTGAGAGGAGTCCCATGTCCTTATCACCAGTGTAGAGTCCTGGTTTGAATACTCCTTCCACTGATTTGGTAAATGATTCCCATCAAAGACCTATAGCAAAAACAAGATACCGTAGCTTCAAATTCCCAGTCCAGAAAATGTCTTACAATTAGTGCTTTTTGAACTATATCAGAACACGACAAATCAAACTCATCAAATTAATATACAATATACTCACGCATTGAGTAATATATATAGATTCAGTCTGTGGAAAAAAAGGCAATCTAAGCCAACAAAAAAATCTGTGATGGACAGACTGGACATCTGATGAATTTGCAAGGTTATAGAAAAGGTCCGCACTTCAAATCTAGCAATAACCTGATTTACAAAGCTCTAATTAACAGAACAATGCAGGTTAAAATTCATTGTAAAAATACGGTAAACTTCTGACAACTTGACACTCCAAGGGAAAAGGCCCAATGATCAATTATCCAGAGTGGTGAGTTAGGCATATGTATAAATACATAAATAAATGTGATAGCATGATGACTTAAATGATAGTGACAAGTTAAGCCAAGATCGAGTTATCAGTTTATTGTTCATAAACACAAATTTAGAACAATTCATTGAGAAACCGTGTTCCATGAACTACAACAACAACAAGATTCCATTTATAGAGCGCCTTTCACGTCAGGAGGACGTCCCAAGGCGCTGGACAGTTGGGTCAGGTCCCGAGCAGGGGGGAAATGGTCAGGGTGAGGGGAGGGAAGAGAGGGAGCGAGGAGGGGGGAGAGAGTTGAGAGGGGAGCTGAAGGCACGGTCAAAGGGGATAGAGTTCCAGAGCCTGGGGGCTGAGAGGCTGAAGGCCCGACCACCAATGGTAGGGCGGTTGGGACGGGGGATATGGAGCAGACCGGAGCCAGAGAAACGGAGGGTACGGGCAGGTAGGTAGGGGGATAGTAGGTCGGAGAGAGCAAGACCGTGAATAGCCTTGTAGGTGAGGGTGAGGATCTCCAGGTCCCGAAGCCTGGTGCGGGACAGTACACGAGCTGCAGAGTTCTGAATGACCTGCAGCTTGTGGAGGGAGGTGCCGGGAAGGCCGGTGAGGAGAGAGTTCCCATAGTCCAGCCTTGAGGTGATAAAGGCGTGGACCAGAATTTCAGCCGCGTGAGGGGTGAGGTAGTGCCGTAGTCTGGCGATGCTTCGGAGGTGATGGAAGGCGGTGCCAGTTGTGGCGCGGATATGAGGAAGAAAGGACAGCTCAGAGTCGAACAGAACATCGAGGATCTTGACTGGCTTTGAGAGGTGGAGAGTGCAGCCTTGGATGCTGATGGTGTCGGCGCCTGAGGTGCGGAGGCGCTGACGTGAGCCAATCAGGAGAGCCTCAGTTTTGCGCACGTTGAGCTGAAGAAAGTTGTCTCTCGTCCAGGACTCGATGTCGGACAGGCAGCTGTCAGGACATCGGTGGTCGTGGAGTTGAGGGTAGAGGAGGAAAGGTAGAGTGTCATCCACATACATGTGGAAGTTAACCCCATGTCTGCGGATGATGTCACCAAGGGGGAGCATATAGAGGGGGAAGAGGAGGGGACTGAGGACAGAGCCCTGAGGGACACCGCACGAGACAGTGCGGGGGGTGGAGGAAAGGCCATTTGTGGAAACAAAATGTAGATGGTGGGAGAGGTACGACCTAAACAACTCAAGGACAGGGCCTTGAAGGTTGAGGTGGGAGGACAAGCGGTGGAGGAGGATAGTGTGGTCGACCGTATCGAATGCTGCCGATAGGTCGAGGAGGACGAGGAGGCAGAGGGAGCCCTGGTCACATATGGTCAAGATGTCATTGGTGACCTTGACCAGGGCGGTTTCTGTGCTATGGGCAGCACGGAAACCCGACTGAAGGGGCTCGAATAGTGCATGGGTGGAGAGGAAAGAGCGCAGCTGGGAGGCGACAACACTTTCAAGGACCTTGGACAGGAAGGGGAGGTTGGATAGCTGCGACGTATCAAGTGAGGGTTTTTCTACTCAACTACTCAAATTTATTCAAAATCTAGCTTTTCTCATGTTTACTATATTACATGTCACTTGAAGATCAACAATAATGTACCTCATTTTTAATTATAATACAATTTAGATCACGCAGATCACATATTCTAGATTTCTGCTGTGAACTCAGAGAAATGGATGAAGTAACTTTCTCTATTTTTGTTTGTTAAACTGTTTTGTGGTTCTGTCACATTTTGGCAATTTCAATATCTAGTGGCAATTTTAGAGAATAGAAATAGCAGAGCAATGCAAATTGAACTAGATTCCCACAATACTCCTACTGGATTTATATTGCAGAGCTTGTTTTAAAAGTAGTCGAGTACATTCACAAAGTAAAACAAGTATTAAAAGAATTTGTTTATAAAAACACAGTTGCACAACCATACAGCTCCTAGTAGTAAATGAAAGACCATTATTGCCAGAAAGTATTCATAAAACTCCATCAATTGCAGTAGGGAGAAGAGTAGGGGAGCAAGTAGCAGCCATACTTTGAGTGACTTGATCATTTCTACCATAATTTATTTTAAATTAATAAAATCTTTGGAATAAAAGATTTACATGGCTACATAATTTAATTAAAGAAAAGGAATTTATTAATACAGTGGAAGCAACTTTAACTGGACGCTGGTTAATCTCAGACACCGGGTAAATTGGATAAAATGCCCGGTCCAAATTCATTTATATTCTTACCCGTATTAAATTCGTACAACCATTTGGTTGATCCGGACAAAATGCAGTGCTAGTCGCTACTGAATATTCTTACTCGTAGCTTCTGTGTCTCGAGTGGCTCCATTCAGCCATGAGCAGCTCCAGGATGGAGATGGAAGGAGTCAAATTGCAATTGATTGACAGCAGACTCCAGCCATTCACAAGCAGCTGGAGTTGGGCTGTCAATCAGTGAGGGGCCGGAGGAACATAGAAGAAACAAGGGAGGGAATGGGAGGAGTCAATCCACGATTGATTCCTAGAGCCGTTTGTGAATGGCTGGAGTGGCTCCAAGACTGTCAATCACCTCGGAGCTGTCACGAATTGATCCCTTTCTCGTCCAATGGGAATGGCAATAGGAGGGAGGAGGCGCCACCTCTCCTTTGCTGGGCGGGAAGAGGTAATGGAATTTCAGTTAACCTCGGACGTCACTTAAGCTGGACAAAACGGCCGACCCCATTCTGTCCGGTTTTACAGGCTCCAGCAGAATAAGAATCCAAAAAGCAGTTAGCAAATCAATTTTGGAACAGGTCTTCGACAACAAGAATTAAACAGTCTACAATAAATTTAATTTGTAAAGCATTTTTCACGTCGGGAGGAGGTTCCAATGCGTTGGAGGATGTTAAGAGTTCTGGGACGCTACCCTGCTTGAGGTGCACTATATATATATATATATATATATATATATAAAATATATATACACATACACAAGTTGTTGTTGTCCAAAGGCACTTTGTAAGCTTTAAAACAGTAACAATAATAATCATCCTTGCTCAAATAAAGCATCTAGAATTTGAAACATCTCAAGGTTTCACAATAATGACTATTATTTTTAGTGACTATGTACTCGTAGGTGAGCATGGCAGCCAATTTGCTACAGCAATGTCCCCCATAAAACCAGGAAGTGAATGGACAATATATAGGGGGATAGAACTCTTTTTTTCTTTTCAAAGGGTGTCATGGATTCTTTAATGCCCACTTAGCAAACCAGATCAAAGGACAGTTGCGTAGGTAGTTTTTTTATATAAAAAGTGACACATTCATCTTGGAATTTCCATAATCTCGTCATTGTTTAATCTCATCAAACATTTTTAGGGGAACCAACATCAACTGAACTGCAGTCATTTTATTTGTAGCCATTAAAAAGGAATTTGTCAATTGATAAATTAAATATTAATATGTGTACTTTTTTTGGTTCTAGTAACAATTAGAATTATTAGCAGAAATGCTATTATGTCATCTGAAAGTGATACAAAATGTTGCTTTGAAGAGTTAATCACATTGCTTACTCTCTTTTTACCCACATTGACCACATTATGTTCCTGTTCAGTGGTTCATTGATTTAGTTTGAAGCAGCATTTTGATCTCCATGAACGTTCAATATAATATATAAAACCAGGAACCTTGCAATCTTTCCAATCCAATCAAACATATCATTGCCACCCACACAATGTCCTTTCCAGAACTAACCTCTCTACTATGCCCACACATTTCAGTTTAATGAAGCCTACGCAGAATGACGTACCATACCGTTTGCTCGTGGAGATCAAAATGCTGCTTCAAACTAAATCAATGAACCACTGAACAGGAACATAATGTGGTCAATGTGGGTAAAAGGAGAGTAAGCAATGTGACTAACTCTTCAAAGCAACATTTTGTATCACTTTCAGATGACATAATAGCATTTCTGCTAATAATTCTAATTGTTACTAGAACCAAAAAGTACACAGATGATCAGTACATTTTCTATAAGAGTAGCTAGCCACTTTTGACAAAAATGTTTAATTTAACCCAGCACCATTTTGGAACATGTATAGTGATAATGATTCGACAAAATTCTAAGAAAATGTTTGTCATTTCAGATAATCTTATTAGGTAATCCTCAACTTGATTAGTGCTTTGAGGAATATTTTTACTGTACTCCCAAAAGGTCAATTGAAAGATTTAAGCATTTTTAAACAGTGCTTTATTTTACTCCTTTGACCACTAATGCTAGATATCCACATCTTAAAGTGTTTTCTCTTTTCCAACCATTTATCTCATATGCAAAGCAGGTATTTTATTGCTGTTGTAATTTTAGATCTCCAATTGGGAATCATGAAATATCTTATCAGCAAAGGTTGTACAATAGTTGCATCATTTATTAGAGGTGGAAACCCATATGAATACTAACATAACAAACATAAGTATCCTCTTCAGGATATTTTACACTCAAATCCAATTCATATTGGAAACTTCAAGCAATCGTCATACACAAGATTCCAGTTGATGTTTTCCAAAGAATAATCTTACAAACTGTCAAACAAAACATTACTATGATGTTAAGCTCCATCCTCACCCAGCTTCACTGGCTCACTATTTCCCAG